TTTTTCTGGCTCTGATCTTGATGTTTTAGAATTATATGTTATTTATAAGTATAAGTATAAATATTTATACTTATTTATTATTTGAAAAAAAACTTTTACTCTATAAATATTTATATAAATGAAAATATTATAAATATATAAATATAAATACAGGGCTCGAACTAGGTCCGTAAATCCCGTAAAGGTCCATAAATTTGCTTCCAGTCCGTAGAAGTCAGTTTTTTTTTTAAAAATGGTCCGTAAAGTCCGTAATTTGATTGAAGAATGACGAAAAGTTCATAAATTGTTCGATATAATTTAAAGAATTTTAGAGAAATTACAGATGAGTGCAGAAAATTTCAATTATTTTCAAAAGTTTTCTAAAATTCAATAATTTTCAATATCTATACTATTTTAATAAAATTTTTCAAAAGAATTTCATTATTAAAAAACATTTAAATACAATTCTACGTAAACATTCAATTATTTATATAAATAATAAAAATTTTTACAGGAATTCAATTTTTTATAAATTTTTTCTCAAGAATTCAATATTATTTTCATAAATATAATAAAATTTTTACAGGGATTCTCGAATAAGGTATTGCAAACGGCCGAACATGGCGTGATGGTCTTATAGGAGCAGAAAAGTTGACTGATGCTAAGATAATAGCTGGGAACAATCGATTATACTAATTTTAAATAAGACAAGCAAGTCATTATATAGAAATCTGGATGATATTAAAGGAATTTTGAAATGAGATCAAAGGTTATCATAGTCATGTGAATAAGGTTCATATCTAACAACCATCTGTTTTGCTGCGAATCTCAAAAATTTATTTTGTACTCTCTCGAGCTTGATCAAATACACCTGGTTATACGGTGACCAAACAATTGATAAGAATTCAATAGTAAATGTTTTTAGGGCTGTTATGTTATGAAAACAAGACGCGTTTCTTGTTATAAAACCAAGCATATACGCAATGCTTTGTTTACCGTCTCAGTCTTCGTCTAAAAAATTTAATTATTTAAAAACATTTGTTGAAAAAATTTTTTATGAGAATTTAATTTTAAGAAACTTTAAATTAATAAATTATTTATCTTTGTATTCAAATAATTGAATTTACGTAGAATTTACTAATAAAAATTGTTTCATAAATCAATTTCAGTTAAAATTTTTGATTATAATGTAGAAATTAATATTTATGACAATTCGGTCACATAAAATTCTACAAATGAAATTCATAGCATTTGAACATTCAGAAAAATGAAAATTCCACTAAACAAAGATTCCGTTCATTGAATTTCTATTAGACAACGAATCTGAAACATAAAAAATCGATTAAATTAACTTTCCGTGAAATAATATTTGAATGAAATAATAAGTACGTTAAGAAGGAATTAATTATAGAATTTTTTGTTTATTGAAAATTCGTTGAAATGAACATTTCGTTTAATAGATATTCCAGCAAATAAAAATGTCGATAAATTAAAATTCGATCTAATGTAAACTCCGTCACATAACATTTAAATTATTTAAAAAATTTGTAATATGAAAATTCGTTTATATATTAATTAAAAAATTATAGAATTTGTCTAAATAAACAATCAACTGAATTTAATATCTATTTAATAACTATAACATGAAAGAAAATTTTGTTGTAATAAAATATTAACATATTTAATAATTCATTTTACTAAACATTTAGTCAATTATAAATTTTTCTGTTTAATAATTTGCATTCAATGAAAGCTGCTTAAACATAAATTCTGAAAAATGACATTTTGTTGCAATTTAAGTTTTGAAATATGCAAGTTTTAATAAATGTAAACTTTCCATTATAAACTATTTATTACCTAAAATATTTGTTAAACTATAATTCTATTTAACAAAAATTTATCAAAACAAAAGTTTCTTTTCAAAATTATTTCGGTTCAATAAAAATTTATATATTATGAAATCAAGTTTTTAAACATTCTCTTATTTCCATCTTCATATTAATTATTATTTTCATTCATTAGCATTAATTAAAAAAACATTGTGTTTATAAACAATTTGGAACACATTCTTATTCTTATAAAAGAAAATTACATGAAAAAGAAATTTTGACAAATGAAATAAGGTCTATCGAATATTATACAGGATTTTTGTCGGGAATCGTCATGCGTCCCATTTAAAATACAAAATTTCATAAAATTTTTCGAAAAAAAACAATTATTTAAAAAGATTTTTATAAAATTCGTCGCATGAATTCAATTATTTAAAAAAAAATTAATAAAGATCTTTTTGAGAATTCAATTATTTTGATAAATAATAAAATTCTTCACACACGGAGAGAAATATCTGGGCTTTTTAGCATGAAAGTTCTTCATACTACGATTGCAAGAGACCTATGCGATTTCGGTAAAAGTTTTCTGCAATGTGATTGGTCGGCCCAGGCTCTGGGCGTGGCCTAATAGCCAGTTGCAAGAGTCTAATACCGAAAAAGCATAGGATTCTTGCAATCGCAGTATACTGTTTTGCAGTTATAGTATACTAACATTTCATACTTTTAAAATACAAAGCATTCATGCTATAAACGATTGATTTTTCTCTCCGTGCAGAAATGTAATTATTTTTATAAACTTGAATAAAATTCGTTGCAAGAATTCAATTATTTTTAAAAGTTCCAAAAGAATTCAATTACTTAAAAAAAATATTAATAAAGTTCAACTAAAACATTTAATTATTTTCATAAATAATAAAAAATTTCATAGTTATTTAATTGAATATTTACAATTTTTTATAAATTTCTTCTCAATAATAATTCAATTATTTTAGTTAAAAATTTTTGAAAATAATAATTGAATTGAAATGATGAATGTAATTTTGAAGAAGTAGAATATTCTTATAAATTATTAAAATATTATTTATTAATAATAAATTAAATATTGTTTGAAAATAATAAAATTCTTCGTTAGGGATTCAATTATTTTCACAATTAATAAAACTCATCGCAGAATTTCAATTATTTTTAATACTATTTTAATCGAATTTCTCGAAAAATGTAATTATTCTTAAAGATTTTATTAAAATTCGTCAATAGAATTCATTTATTTAAAAATTTGTTAATAAAATTCTTTACCAGAATTGAATTTTAAGAAACATGAAATTATTCAATAAATTGTTTTTTTGTATTAAAACAATTGAATTCTAGTAGAATTTTCTCATAAAAATTGATTTAAAAATAGATTTCAGTTAAAATTTTAGATTATAACTGTATATTAAAAGCATTAGAGCTTGAATTTTTTGAAATAATTAAATTTTGAAAAGGTTTCAGATTAAAATTTTTGAATTATTTTCCTATTTTTAACTAAAAATTCTGTAGAATTAATTTTTTGAGAAAGTTTAATTGCGGATTGTTTTTGAAATTATTTGAAGTTTTTATTTTCTAATATATGAAGAATTTCCGAATAATTTAAATTATGTAAAATTGAATTGTAAACAAATGAATTTGAAAATTCTCGATGACCTTTTTCAAAAAACTATTAAAAATAATGGATTTATAGAAGAATTTTAGTTAAAAACACTAAAGAAAAATTTAATTTTGAAAAAGTTACAAATTATTCCAGAAATTAAATTATTTTCAATGAGTAATAATATTCTTCGCATAAATTAAATATTGTTTGAAAATAATAAAATTCTTCGTTAGGGATTCAATTATTTTCACAATTAATAAAACTCATCACAGAATTTCAATTATTTTTAATACAATTTTAATTAAAGTTCTCGAAAAATGTCATTATTCTTAAAAATTTTATTAAAATTCGTCGATAGAATTCAATTATTTAAAAATTTGTTGATATAATTCTTTTCCAGAATTGAATTTTAAGAAACATTCAATTATTCAATAAATTATTTTTTTTATTTGAATAATTGAATTCTAGTAGAATTTTCTAATAAAAATTGATTTAAAAATTAATTTTAGTTTAAATTTCAACTAATAATTGAATATTAAAAGCATTAAAGCGTGAATTTTTAGAAATAATTGAATTTTGAAATTAATTTTTTTGAAGAAGTTTTGGAAAAATTAAATACTGGAAACAAATGAATTAGAAAATTGTCAAAGAACTTTTTCGAAAATTATTAAAAATAATCGATTTAAAGAAGAATTTTAGTTAAAAATTCTTGTAAATAATAATTGAATCGAAAATGCTTTTATCACTCGTTCATGTTAAATTTTATTTATAGTTTTATATAAAATATTCTTTTATTTGACTCGGACTGGTCATATTTTTGTCAGTAATTTTTCATTTTTGGTCCGTAAAGTCCGTATTTTTAAATAATTTTACTGATTCGAGCCCTGAATTAAAAAATTATAAATATTTATAAATAAATATAAATACAAATAAAAATACAAATAATATTCAATGTTTTCGAGTTTTAAATGAAAATTTCGAAAAATATAAGAAAAACGATGGTGGAAATTTGAACAAGCAAAAAGAGCATTCGTACAGGTATATGTATAGTGGGCAATAAGAGCAAAAGCCCATAGTACTTCCGCTCGATGAAATTTATATGAAACATTAATTTCTTTTCATACTCTCCATATACATATACCATTCTCCTGATGGGCTCAAATGATAAAAGTGGACCTTCAAAATCTGATTTTATACACCTCTATTTTTCAGCTTGTCTAGATTTACACTAAGCCGTATAAATCTATAAATAAATTTAAAAAGGTAATTTTTGCTCTCTATTGCGAGTAAAAAATAGTCTTTTCAAACGATATAAGGTGTATAACATGCACATGCAAAAAAGAACAACTGCTCTATTTATATTTGTATAGTGACATTTATCAGATAAATTTTAACATACAAACTTTAATTTAGAAATTCCAATTTAAAAGTTTTAATTTATTAATTTCAATTTAGAAATTATATCAATTCAGTGATTCTAATTTCGTAATTTCAATTTAGAAATATCAATTTAGAAATTTTAATTCAGAAATTTTAATTTAGAAATTTCAATTCAGACAAAATTGTTCTCGTACAGCAAATTATAAAATTTATTACTTAACTTTTCTATAGTCGTACAATTAATTAAAATACATTTCTTGAAATTGGTGTTTTTTTTTCTACAATGGCATTTGGTAATCTCCAAAATTGGTCCATGTATGATCCCATAAATTTGGATCAGCTTTTTTGTCTAGAGGAAGATTTCCTGGCGGTAATGCTGATGCTCGGTATTTCTCCAGCTCTTCCGTAAGCTCTTTTAAGACTTCAGGATGCCTGGAGATCAGGAGAAAAATATTTTCTAAAACCTCTATAAGCAGTGATCTTGTGCTTTTTGTCCTATTTGTCTAAAGCTTGCTATACATACAAGTATAATAGTGATTCTTAAAAGGATTTTTACAATTTTATGTTATTCGTTGACGTTTCTATTGAAGCAAATGCGAGGATAAGTGAACAAAAAAAAAAAAAAAACAAGAATCACAAACATACTGCAAAAGGTAAACGTATAACAAAAATGTTTTTCCTTCAAAGAGGATATAGATAAATAAACAAATAAATGTTGATAATAATAAAAGATCAAATAAATGATGAAAATAAATAATAGTAGTAAAATAAATTATAATAGAAAATAAATAATAATTTCTTCAATGAATAACTTTTTGTTTTTTAACTGATATGAGTAATTTATTTGGTGTCATTATTAAACAGGATTGCCACAAATATTTAATTTTATTTTTCCCTGATTTCCAGACAAAACTTTCACTTTTTCCCTGAACCTAAAGAATATTATGATTCACTCTAAAAATTATTAGATACTCAAAAAAATTTTCCATTACATTTATTTACAAATTTCTTTAATTGTAAAATTATTCGAAAACATCAATAACTTCTTTTTTAAATTATTATTTTTCAGTAGGAATTAAAATTCTTCAAAATATTCAAATCCAAACCATTTTGAAATTCAACAACTTATAATCAGTGGCGGATCCAGGGGGGGTCATGACCCCCCCCCCTGGGGCGAAAAATTTACATAAAAAAAAAATTGTTAGAAAATATGAAGATATTGATCACTATTTACAAAAATCCTAATAAAATCCTTCGCATTAAAATGCGATTATAAATAACATTAATAATGTTATTTATGAAAATAATTGAATTTTGCAAAGAATTTTATTAAAAATAATTGAAATTCTGAGATGAGTTTTATTATTTATGAAAATAATTGAATTATTATTGAGAAGAAATTTATAAAAATTGTAAATATTCAATTGAATTACTATGAAATTTATTATTATATTTATAAAAATAATTAAATGTTTGAGTAGAATTTTATTAAGATTTTTTTTAAATAATCAAATTCTTTTGGAAAATGTTATTAAAATAATAAATATTGAAAATCATTATTGAATTTAGGAAAATTTTTGAAAATAATTAAAATTTTCCCAAGAATATTATATTAAAATTTTTGAAAATAATTAAAAAATTCGGAGAAGAATTTTATTATTTATAAAGATAATTGAAATTCTGACGAGAATATTTAAAAAAATTTTGAACATTCTTGCAACGAATTTTATTCAAGTTTATAAAAATAATTGAATTCTTGAAAAGAATTTTGTTAAATTTTTTTTTAAATAATTGAATTCTTGCGACGAATTTTATAAAAATCTTTTTAAATAATTGATATTTTTCGAAAAATTTTATGAAATTTTGTATTTTAAATTTTTAAATAATTGAATTTATGTGAAAATTTTATTATTTATGAAAATAATTTAAATTTTGACGAAAATTTAAAAAAAATTTTGAACATAATTGAATTTCTTTGAAGAATTTTTTATAACTTTTGAAAATAATTGAATTTCTGCAATAATTTTAAATTTCTCCAAAATTAAATTTTTTTTCTAGTGTTTCTAACTAAAATTCTTCTGGAAATCCGTTATTTTTAATAATTTTTGAAAAAGTTCTTTGAGATTTTTCAAATTCATTTGTTTACAATTACATTTTACATAATTTCAATTATTCGGAAATTCTTCAATTAAAATATTTAAAAATAAAAACTTGAAATAATTAAAAATATAGTCAATTAAACTTTTTCAAAAGAATTAATTCTACAGAATTGTTTATTGTTAAAAATATGAAAAATTAAGAATTTCAATGATTTTAATTTCAAAACCTTTACAAAATTCAATTATTTCTAAAAAAAATCCACGTTATAATGCTTTTATAATATTTATAATAATAATCTAAAACTTTAACTAAAATTCATTTTTAAAACAATTTTTATTAGTAAATTCTACGAGAATTCAATTATTTAAATACAAAAATAAATAATTTATTAATTTAAAGTTTCTTAAAATTAAATTCTCATAAAAAATTTTTTCAACAAATTTTTTTAAATAATTAAATTCTTCAGATGAATTTTTATAAAATTTTTAAGAAAAATTTTTTCGAGGAATTCTATTAAAATTGCATTAAAAATAGTTGAAATTCTACAATGAGTTTTATTATTTATGAAAATAATTGAATTATTTGGAAGAAATTTATTAAAAATTCTGTAAATAATTGAATTCCTGTGGAATTTTGACAAGAATTTTATTAAAAATTTTTAAAAATAATTGAATTTTAAAGAAGAATTTCCTTATTTATAAAAATAATTGAAATTTTGACGAGAATTTAAAAAAATTTTTGAACATAATTGAATTTCTGCAATCATTTGAAACTTTTCCAAAATTCATTTTTTTTTAGTATTTTGAACTAAAATTCTTCTATTCTTATGAATTTTAAAAATTCTATTTTTCCAGTACTTTTACTAAAAATCCCTGACTTTTCCCTGATTTTCCTGACCAATTCTATTTTCCCTGACTTTTCTCTGAATTCCCTGACCTATGACAACCCTGTTGAAGACAACAGTGAAAAGTCTTTTCTAATAAATGACTTATTAAATGAAAAGAATTTAGACCATTGTCTTTAACAATCATACCAAACATAATATTTCTGCTTGATAAATTAGAATCAAAATTAATTTGCAAATACCGCCTTTGAGACAGTTAGAATTAATTAAATAAGGCAATCTAATTTTGAATCCCATGTGTAGAATTTGTCGCATGATATAATTGTATTATTTATTGAATTAAAATTTATCCTCTATGGAAATTTACTGAGAAGCATTCCTTTTGAGAAATAATTTTCATAAAATAATAACTTTTCTCGCGCTTACTAATTTTTTCTGCTGCGTACAAAATATTAATAGAAGAAGAAGAAGAAAAGACGTTAATATAGAAAAATAATGGAACGAATTATTAAAATTTGAAAATACTCACGTAGTTGAGAGATCGTTTTGTTCGCAATAATCTTCAGAGATATTGACGAGACATAATTTTTTAATGGGATTACATGGTGGAAGATTGTTATTTTTATCTGGACATTGCTTTAAAGTGGCTTTTTCTCGCAGACTTAATATTCCCTTGGCTGAAAGAATCATTCCAATATTGCGAAGATAATTACTCGTTGGATGCTTTAGAATTAGTTGTTCATTGTAGCGGATTTTTCTCCCATCTGGACCATAATGACCGTCATAAGTTCCATTGTACGTTGATCCTGATAAATTTATTAAAAGAGAAAGTTAATTTTCTATTTTTGAAAAAATATTTTTAATTAAGCTCAAAGTGCACCCACTTAATTTTCGTATTTCTTTCTATTGAATAGAGATAGTTATTGAAAAGAGATTCAATAACTAGTTAAAATTGCTTTCGTACTCTTTCCAAAATAAATAACATAAGAATGTCTTCCCATACCTAATACGCATATCTTCTCTTAAGCATTAATTAAATTAATAAACTATTAATTTCAGTGTTCTTAGATTATTGTCAGGTTCTCAGATTCATTTCAATTATCAATAGAGAATAAATTGTCAGTATTTAGTGACATATACTATATGCATTCATAGAGGTCGACCTTATTCATTTAGTGTACTTGACCCGATTTTCGTAAATCTCTCCCTTTATTTGCTTTGTCAGTCCAAAGTTAAATTCTATGATGATGGAATTTATATGCCCTTATCTCTGGGTCTGATTTAGAATTAGAACAGAAAATACAGAACAGGAAACAGGGAGGGAGAAAATTAGTATATACTTTTGTTATACATCCGGTATTGTTTTTGATATCTGGAGAACGAAAATTAATTGGATAGTTTGTGGAGTGTGTGAAAGAAGGGAAGAAAAGCGAGAAGATGTCAACGGCAGTAAGTTTAGCTGCTTCAAGAATTACTGTAGAACAAACACAATTCATGCTAGGAGCATTCTTCTCTTTGCTTCCTCAGAAACGCTGATTCAAAACCAACATCATAAACGATAATCTTACGAATCCTTTTGAAAATTCCGATCCACAATTAGTAATGTTAGACCGAGTTTAAATTTAAATGAAACCAACAAAAATTGTTTTGTCTGTAGTTACAGATTTGGCAACTTTTTGTTTTTAGAGTTTCAACAAGTTTGCAATAATGGAACCTCTTTGTTCAGATCTAAAGCATCTGTTCCTTCCTGTCTCTCCTATACGATAATATCTCTCTTGCTAATTTGCATATTTACTTGTTGCATTATAGATTATAAGATCATTGTACCAACAGTTGCATAATCAAGATTACAGAAAAGAGGGAAAGTGAATGACGTTTGTTATCCAGATTATTGGTTCGTTTGGAATAAGAGGGGAAGAGTTTAAAATGCAGGAAGCAGAGAAGAGATAGGGTGAAATTGTGGGAAAAATGATGAGTCAAGTTGTGGAGATAGGGGAAAGGAGATTAAAGATGAGGAAGAAAGTTTGTTTCTTTGATCTGCTGGCATGTACTGTGATGAATTATGCAGTGGAACGGACACAAAGTGAAATAGAAAAACAAGAGAATATTTGATTTCCTGTTTCTAGATAAACGATTGGAAAGGATTAGAATTGTGACGTTAATGTGGGAATTATTGATCGAATTGTGCATCGAATTTTGTGCATCATTAATATTGATTATACTCTGCTTGATGTTTGCTTACAACTAAATCAGAATTTTCGCTATTGTTCATTAATTCTTTTCTTAAAGTCCGTTTAGATTCACTAATATTGCAGGACAATTTCCATTGAACTTGTAAACAATACTAGTTCTACTCCATTCTTTTTTTTGTCAAGTCTCTTATAGCAGAAACTAAACTTTTTTGAGCAGGAAGGTCAGGAAAGAAAAGGACTATACGAAACGACATAAAATATAACAGAATAGTGGACGTTCAAATGCATCGAAATTTTTGAAGCAGACAAACAAATTCAGGAGGTAGAGTATACATATTGTGTACAGGAACGGTTCAAAAGAACAGAATCCACAAGCTTTGTCGATACCAACCAAAAAATTTAGTAACATGTGTCAAAAAAATATGTACCGAGTATAGCATATACCTTTGAGAAGTTTAAAATTTCCCATTGTTATGGCAGCATTGCCATAAATATCATCGATATTGTGAAGTATGGATTTTCTTGGCGATTCCTGATCGTTTTTCAACGCATCCCACAAATTAATTCCATCAATATTGAAATTAGTCGTGGTATTGCTAGCAGCAGCAGCAGCGGCGGCAGCTAAAAATGTAGGCAGCCAATCACTGATGTGCATCAGTTGCTTAGTCACACGTCCTGTTCTAGTTAACAATGGAGACCAAAGGATTCCCGTACCACGAACACCTCCTTGACAACACAATAATAGATTAATTGAACAATTCGCCATCGTATTCCAATTTCGCCTTATTCCCCTTAATGATTGCGAAATTAACTCTACAATTTAGTGTCGAATTAAGGACAAATTGTGTATTATTCTTTCATTTAAATGTACAGTATACATTGTATGTATTTATGAGTTGTACATTTTTATAGATTATACACATTATGTTCATAAATATTTAATGGAGAAAATGAACGTCAAATTGAAAAGTAATGTTTCTTGTAATGGTGAAATTTATTTTGGTAATTATTTATTTTACCTTCCTTCCTATAATAGTTAATAATCTTCAATCTCTAATGTTGGAGATATAATGGTTGTAATAACAATAACGACAATAATAACTGTAGAAGGAATATGACTACGTTATGACATTTATAATTTAATTAAGGTCGTAAAGCTCGACATCTTAGAAGAGGGTATCTATTCTACTACATATATAACTGTCTTAATAATTAAACTCGTATTCATAAATTATAAATATATTTATATTAAATTCCTTTTAATTCTTTTCTTTTTTTTTTTTTTTCTTTTTTTTTCACACTCAGGGTTCGAACCAGTGAAAGTATTTAAAAATACGGACTTTACGGACTAAAAATGAAAAATTACGGACCAATTACTGATAAAAATATAACCAGTCCAAGTCAAAAAAGAGAAAATTTTACTTAAAACCATAAATTAAATTTTTTCTTAACTATAAAACATGAAGATATCGATAACTCCGAGTCTATCGACAAATTTTAAAGAATAAAAAAAAAATAAAAAAAAAATAAATAAATAAATAAATAAATAAATAAAAAAAAAAAAAAATTAATAAAAAATAAAAAAATAAAAAAAAAAAAAATAATAAAAATAAAAAATAAAAAAATAAAAAAAAAAAATTATTATTATTATTATTATAAAATAATATTAAATTATAATATTTATATATATATATAAATATTATATATATATATATTATTATTATTATTATTATTATTATTATTTTTTATTATTATTATTATTATTTTATATATTTATATTATATATTTTATATATTTATATTTATATTTTTATTTTTATTTTATTTTTTTTTATATTTATTTTTTAATATTATTATTATTATTATTAGGGGAGAGTCTCCAGTTGTGAGACGGGTTTCATTTTTGACCCGTAAATTGTAAACGGGCAAACGAAATTGTAAATAAAATACACCGTTCGAAAGGTAACAGAAATACGCAACTTTTATTAAAAGAAAGTATAGTGTTTCGATGAACTCAAAAAATTTTACGATACATTTTCCGAGCACATCGATTTTTTCAAAAAAAAAAAATGTCTCCAGTTGTGAGACACTCATTAAAAATTGCTAAAATTTAATAAGTTTGACATAAAACGTTATGTTTAGTAGAAATAATTAAATATATTAATAATATATATTATTATATACTAAATAATAATATTTATTCGCCAAAATATGACTATCAAATAAACACAATTTAATAGCTTCAACAAGAGCATTAAAATTGATTTCTTCTGAATCAATTGACTTTTTTCCACTTGACATGCCCAAAAATACTAGAAAAAAGAATCAAAACAACATTTAAATAGTATGCCTGCAAAGTAGTATTTTTTATGCTGCCCAGATGGGTGTTGACACCGTCTCACAACTGGTGATATGCTGTGTCTCACACCCAGAAATTGGCGCTATTTTGAAAAAGGAAAATTAAATTATTTTCAACCGTAGATTGGAACAATGCAATGTTGCATCACAAAATATAAGGAAAACACTAAAAGAAAATGCATTACATTTACCTTTTTCAATTAATTAAATTGAGGGGACGGCTTCTAAAAGGGGATACGCGTGGATTCTCGCGTTTAAGTTTTGTCCACTTGGTCAATTTTTGAAAGTATTACAAATTGCAATTTGAATTACCGAAGTTTGTGGAAAATGGAAAGGCGCATCTTTTTTCTTTAAGAAATAAATTTATATCTTTTTTAGTTTATAAAATAATGAGAAAAAACTAAATTTTTAAAAACCAAAAAATTTAAATGTTTTACGTCTTTAACTCGTGCTGGTGTTTTTGATTTTTCATATTTTGTAATCAAACAAAAACAAACTCACAGATTAAGGTTTCCTGAAACCAACTATATTTTTAAAACTTCAAAATCTTAATTAATAAAAAGTTTATTAATTTTTTCGAAATACATTGCAAAAAATGTTTTTTTTAACTTTCAACGCTTCGTTTATCTAGGAAATTTCAAGGTACAAAAAACTTCCAGTGAGAAAGTTTTTTATTACGATACGGACAAGTTTTCTCTAAAATTTTATTAAAATGATATGGATATTTACAAAGTTATTAATGTTTAAAGCGTATGGTGCGTCAGATTTCTTGCGCCTGGAACGCATTGAGTACCGAATTGTTCGTTTGCATGGAACATATTAAGACTATTTTAGTTTATTCATTTGTTTACTTAAAATAAATACAATTTTTATTAAAGTCACTGATAAATTTTTGCAATATTATTATTATTAAGAAGTAACCAATAATAATTAGCCAAAATCGTCTGGAAATAGTTAAAATTTACTGACATACAAATAATTAGTACACAGTTATTTTGACATAAATGTAATGTTAATTTAACTAATAAAAGTTTATTAAGAATAGTAAAAATATTATTATTTTAATTTTTGACTGGTTTTTTAATATCAAAGTAATTATTTTTAAATAATATTTAACTATGGATTATGACGATTCATCTAACTTTATATAACAGTAGCATCAGTTTATTTATTCTAACATGTATTGTACGTAAAGATATATGAAATTATTTTTAAAAAAATATTGCAGAATTATTCGCAAAATAAATTGTACAATAATTCCATATTGTATTTAATACTTGAAGTTAAAACAAATTTTATTTATATCTGTATTTTGGCAAACATTTTCATACAATAGATTTTTTTTGTTATCATGTGCACTTCAAGGAAGTAACCCTTTTTTATATGCTATTTTTCTCAAAGTTGTCATTTGTTTTCACTCTACGGAAAAATATGGTGTCCAGATGAGTCGCGGTTGCCGCGACCGTTGACTGCAAAAAAAGGGTTCGGTAAAACCCAATACAATTTTCCCAGGATTTCGAGATTTTTTTATCACAATTAAGGAAATCGATATCTTTCTCCAAACGAACAGGAGTTTTTTAATAATTATTTTAAAAACATTAAATGTAGTAAACGAGATCATTTTGACGAAGAGTGGAAACCTTGAACTAAATGAAACAAGAAACTTAAAAATAAGAAATATTATTTTAGTTGACTTTTGTACATATAACAAAATAAAATATTTAGGTTAAAAATAAATTTCAATAAATTTTATTATATATATTGACAAACACATTTTTAACGCGTTGCAAACTAACAATTTGGGACTCAATGCGTTCCAGGCGCGAGAAATCTGACGTACCATACGCTTTAAACATTAACAACTTTGTAAATATCCATATCATTTTAATAAAATTTTAGAGAAAACTTGTCCGTATCGTAATAAAAAACTTTCTCACTGAAAGTTTTTCGTACCTTGAAATTTCCTAGATAAACGAAGCGTTGAAAGTTGAAAAAAAACATTTTTTGCAATGTCTTTCGAAAAAATTAATAAACTTTTTATTAATTAAGATTTTGAAGTTTTAAAAATATAGTTGGTTTCAGGAAACCTTAATCTGTGAGTTTGTTTTTGTTTGATTACAAAATATGAAAAATCAAAAACACCAGCACGAGTTAAAGACGTAAAACATTTAAATTTTTTGTTTTTCAAAAATTTAGTTTTTTCTCATTATTTCATAAACTAAAAAAGATATAAATTTATTTCTTAAAAAAAAAAGATGCGCATTTTCATTGTGTATAAATTTATTTCATTGAATTTGAAAATTGAAAATGTTTTAAAATCACACTATTCGTCAATACTTATACGTGAGAATCCACGCGTATCCCCTTTTAGAAGCCGTCCCCTCAATTGCAAAAAAAGTACTTTGCATTTATTGAAAAAACGCTTTTTAGTCGATTATCACACACAGTGTTGGTATTTAACAAAAACAGTTTATATATCCGCCTCGGTGTACACGAAATAGTTGGCTCATATAAAAAGAAATGTTTTTATATAAACCAATCGGCTTTTTAATATTGCATGTTAAAAAAAATTGACTGTCTCACAACTGGAGGTGTCTCACAACTGGAGACTCTCCCCTATTATAAAATAATATTTTTATAATAATAAAATTTTTAAGAATAATGACATTTTTCGAGAAATTTAATTAAAATTGTATTAAAAATAATTAAAATTCTGTGATGAGTTTTATTATTTGTGAAAATAATTGAATCTTTAAAAAGAATTTTATTATTTTTGATTTTTTGAACAATATTTAATTTATGCGAAGAATATTATTACTTTTAAAGAAAATAATTGAATTTCTGCAATAATTTGCAATTTTTCCAAAATTAAATTTTTCTTTAGTGTTTTTAACTAAAATTCTTCTACAAATCCATTATTTTTAATAGTTTTTTGAAAATAGTCATCGAGAATTTTCAAATTCATTTGTTTACAATTCAATTTTACAAAATTTCGATTATTCGGAAATTCTTCAATTAAATTTATTGTAGAAAATAAAAAATTCAAATAAATTTTAAAAAAATTTAATTTAATTTAAATTTTCCAAAAATTTTAATTTACAAACCTTTTCAAAATTTAATTATTGGTAAAAATTCACACTATAATGCTTTTAATATTCAATTATTATCTCAAATTTTAACTGAAATTCATTTTTAAATCAATTTTTATGTATTGAATAATTGAATGTTTTTTCAAATATTGAATTCTCATAAATAAATACATATATCTATAAATTTGTAAATAATTGAATTCTATCGACGAATTTTAATAAAATTTTGATAAAAAAATACTTTTTTCAAGGGATTTGATTAATTTATAAAAAAGTTTATAACATATTTGTAAATAATTGAATTCCTGTGAAATTTTTATTATTTATGACAATAATTAAATTCTATAAAAAAATTTAATTAAAAATACAATTTTTTAAAATAATAGCATTTTTCCAGGAATTGATTAAAAATTGTATAAATAATATTTAAAATTTTTATTATTTATCAAAATTCGCAGGAATTTGTTAAAAATTAAATTAAAAATAATTTAAATCCTTTGATGAGTTTTATTTTTATTATAATTTTTGAAAATCATTGAATTCTTGCGAAGAATTTTATAAAAATCTTTCTAAATAGGTAATTGATTTTTTTCGAAAAAATTTTATGAAAATTATGTTTTAAATAATTGAATTTTTTCTGCGAAGAATTTTATGAAAAGTTTAGAAAATAATTAAATTCCTCCGAAGAGTTTAATTGAAATTTCTAAAAATAATTGAATTCTTTCGGAGAATTTTATTAAAATTCTTGAAAATAATTGAAGTTCTGCGAAGAATTTTAATAATTTTTGGAAAAGAATTGAATTTTTGCTAAAAATTTTCATATTTTTGAAAATGTAATTGAAATTCTGCGTAGAATTTTATAAAAAATATTCATAAAATTCTTCTGCGAAGAACTTTGTTCTTTATGATAATAATAATAATTGAATTCTTCTGAATAATTTTGTTATTTATCAAGATTTTTGTTATTTATTAGTTATTAAAGTAATGGAGTTATTAGTAGGAAATTAAAAAAAAAATTTATAAATAATTGAATTCCTGTGAAATTTTTATTGTTTATGAAAATAGTTAAATGTTTAAGTAGACTTTTATTAAAAAATTTTTTGAATAATTGAATTCTTTTGGAATATTTTATTAAAATAGTAGTTATTGAATTCAGGGAAAATTTTGAAAATAATTTAAATTTTGCCAAGAATTTTATTAAAAATTTTGAAAATAATTGAATTTTGGGGAAAAATTTTATTATTTATATAAAAATAATTGGAATTTTGACGAGAATTTTTAAAAACTCTTGCAGTGCATTCTTAAAATTTCCGTTCACAAATATTTTTTTGAAAACGGTTAATCATCATTAGGAGAACTGACCTTCGAATAGAGTATTTTTGACACCTCTCAACGGCCAATTGGAGGCATGATTTAAATTAAAACCAGCAGCTGGCCCACCATTGTCAGTTGAAAAAACTATGATACTATTATTTAGCATATTTTTCTCGTACAGAGCTTTAATCACTAGACCAATTGTTGTATCCATTTCTTGTGCCATGGCTATGAAAATAGAGGGAAAAAAAATTCAATTTGTTGGAGAGAAAATGTAATCATTTTTTAATTGCAGATATTTTTTCCCATTTTGTAAAAAGAGGTATTATTTAATTACACGCAATTATTTACTATAAAAACCAACGATAAAAAAATAAAAAACATTTTTTATTAAACTTTCAAAAAAAATATTTTCAATTTTCTCGTTGAAAATAATTTAAGAAGGGCGCAATTTAAATGAAAGCTAATTGAAAGATATATTTTTTCATAGGTGAAACACAAAATTAAATTGAGGATAAATTGCAAGAATTTTTTAATAGTACTTGATTATGAACCAAAATAATTTTGTTACTAAACATTTATTTGAAAATGAATAAAAAAGGAAGGAAAAATTGTATTTTTTATTAAAGTTTTTAAATTAATTTTCATTGAAAAGAGAAATTAATTTTGCAAAAAATTTTGTTTTTGGCTATAAGTGGAAACGATTTAAGCGTCGGTGAAGTTCATAACGTTTGTAATCAACGATTATTGAGAACAAAATTATTTTTTACACGGAAAGGCGTAAAGTTTTTCTTTTTATAAATTTTACTTTTTGCAAATTTTTTTTTCACAAATTCTTTTTAAAATAATTGATAAAAATTGGTAAAGAGAAAATCTATGAAATATTTGCAAAAAAAAAAAAGTTTTTTAAGAGAAAATCTAAAAATTTGAATTAGAAAACTATTTTTAAAAAAAAATAATAAAATAAAAGTGTAAAATGTTACCGGCAAAGTTGCAACGTTGACTAACAGTATCGCAGGCGAGATTTTTCGAAAGTGTTTCCATAGGCGCTGGCAATGGGTTATAGGGATTTGCGGAATGCGTAGCTGCATGAGCGATGTACAAAAACAAGGGTTGACTTGTAGTATGATTTTTTATTATTTTTACAGCCTCAGATCCAAATACTCGAGTCGAATATTTCCCATGAAGATCCCACGCCGGATCTAATCCACGTCTCATATCGAAGCCCCATTGTTCCTATAATTTATTGCCAATATCAATTCTTTTAATATATTGTCAATAAAAAATTAAAAAATATGTCATTTTTTTAAAAATAATTCATATTAATACTAAGAATTTTTCTTTGTCTAATAAAATTTTAATAGTAAATCCGTATTTATTAGAATAATAATAATATTAATTGTATGTGGCGTAGGTTAGTGGTTAGCGTTCAGGTCTAGAGAGTGTTCGGTTGCGAGTTCGATTCCCGCGAGCGGCAAATATTTTTATATTAATATTAAAAATATAATCGAGAATAATAATTGTTCTTAATAACAATCAATGTACAATAAAAACGTAAATATAACGAAGTAAAAAAAACAATATACAATACAAAAAATATATAAAGTAAACAATATACAATAAAATCGTAAATAACAAAATAAGAAAACAATATACAATAAAAAGGTAAATAAAGAAATAAAAAGGGTCATAAAACACAAAAAAAACAACAATAACAAAATAAAAAAACAGAAAAGAAAAATACAATACGAAAAGAAGCAAAAAAATGCAAATATTGTATACAAAATTGTATGTGACACAATATTACAAATATTATATATATACAATAATAAGAGATAAAAGTGTTACATATATATTGTATAATAAAAAAATAAAAAGACAATATTCTAAATTAAGAAAAATGTATTTCATAAAAATGAATACTTTGCAGTTTCATTATCATAAATATATAAATATATATAAAAAAACCCCTAAAAGAATATTTCTTACTTTAAGGATTATTGTTTGAAAATGAAAAAAAATATTTGTTTGTTAAAAAATTATTTGTTTATTTGTTTCTGGTAATGAATGAAAAATATATTTTTCATAAACGTGGAGCATATTTTATTTACCATTTATTTAGAAAATTTATCTCGATTAATAATTTTCAGGACTAGAATTGTGAGTTGAATTATTTATCATCCATGGAAAAACCTTTATTTACAGATTCCCCGGGAGGAGCCTTTAGGGCTTAGATATGAAGGACAAAGTGATAAAATGAAAGTCGTTTCAAAAAACTACGAGAATTATTAGTTTCATTATATATATATATATATATATATATATATATATATATATATATATATATATATATATATATATATATATATATATATATATATATATATATATATATATATATATATATAGATACTCTTCTTTATACCTTGACAAAGAAAACAAAAAAAAATAATTCGAAAAGGCAATCTAATTAATTAGGGACTGTAATTAATTAATTATGACTTTAACAATAAACTTGATTATTTAACGAAAAAGATTTATAATTATACCATTACGATATGGGATAAAAAAATAATCTTTTCTAATTATTATTCTATTTATTTATTCAAAAGTAGAGAAAGGCAAATTTGTTTCATTATTTATTTATTTTAGGTACTAAGTAAACTTAATTTATTTACTTCTTGGTGGATTCCACGTCAGTTCAACACACTTATTTTCATGACTTGTTGGGATTTGGCTGTACTTTTGTAAATTTATTACTTTTATAGTGATAAACAACTCCACTAAATATTTTTTCAAAATTTTAAAAATTACCAAAAATATGGCATTTTCAAAATTTTTGTCTTTTTTTGAAAGTGCTATAACTTTAGTTCTTATTAACCGATTTTGGATTTTAAAAAAAGGATTTCTTTGGTTTTAAGTATATTTTAAGTTACAATTAATATAAAAAAGAAAAATTCAAAAAAAAATTTTTTTTGAAATTTTGAAAAATTAAAAATCCGTTTTTGAAAAAACATCATCTTTGATTTTTTTCAAAATTTTACTAAATGTTAGGGCAAATGTGCTTTACATGTCCTGTAAGTTTTATCTTGGGATCTCAAAGGGATTCGGAGTAAAAAAATAAAACGTAACCACAAATTACGAACATATGGGGCAAAATTCCTCACCTGCCCAGGTAAAAAAATGAATTTTCTCTAAACTTTGCTAAAATGTTACTATTATTAGTAGAAGTGTAAATATTAATTTTTTTTGAATTTGATAAAATATTTTGTGCAACACCTGTAAGAAAAGTAATACTTTGCATGCCTGTAAAGTAGGCGCAAAACAGTACTTTGCTGCACTAGTGCGGCAAAGTGCTTACTTTGCTGCACTAGTGCGGCAAAGTTCTTAAACTTTTGGGTTTTTTTGGTGATATACATAGGTATTTGTTTTCTATTTGTAGAATACCTGTTCTTTACAGTAATATACGAGTAGAAAACCACGTATATTACGTGCGGTAACACGTTCTAAACCCTGCTAAACAGTACGTATGTTGGCGTCAACTAGCGTTTCCAAACAGCTTTTTTTATCAAAACCAAAAGGTGTTGCACAAAGTACTGTGTGCAACACGTACGAAAGAAGATTTTCCAACTTCGTGCAAATTGCTGCCCTCGCTTCGCTCGGGACAGCAAACTTTGCACTCGTCGGAAAACAGCTTCTTTCTGTACTTGTTGCACAATATACTATTTTGAGTTATGGAGTTTCAAAATTTTGATTTTTTTGAAAATATCTTTTTTTCGATTTAATATATTGATAAGTAAAATTAATCAAATTTAAAGTATGAATAGTGATTTTTGAAGGGGTTTTCACGGGCTATAAGCTGGTGATGAAAAAAAAGTTGTTTTCTGTCAATTTGACCTTGAAATTCAAGGTCAAATTCTTAATTTCAATATAAAGTAGAACCCGGTTAATACGATCCCGTTTAATACGATTTGCCGCTTAACTCTTTGCCGTACATTAGTTTTCCCCACCTCAGAAACAAGCAGTTTGACAGTTGAATCACGTGGAAAATATCAGGGCCGAATGTTAGTTTGATTTTGAGGTTATGTTTACATAGGATATTTATGTTTGATAAAAGTCTTTAACAATCAAATTTACCATTTTTAAATTGTAATAAATTGCAAATATACATTTACACTTTACACAAAAAATCGTATTTTTAGTGATCAATTAGTATAATTAAATATAATTTATTGTAAAATATAAATGGGTTCCAATTTTGAGAAGGTACGATACTGCAAGTTTAGACACTTACATACTCACACATAACTAACTTATCAACACAAGCATAAACGCCTCTTCTCATTGGCTGTTCCCCCAAAAAGGACTCTAGACGACATTTCGTAACATATGAACGGCAAAGAGTTAAGACACTCATTTATGGTGGTCCCTGCAATTAAAGACATACATTTTATATCCCACCTAATACGTTTTCCCGCATAAGATGCATTCTTAGTGCGGTCCCTACAGAATCGTATTAAATAAGTTCTACTGTATCTCAAAATCGGTGTTTTTTATTTTTTTCTAACTTATCCCAATCGAAAGCTTACGTTTTTCTATATGAGCCATGTAAAAATCAGAGTGGGACCATGGAACTTTTTGAAGAAATTAATTATAAATCATCATTTTCTATGTAAAATAATGATAAATTATTATTTTCCTCAAAAATTCTCATGGTCCCACTCTGATTTTTACATGGCTCATAGAAAAAAGGTCACCAGCTTAAAGCCCGTGAAAACCTCTTTAAAAATCTCTATTCATAACTTTGAATTTGATTAATTTTACTTATCAATATATTAAATCGAAAAAAAGATATTTTCAAAAAAATCAAAATTTTGAAACTCCATAACTCAAAAAATATTTTATCAAATTCAAAAAAAAAATAATATTTACACTTCTACTAATAATAGTAACGTTTTAGCAAAGTTTAGAGAAAATTCATTTTTTTACCTGGGCAGTTGCGGAATTTTGCCCCATATGTTCGTAATGTGTGGTTACGTTTTATTTTTTTACTCCGAATCCCTTTGAGATCCCAAGATGAAATTTACAGGACATGTAAAGCACATTTGCCCTAACATTTGGTAAAATTTTGAAAAAAATCGAAGATTATGTTTTTTCAAAAACGGATTTTTAATTTTTCATATTTTCAAAAAAAAAATTTTTTTGAATTTTTCTTTTTTATATTAATTGTAACTTAAAATATACTTAAAACCAAAGAAATCCTTTTTTTAAAATCCAAAATCGGTTAATAAGAACCAAAGTTATAGCACTTTCAAAAAAAGACAAAAATTTTGAAAATGACATATTTTTGGTAATTTTCAAAATTTTGAAAAAATATTTAGTGGAGTTGTTTATCACTATAAAAGTAATAAATTTACAAAAGTACAGCCAAATCCCAACAAGTCATGAAAATAAGTGTGTTGATCTGATGTGGAATCCACCTCTTATTTTATTTTTTTTTATTTATTTTTTTTATTCTTTTGCTTCCTCATGAGGAAGCTTTGCATTGGTGACGATTTTCAATTTTTCAAAACAAGGTTATATGGACTCATTTTCATCTAGAACATATGTATATTCAATTATGAGCAAATGTCCAGATGTATGTGTGTGTGTATGTATGTGTGTATGTGTGTGTGTATGTGTGTATGTGTGTGTGTGTGTATGTCACAAAAATTGTGTACAAATTATCTCAGACAAATTTTGATGGATTGTCCTGAAATTTTGCAGGTTTATTGCAGTCATTAATACCTGAAATCTGACACAAGGATTTTCAAAAATATGTACAAAATTTTTTTTTATACAATTTTTTTAAAATTCAGAAAATTTTTTTTTTGTATTTTCTGAAATAATTTTTTTATTTGTTAATATTTTTATTAATTATTCTCAAAATTACATTCCTGGCAAGAAAACGAATCGATTGATGTATACAAAGTATATATTTTATCAAAATTTATAAAATTAATAAATATTTTTCTTTTTCACAAAAAATTCAAATTTGGTATTTTTTTCATAATTAATTTAATATTAATATTAATATTTTGAAATGATTATTCTATCATAAAATAGAAGCAATTGGCAAATGAAAGTGTAAATTTCACCAAATATTTATACAACAACTTATAAATGATTTATATAATTTTATTTTTAACCAATCTTCTGGACGAACCCTTTTGTACATAATTTTTCAAAAGTTTGCAATACCGCAATTTTTATATATTGAGGAAGCTTAATGGTCATAAAATGAACAACTTGTTTTTAATTGTTTTTTTTATTTATAATAAATTGAAATTTATTTGTAAATCAACAAATACATGAATATAGAAAAAAAATGGTTCTATATTGTCGTGTGGGATATTCTAAAAAATTGTAGACAAACATTTAGTATTGTCCATTTAAATATTAAAAAATAAAAATTAGTTAAATTGCAAAATTCCAAAATCATAAAATTTAAAAAAGAAAAAATCCTATAGAAAATTATATTTAAATAATTGAATTTTACTCGTATGAAGAAAATGGAAGGAAATAATAAATTTTCTTTTCTTTAAGAAAAAGGCTATAAATATAATATACTTCATTTGCTATATCAGTTTCAGTTCAATGAATATTAAATCGATTTTCCGTTCACAATATAATGTAGATAGTAAAATTTCCTCCTGTTTTTGTTACGCACGTTAAAAATACATGTTAATTTCAACATGCAAATCACGAGAAAAAATCATTAAGTATTATTCTAAAAGAAAAAATATGAATCAACTTACGATTCAATATGAATCGACTTACTTTTTTTCTATATATAGGTTTCATTATTATTAAACAATTCCCGAAAGTTAATTTTTATTTTATGAAAAAAATAACGAATTTTTTTATGGAAAAAAATATTTCAATTTTGAAAATGTAGAATCGTTTGTAATTATTCTTTTCTAACGAACACAATTTATTTGATTAATTATTTAATTAATTTATTTAATTAAACTACGCTATGATTTTGAATTAGTAAAAAATGTTTACTAATTTAAATTAGTGACTGATTTTCTGCTTTTGAATTAGTAAATTTTTCTAATGAATTTTATTTTCTACTTTTTAATTAGTAAATTTTACTAATAAATAGTATTTTCTATTCAAGTAGTAAATTTTACTATTGTTCTTCATGTATATTCTTTTTGGTTTTTACTCTCTAAATCTGAATTAGCGAAATTCCACTAATTTCCCAGCGATAAGTATATCACTGATTCAATTAGCGTATATGTATACGCTAATTAATCAGTGAAATTTCACTAATTCACAGCGTATATACGCTAATTGAATCAGTGATATACTTATCGCTGGGAAATTAGTGAAATCTCGCTAATTCAGATTTAGAGAGTACTTATATCTGATAACCCCTTGTTTATTATAGTAAATTTTACTAATAAATATTACTTCATACTTTATTCAATTAGTAAATTTTACTAATAAACAGTAATTTCTACTAATTTTAAATTAGTAAATTTTCCTAATAACAATTTGTTTGTATTTTATTTATTTAATTACTTAAGAACTAGCTAAAATGTTTCTTTTCTTATGGTACATAAACATACTTAAAAACATTTTTCATTTTCATATTAAATTATATTTTGAAAATAAAAATAAAAATTATTATAAGCAAAAAAAGGTTAAATGCATACATATATGAGAAATATTGAAAACAATTGAAAAAACAAAAGCATATACACAAAAGTCTAAGTTCTGGTATAATAATTTTACTAATAGTTTAAAATTAATTAAATTTTCAAAAAGTTGCGTTTACAATTTTCATAAATACATATGAATATTGAAATTTTATAAAATTTCAATTTTCAATGAGTTTCATTAGAAAATTTAAAGATTACTGAGGTTTTTAAAAATTTTAATAATTCAAATTCTTCTGAAATTTGTTAAATTTTTAATATATAATTAAGTAATTATTAAAAATAGTGGATTTATAGACGCATTTTACTCAAAAACACTAAAAAAAAAATTGAATTTTTGGTTAATTATCCGCTTTAATAATATTTAATTAAATATTGATTAATTATTTAATTAATATTTTATTTTAATTCTTTTTATTAAAAATAATTGAATTATATTTCGTTTCAATGGATTCGAATACAAATTGTTTGAAATAATTCGTTAAGTAACTAATTAAGAAGATTTTAATAATTATTGAAATAATTATTGATTTGACTAATTATTTAATTAATTAAAATTATTTGATTAATTATTAAAATTTATACCATATTGAGTTGTTCTCTATATTCATTAAGTAGAAAAAAAATTTAATGATTTAAAAAATTAGTTTTTTTTCTATAGTAAATAAAATATAAGAAGAAAATTTTAAATTCTTTTTTAATTTTAATTAAAAGTTTGTTTTTTTTGTATTTTACCTCCTCAACAGCAGTGTGATCAAAATAATCATGATGACCGGTCCAAAATCCAAGATGAGAATCAAAACCCCTATACAATGGTGTATATTCTTTTTTATAATGTCCCAAGTGCCATTTTCCCACAATGTGGGTACTATAGCCAAGTTGTTTCAAATATTGTGGTAGTAACTTTTCATTAAGTGGTAGTCCTCTGGGTTCAGCGGCTTTAAGAACCTGTGAGCGATATTTTATAAGGGCCATGAAAAAGGGAAAACAAATTCAGATTAAAAAAAAACATTTTTTTTTCCAAACTTTTTTGTACAGTATACTTAAATTTTTTTTATGTCACTAAATTTTTTAAATGTAATTCAAAAGTTTTTCTAACTATAACCGAAACGGATTTTTCATTAAAAATATATTTTCATTAATCAAAGGAAGAAGGAAAAAAAAAGAATTGTGAACAATATTTCGTGCGAGGAATATAGAAGAATGCGTGTTATCTCTTTCCTTTACTCTCTCCTTGGGAAAAGGAGAAAATGAGGGAATGAAATGCGGGTAAGACAAATGCTTGGGGATGTCTGATCTTGCAAACACTTTACTACTGATGTTCTATAAAGTACGTGACATTTAGGAAAATATTAATCATTCTTTTTAATATTATTAACAAATAATAATATAATACAATTTTCCCTTACAATTATTTATTACTCTCTTGATTAATGTTTCAACTGTCTATATTTTTTTTTATAAATTATTGAATTTTTTATTTACATTTATAGAAATTATTTATTTTATTTTAAAATATTTTTTTTCTTTCATACATTTATGAATAATAAATTTTTTTTGAATAAAAATAAATCGATTCAAATCGAACCGAAAAAATCAAAATAAAACGATTCGAATAAATCGAAAAATAAATACGAATATAAATTTAATTAAAGTAAATCAAATTGAATAAATCGATTCAAATAAATTGACTCAAATTAAATCGATCCGAATAAATCAAAATAAATCGTGTAATGAAACGATTCGAATAAATCGATTCGAAATAAATCGATTCGAATAAATAAAAAAAATAAAACGATAAATAATTCGATTCGAATAAAATGAAATAAATCGACTCGAATAAATTCAATCAAAATAAATCGATTTGATTAAATAGAAGTAAATTCGAGAAATAAATTGACTCGAATAAATCGATTTAAATAAACTGAATCGAAATAAATAGAGAAATAAATCGAATAGAATAAATCGTAGCGATATAAATTGAATGGAATAAAAAATTATTATTTAACACTTATGAATATTTATTTTATCATATGCGCAAGTGATGATTATTATTTGAAATAAAATTGACTATCTGTAAAATATGCAAAAATAAAAATTTCATCTATGGCCATACTTATGAATATAAATGTAATAAAGAATAAAACAAATGATTATGAATATAAATAATAAAAAATAAAATAAATGTTTATGAATAATATATAACGGTGCATATAGAAAAAAAATATTGCATTTCAACAGAATTCATAAAATGAAAATAATTCTTTGTTCTTTATTATTTAATTAAAATACGCACTGCGCGAGAATATCGTATTTTTTGTTAAAAATTTTTCCTGTACAAATTTACTAATAAACATTTAATATTATTTTTTTTTGTTAAATAAACTTTTATTTATTGCATATATACGAAGCGAGTGTTGAAGATTTTTTCAATTTAAAATATGACACAGATGGTTGAAATTTCATATAAAAGCAGACGGTGAAATTTGTCAAATATCTATTTTGCTCTAGTTTTCCTGAATTTAGAGAGCTCTCATATATAATAAAACAAAAAGATTTCTATTACTGATCTGCAATAATAAATTCACACACTGTTACTATTTTGTATATTCAAATTATCTTTATAAGCAAAATTTTTTATTTTTTACCATAAAAATTATTTCTTTTGTACAAGAATTTTTTTTCTTGGGTCAAAAATTATTTTAATTCTTCGTTTTGTAGAGAATTTATAAAAATTAAATTTTTTAGGTAAAAATTGTAATTTTTTATGAATAAAAATTCTTCTTTCTATTTATTTCAATTTTAGATACAAATTATAATTTTTCTATGTTTTTATGAATACAAAATTTTTTTTCTTTTTATTTAAATTTTTTAGGTATAGAAAATACAAATACAATAAAAAATACAAAAATAAATGTAAAAATAAATAAATAAATAATAAATAAAATAATAATAATAATAATAATAAATAAATGTACAAAATACAATACAAAATACAAATATATATATACAAATTATACGTTTTCTAACAAAAATTTTTTTTTTTTTTAATAAAAATTCTTTTTTCTATTTATTTAAAATATCTAGTGAATAGTGTCGTGTTAAGAATAATTTTGTTTGTGAAAACTAACGTGCGTAATTTTTTAAATAAATACATTTTCCCTATCTGTTCGAAAAAAGTCTGTGTCGTTGAGTACATTATTCACTTCAACACTTATACGATTAAAAACAGAGTTTTTTTTCGAAATTTGTACAATGAAAAATTGTACACGAAAAAACTTTTTATATAAAAATTCGTCTTTTTATATAAAAATTATTTTCTTGAAATTACTTGTTTTTAAGATAAAAATTATTTCTTTCTTCCAAAATTGATTCTTTTTATACAAAAATTCATTTTCTATATTAAAATTATTTTTTTATACAAGAATAATTACTCTTTTTAGGGTGAAAATTATTTCTTTTACATGAAAATTCTACTTTTTATACAAAACGTTTTTCTTTTTTTTTAAGTCAAAAGTATTTCTTTCGGACAAAAAATTCATTTTTTTATATAGAAATTCACTTTCTATATTAAAATGATTTTTTTATACAATAAGAATTACTTTTTTAGGTGGAAATTATTCCTTTCATAATAAATTCTTCTTTTTATATAAACATTTTTTTTTTAATTGAAAAATTTTTCCCTTGTATGAAAATTCCTCTCTTTATATAAAAATAATTTTGTTTACACAAGAATTATTTTTTTAAGTGAAAATTATTTTTTTTATAAATAAAATCTTCCTTTTATTTAAAACTTACTTTTTTTACACAAAAATAATTTTTTAAAATTGAAAAATATGTGTTTTGTATGAAAATTCCTCTTTTTATATAAAAAATATTTTTTATACAAGAATTAGTTTTCTAGGCGGAAATTTATTTCCTTTAGTTACATAAAAATTCTTCTTCTTTTAATGAAAATAATTTTTTTTAATAAAAAAGTATTTTTTTTCTTTTTTGATAAAATAATTTTTTTTTATTTAAAAATTATTTTTTTATGTAAATTCTTTTTAGTATTTGTAAAGTGAAGGATAACTTACACTGTGTTGCATACCAGTGTGAATTGGATATTTTCCTGTCATTAGGGCACTTCTTGAAGGCGTACAAATTGGCGTAACATAATAATTATGCAACATAAGTCCAGTGTACGCAAGAGCATCAATGTTGGGCGTTAAAATTTGCCCCGAACCATGAAATCCAACGTCATTCCATCCCTTTTAATTAAAAAATACATGTAAACTATTTACTTTACTAAAATTTTCATTATTTCTAAATTGTTACTATATTTTCGTAACAAATTTTTTACTATTATTTTTACCATACCAAACTAGTAAAATTTATTTACAGGTACTTTTTCAGAATATTAGAAATTAAATATTAAAATGTTTTTAAAATAATAAAAAATATCGAGAGAGAAAGAAATAAGTAAATTTAAATGAAAAGGAAACTAAAGTAAATAAAAGATATTCAATTTATTGAAACAAAAAATATCGAAAATGAAAGAAAAAAAATAAGTAAATTTAAATGAAAAGGAAATTAAAGTAAATAAAAGATATTGAATTTATTGAAACAAAAAATATCGAAAATGAAAGAAAAAAAATAAGTAAATTTAAATGAAAAGGAAATTAAAGTAAATAAAGATATTCAATTTGTTGAAACAAAAAATATCGAAAATGAAAGAAAAAAAATAAGTAAATTCAAATGAAAAGGAAATAAAAATTAATTTAACTTTTGCAAGAATTTATTTAAGATTCATTTAATTTTTCTTTTGTATGATAGGAATATCTTTGAGTAAAAAATTAGTAACATTTTCTCCTTTTAATTCTACATCAAAAGATATAATTTTTCATTTGTTGTTTGAAGAAAAAGAAAAAAAAAAAAGAAATAAGTATATAAACTTACCAAGTCGTCCGCAAGAATAAAAATGATATGCGGTTTACTGTCTGCCAAGACTCCAAATGGAGTAAGAATAAGAAACAAAATAGTGAGACTGTGTATCATCTTGCCGCGGCAAAAGTAAAGACAAACTCCTGGGTAATGTAAGAAAACTTTTTTCAAAAGCGAAAACTGAACTGCGTTGTGTGTGTATGCACCTCTTCAAAGAAAGACAGATAATAAATTTTTCTGCCAAAAGATTTATTATTTCACTTCACTATGTTATAAACAAATACCAAATTTTCATTTCATATTTCATTTATGTGTTTTATCCTAAAAAAAAAATCAAAATCAAAATTTCCATCAAAAAATAGTGCGTTCAAACCAGTTTTACTTTAAATAAATAACTAATTTTTTTAGCTGTATAATCTCTTAAATTATTTTACTATTAAAATCAATTTTTTATTAAGAAGATAATTATTTTTCTATTTTATTACTATTTTTTACAAATTTTTGTTGACTTTATAACAATAAATTAAAAAAATGTTGAATATCAAATAATTAATTTTATTTTAATTAAATTTAAGTAGAAATTAATTTTATTTCTTTTTATTTATAACTTAATTTGAGTATAGAAATTAAATTTGTTTTTTAATTTAATTCAATTCAAGTAGAAATTAAATTTGTTTTTTTATTTAATTCAATTCAATGTTGAAATTAAACTTGTTTTTTTATTTAATTCAATCCAAGTAGAAATTAAATTTGTTTTTTCATTTAATTTCATTTAAGTAGAAATTAAATTTGCATTTCTATTTAATTCAATTTGAGTAGAAATTTAATTTGTTTTTTATACTATTTCAATAGTTACTAATTTTACTTTTTTTATTTAATTCAATTTAAGTAAAAATTAATGTAGTGTTTTCAATTAATATTTAGGTAATTTAAGTAGAAATTCGTTGAAACAGAAAATTAATTTTACTTTTTTTATTTCATTATTAATTTGAATAGAAATTAATTTTATGTTTTTATTTCATTCAATTCAAGTAGAAAATTAAATTAGTTTTTTATTTAATTAAATTCAAGTAGAAATTGAATTTTGTTTTCTTATTTCATTCTTAATTTAAATACCTAGAAAATTTTAGTTTTTTATTTAATTTAACTTGAGTGGAAATTAATTTTTTTTGTTTAATTCAATTCAAGTAGAAATTAAATTAGTTCGTTTTTAAGTAGAAATTAAAATTTATTGTTTAATTTAATTAAATTTTAAGTAGAAATTAAATTCTATTTTTTTACTTAATTTAAATTGAGTAGAAATTAAATTTTATTTTTTTTTAATTAATTCAATTTGAGTAGAAATTAATTTTATTTTTTTATGTTTATTTTAATTGAAGTAGAAATTAGATTAGTTCCTTTTTTTTAGTAGAAATTAAATTTTATTTTTTTTACTTAATTTCATTTAAGTAGAAAGTAATTTTCACTAAATATTGAAAAATATTTTTAATTAAACTTTTGCTTTTTCTTATTTTCTGTTTATTTCCTGTCGCTTTAAAGTATTCTTAAGAATTTATTTAGTCGCCTTGAATAGTAATTTCACTTTTAAGTGTAAAATTTGTTTTAAGTATAAGCAAAGTCTTCGAAAGGTACTGTCGACTTTAGTCAAGAGGCGAGAAAATTGTGTCTCAGTTTGTCAGTTTGGCGCGGAGAGGGGGGTATTCATTCATTTATTCTTATCACACTAACACTATATATATATATATATACATACATATATATATATATACATGCCCAAATCATTATTTAATATCGCAAAGTCAACGCAATGTCGACGCATTTTTACTTCAATTAAAATCAGAAATTACTTGCAAAGAATTTTTTCGTCAAACATTTTTTATCGAAAATATAATTTGTATAATATTTTTTTTTATTTTTAAATTTTATTTAACTAAATAATTAAATAATTAAATAGTTAAATAATTAAATTGTTAAATCATTAAATTATTAAATTGTTAAATCATTAAATATAAGAAAAAATACTAAATTAAACAAATTTGTTTAGTAAAACAAATTTACCTTTTATTGATTTTGGTCTAAATTATTTTTTTTTATTATTTTTTTTATTTATTACAATTTATGATAATTTACCATTTATTATAATTTATAATAATAACCCTGGACTAAATAGTCAGACAAATTGTAAAAATTATTATCAAATGAGCAAAAAAAAAATAATAAAAATTCTAAATAATATAATAAAAAAAATTATTTATAATAAAATATAATATAATGAAAATATTAAACATATATAATATACAATATTTTAGGCTTAAAATATACTTTTTATTACGCAATAAATATTTTTCAAATTAATTTATATTTTATTTTATTTATTCTATTTTATTCTATTTTTTTTCGATTTTGTTTATTTATTTTGTATTGCAACACCAAATAAGTTTTGTAAATTAATCCCAAAGTCCATTAGAAATTCATTGCACTATTTAGTTTCTACTTGAATATTCCAGTGCCAAGAGCAAGTGAATATATATTATATTCTGAGTAAATTTAGTGTAAGATGCTGTGTTTTCTCCGCATGCGATTCTGAAAATTGTGATCTCAAGTGAAAAAAGCTTATTTCCTTAATGAAATCTACTAATAGTGCGATAATATAATTCCATTAGACATATCAGAAATTAACTGTTCACTGCGCTTTTTTCTTTTTTTGTTTGTTTGAAATAGAAATTTTATTGGAAAAAGGAGCAAAAAATAAAGAAAAATAAAATAAAAATTAAATTAAATATACAAAGTTTATAGACACTGTACGAGAAAATTTTAATTAAAATATAAATATCGAAGACTAGAGTCAAAAACATTGATTGCTTTTCACTCTGTACGTCCTTTCAAGCACAAACTCATATACACTCACTCAGAAAGTAGAGATGAGAAGCGAATATAAAAAAGAAAATGAATCCTGAAAATTTTAAAAGGAAGAGAAAATATTTAAATTCTTATTTAAAAGTTTACCAGAGAAAAATTATATTTTTAATTTTTTGAATTTTTGAAATAACAATTTTTTTCCACTCTTTTTTCTACGTTATTTCAAAGGACAGAAAAATTATTTTTACCTTTAAAAAGCAAAATTTGTTGAACGAGGGAATAAATTAATTTTTTTCTTTTTCTTTTTTATGTTTGCAAAAAAAAGATTTCATTTTTTTTTTACTTCTTTCTTTTCTCCAACAAATTAATAAAAATATTTATTTCGTCTTCAGGGAAATTTTTTATTACGATAATAATTTTTCGTCACTGAAATAAGAAAATAAGTTTAGTTTCTAATTTGTAAAACTTGAGTTTTAATTTTTTGTGTTGCCTAATTTATGACGAAAAAAAAATTCATTTGATTCAAATAATAAATAATATTTAATTAAAAAAGAATGAAAAATATTTGTCTATTATCAAATAAATATTTACTTGAGTCAAATAATTTTGAATTAATTGAACAGTATTTGATTCAAATATTTAAATTATTGATTCAAATACAATTTAATTGACTTCAATAAAAATGATTGATTCAAAAACAATTTAAATTGATAACGTAAATAAAAATTAATTTTCAAGTAAATATTTATTTAATAAAAGTACTAATCGATTATTTGAATGAAGTAAATTTTTTTTCTTAGTGCGACATTTTTTAGTTAACATATTTCCTTTTTTTAAATTTTAAACTTTTGGATAAAGAAAAAACGACAATAATTTTTCTGAAAGTAAATTTTATCGATTTTTTATTTTTCATCTAAAAAAAAAGTTTCAAAGGCAATATATTCTGCGTTTACTTTTTTTTATTTGCTTTAGTGAAAAATTGAAACAAACTAGGAAAATATAAAAAGTTGATTTTTCTGTCTTGTTTCAAAAACGAGGAGGCAAGAAGTTGGGAGAAAATTAAATGCATATATTTATTTTTTACTTTTCGTCTCATCCATTTACGCTGATTGCCAATTACAAAAATGAATTTTAGATACTAATTTACATTTATTTTGAAATTTTTCGCGAAACTAATATGAAAAATCGCACATAATATGATGTGAGAAAAAAAAGAGGGAGAGAGATAATCTGTATATTTTTAATTAAAAATTTTTAACGATCCACTTTTCGATATTACTGATGCGAGGAAATATGTTCTTCTTTTTCTTTTTTTTGTTTGCTATTTATACACGCGCCAGTCTTTGGCTCAATTATGCAAAGAAAAGTCTATAGTAATTTGATAAAAGTTGACTTTTTTCACTTCTCTTTTTTTTCTTGTTTGCCAATATAAAGTCCTTTTTTACACAACCAAAGTCAAAGCTCTAGAAAAAACAGTTCCACCCTTAACTTTCAAATGGCTTCTTTTTTTTAAATTATTGTGCATCGTAAAAATCGATTTGCCAATTATTAACAATTACTTTCGCTTACATATGACTTCTGCAAAAAAAAAATTCTGCACGAGAATGCTCGCTAAATATTTTTTTCATTTTTTTAATTATTTTTGTATGCTTTGTAATGAAAGAATTATTTTTATTTCTTTATGGAAGAAAATTATATTTTATTTTTGTTTTATTTTTATTAAATATTTATTTAATTTAAAAAAAATTTTTTTTTAGAAAAAGAAAAAGAAAAAAATTTAGGAAAAGAAAATTATATTTTTTTAGAAAATTTAGAAAAAGAAAATTATATTTTCTTTTTCTAAATATTTTTTTTTCTTTTCCTAAAGTTTTCTTCTTTAATAATATATTATTATATATTATAATCGTACTATAAATAAACGAATAAAATAAATATTTAATTTAGAGATAGCAAAAAGTATTTAATTACAAAAAAATTATCGGTACTTAAAAAAATTCCGTGATGAAATTTGTGGCCTAAAGATGACGATAATAAATCTTCTGTCGCATCCTTCATCCTTTTTTTGTCAATTGATAAATTATTAATCGATAAACGAATGAGAGTGTGTGTGATAGAAAAAATTGTAAAGATTTGTGTATCATTTTGTTTGGTAATTACAAATTTTATGCAATTTTTCATTTACAAAATAAAAATAAAATGTACTGTCAGAATTTTGTGTATTTTATTAATTAATTTATTTTAAATATAAAATTTATTTAAAAAATTAAAAAAATTTTCAATTGAAAGAAAAATAAACAAAAATATTTTTATTCGTTTATTAATTTTAAATATATAACAATTTATGTACACAATTAAAGAATATTTCCATTTTTTGTCTTTTGAAAAATAGAAGAAAAATACTTTGAATTTAGAGATGGACTTACTTTAACTGAACTTTATATTCACGCAAAAATAAATAAAAATATATTGACAATTATAAATATATAAATATTTCGCAATGAAAAAAATTTTCCAATTTAAAAAAAAATCTAAAATACTCTCCTTTATGTAAAAAAAATTATTTTAATTAAAAAAGCAATTTTTACAGTTTAGATATAACCAAATTACAGAAGAATATTTATTCTGTTTCTAATAAAAAATACAGTTTCAATTACAATTCCCAAACCTTTTAGTTTGAAAAAAGAAACTAATCTACAATATTTTAATCTTCCGCGGGACAGAAAATTTTATGACTCATTTGATTTCTTCTTCTCATTGCCAACTTTCTTCCTTATTTTCTGCTGCATTGCGGAATTTCAGACATAATTACAAACAATCTAAGTAAGTGCTTTACTGAAATATTCAACTAACAAAGTTTCGTCCAATTTTCCAAGAAAAAATTAATTTTTTTATCTGTTTTTTTCTTATTTTTTTTTTATTAGAAAAAATGAAAAAATTATCTCTAGATAAAAAAAATTTAATATTTCAAAAAAACTATTCGCATTTGAATTATTTATTCATAAGCTCTCAAGAGCAGCGAATACTTGGACTCAGTTCGTGTGATGTTTATGTAATATTTGAGAAAAAAGAAAACTTAGGGAAAATTTAATTTTATGAATAAAGTTTTTATTATTTTTTTTTGGACTAGATTTTTTTTATTAATTTTTTTTTCGAGATTTTTTAAAAATTTATTTTGCACTAGTTTATTTATTTTATTAATTGTTTTCTGTACTAATTTATTTTTTTTTTATTCATTTTTTTGCAGTCGATTCTTTTCTTTTATTAATTTTTCTCAATAATTTATTTCTTTAATTTGTAGAGTAATGAGTTATTTCTTTATTCATTTTTTTGCAATTGTTTATTTTTCTTTATTCATTTTTATCCACTCGATTTTTTTTATTCATTTTTTGAACTATATATTAATTTTTTTGCTCTAATTTATTTTTCTTTATTAATTTCTTTTCGCTTGGTTATAATTTTTTTTATTAATTTTTTGCACCAGTTTATTTTTTTTCTGCATATTATTATCTGATAAAATACACTTAAAAGGGAAATTAATTTAAAAATTGAGTTTTCAATAATTTAAAACACTCAATGAAGAAGTAATGTACTCGAAACAATTGAAGAAGAGTTGTTTCGCGAAAATTGAAGTATTTTCCAATTTTCGTGGGGAAAACGACAAGTAGTTGAAAAGGAGTTTGAAAAGATCTATTGAAAGTTGAGAATATAAAAATTTTCTTTCGCCCAAGGTTTCAATGAAACGAATAAATGAAATTCTATTTTAAACAAAAGAAAGAATTTTTTTTCTAGTAAAATAAAAAAATTTTGTTATTTTATGTTTATTTATTTTTTTTTAACTAACACAAAAACTAAATGATTATTTTAAATAAATTATTTTTGGCAAATAATAATTTTAAGAAAATTATTTATTTATTTACTTATTTCTTTATTTATTGAGATACATTCTCGCAGTCCAAGAAGGTTCCATGAATGATTAACAAAATGAAATAAAAATACAAATGAATTTTAAAGAAATTATTTTAAGGGAAAAATAATTTGTAATAAATTATTTTAAGGTAAAAAATAAAACTGGAAATAAATGAAAAATAAATTGAAATAAATTATTTTAAGTTAAAAAATAATTATCTTTAAGTAAAAAATAATTTGAAATAGAGAATTGATAGTAAATAATAATTTCAAGTAAATTTGACGCGCTCCCTACAAAGATGCCTAAGAAGCAAAAATTTTTAGGTTATGTTTAACATTTTTGGTGTAAAAATTCAGAAAGAGAATCAATTTCTATTGTCAATTATTGACGTTTAAGTTTTTATTGAATCCAAAATATTCAGTGAAAACTGTTTTCGAATATAAATAATTAAAAAGAAACTGTAAATTAAAATAAAAATATGAAAAACATAACCTTAAAGTATAGAAAAAAATGAAATAGAAAAATAAATATAAAAGTTGAATAATTTGGAAGTAATATAATAAAATCAGGAATTAAATGAAATGAAAGCAGTAAAAATAGAATTTAATTTGAATTACTTTGAATTACAGATGAATGCGGTGTGTAGATGTAATGGAGGACATAATGTTAACGACCACTGAGGCAAACTTCACGGAATACGATTTTCATAAAATAGCCACAAATGTTTATCAAAATTGGAGTAATATTTCATGCGAGGAACTCTTCTCAAACAGCAAAACTGTACTCTCAGTCACATGGTTTCAGATGACAATTTACTTTTTGTACACGACCGTATTTGTAGTTGCATTAGTTGGTAATGGACTGGTGTGTTATGTTGTAATCAGTAGTCCCCGAATGAAAACGGTGACAAATTATTTTATCGTTAATTTGGCCGTCGGCGATATACTCATGGATCTTTTTTGTGTGCCAACAACTTTCTTCAGTACATTGGTACTTCAATATTGGCCGTTTGGTTCGAAACTTTGTCCCGGCGTCAATTATTCTCAGGTAAATTTTATTATTTTGCATTTCAACTGCATTAAAAGAATTCAAATAATACCTAATTCTTAAAAAATAAAAAATTTTTTTTTAAATTAAAAAAAATATATTATTAATAATAATACCCCGTCTGCTCTTCTTCGCTTGTGGGAGACGAATTTTATTTCCACCTGTCGGACAGTTATGGAATTAAAATAGCGCGAAATAATAAATTTTCATTAAAAGAAAATTTTTATAACTAACTAAATCAATAAATATTAATTTAGTAATTAATAAATAAGCAACTAAAAAATTTTCTTTTCAAATATTAAAAATTTTAAATTTTAAAATTAACTATTATAATAATTTGAATGTTCTTTCATTCATTCACTTTTTCTGTTCCTCACACTCTAAAGTTGTCTTTTGTTTATACTTTTGTTTTTTGTTAACTTTAGATAGATTGTATACTATATTATTATATATGATTATTTTTATTTTATAATTAATTCAAAATTGCAATAACAAATAGAAATCATCAGAATTTTTTTCACTTCTTTTCATTAAAAGACTAAAATTTTGTTAAATATTATGTTTTGTCAAATTGAAATTATGCAGATTTTTGTTCTTTACTTCTAAACAAAATTAGAAAATTGTTAAACAACTGTGATTAAGAAATAGAAAATTTATTTATTTTGCATTATTTTTCTTTATGAATCACAATTTTTTTAACATAATTATTATTTTCTTTTAGAAAAAGAAGAAAAATATTTGCACTATTTCTATTTTTAATTTTATTTTTGGAACAGGATTTTCCACATAGTGATTAAGACATTCAAAAATTTCAAATTCAAACCTTTTTTAAATTTTTTAAACAATCTATGAAAATATTTATTAGAAAACATGAAGATATCGATTGCTGTATAACTTCATCAAAATTATGTTCATCATTTTAAGTGAATTATTATTTTTTAGAATTTAAAATTATTTTTTATGTAAATAATTGAATTCCTTAAAAAAAATTTATTATTTATGAAAATAATAATTGAATTACTGGGAAATTTTTATTATTTTTGAAAATAATTGAATGTTTGCTAAAAATTTTATTAAAATTTTGTTTAAATAATTGAATTCTTTTTGGGAAATTTTATTAAAATAGTAGATATTGAAAATCATTGAAATTAAAAAAATTTTTGAAAATATAATTGAAATTAGGACAAGAATTTTTTTTAACATTTATGAAAATAATTGAACTTTGGAGAAGAATTTTGTTATTTATAAAGATAATTGGGATTTTAACGAGAATTTTTTTCAAATTTTGAACATAGTTGAATTTTATTTATTTATTTTTTTTTTTTTGAAAATAATTGAATTTCTGCAATTATTTGTAATTTCTCAAAAATTGAATTTTTGTACTGTTTTCAACAGAAATATAAATCAGAAAACTTTTAAAAATCCTATTTTTAAATTGTTTTGAAGAATTTCTTTGAATTTTTTTAAAAATAATGGATTTTCTTTAATAATTTGAATTGGAATTTTTTTAAGTAATTGAATTTTATAAAGAATTTCTTTCAAGTTTTTTAAAATAATCGTGTTTCTTAATATAATTGAAATTAAACATTTAATTATTCAATTTTATTTCAATTTTTAGAATATAATTAAATTCTTTTTAGAATTTTATAAGAATTTTCTAAAATAATTTAATTCATTCAAGGAATTTTATTAAAATAAGTATAGAAAATAATTAAATTCTTTCAAAAAATTTCTTTTATTTATTGAATATAATCGATTTTCTTAATAATTGTAATTAATAATTTTTACTTAGTATTAAAATTTTATTACAGTTTTTGTAAATATAATTAAATTCTTTTGAAGAAATTTCTTTGTGTATTTTTTTTAAATAATGTAGCTTATTGAATAATTTTGACTGAAAACTTTGAATATAATTTAATTAAACAAAGAATTTTTTCAACTTATTTTTAACTAATCGTGCCTGTCAATAATTATAAGTAAATATTTGATTTTTAAAGTTTATTAAAATTGTATTGAAAATAATTGAATTCCTCAGGAGAATTTTATTATTTATAAAAAATAATTTAATTTTTGCGATGAATTTTAACTTTGAAAGAATTTCTAGACAAGAATTTGTTTCAAATTTTTGAAAATACTTGAAATTCTATAAAGAATTAAATTATTTATGAAAAAAATTGAATTCTCGACAAGAATTTTTTTAAAAATTTTTGGAAATATTTTAAATCCTTCGAAGAATTTGATTATTAATAAAAATAATTGAAATCTGCCAAAGAATTTTATTAAAATTTTTGAAAATAATTGAAATCTTTGAAAGAATTTTATACTTTTTATGAAGATAATTGAATTTTTAGGAAGAATATTATTAAATTTTTTGAAAATATTTGAAATCCTTTAAGAAATTTTATTATTTTTATTAAACTAATTGAAATATAATTCTTTTCGATGAAAATTTACATTCTTTGGAGGATTTTAATTAGGATTGTATTGAAAATAATTGAATTTTCAGGAAGAAGTTTATTAAGATTTTAGAAAATAATTGAATTCTTGATGCGCTCGGACGCACTCTCTAATACCAGTCGGGTGGCAGTGAGTGGCGCAGAGGCGCTCACTGCTCCCCGACTGGTACTAGAGAGTGCGTCCGAGCGCAGATCGAATCATTGCACGCGGTAGCTCAATTGCATTCTTCCAAAGAATGTTATAATTTATGAAAATAATTGAATAAGAATTATATTAAAATTTTTGAAAATATAAACAATAATAATTACTTATATACTTCATAAGTGAATTCTACTAAAAAATAATGAATAAAATAAAAAATAAAAGAAAGTAAAAATAAAACTGAGAATGAGATGAGAATTAAAAGAATATTGTCCCTAAAGTTTTGAACGTTTTCAATTTAAATATTTTCAGAAATTTCAACACTAAAATGAAAAATAAAGGAAAAAAAAATATTCTTTTAGTTAAAATTATAATTTCTTTAATATAAAAAATAATTTTTATAATAAAATAAAAATTAAAAGAAGTAACAAAAATATCGTCGTCTATTCAAACCTTTTATAAAGCTTTAGAAACTTAATAGAATAATTTAATAAGAAACTAAAACGTCTCTTTACAAATATTACACAAAAATCTTTTACATACCTTTTTTAAAATCAGAGAATTCTGTTTGACATTTAAAATACAATTCACATGAAGAGTTTTATAATAAAAAAAAAAATAAAGAAGATATTTATATGTCCATTTAAAGAAGAGTTTTCTTTTTGAACTTATTTCCTTTCTTTTTGATATGTATCATATAAAAGACCGACAACAAATCTTTTATCCTTTCTGACTGTAATTTTTTTTTCATTTATTATTCTCTGAAGAATATTCTGAAGTGTATTTTTTCCCTCTGTGATTCAATTCAACACGGTTTCTGTTTGAATTTATAATTCTCCACTAGAAAATAAACAGAAATATTTTCATTTTCTCTGTTGTAACTTATTTTTATATCTATGTAGTTTTCATATTCTTCATATACATTTAGTAGCTTTATTTTTAAACTCTTTATAAATGCTAAGAGGAGATTAAAAGATTCATAAGTGAAAGCTAATCTTTTGAGAGAGGAAAAAATTAATAACGGATCATATATTTTTACTGGATTCAGTTCAGTAAAAATTATACTTTTGTCTTTGAAAAAAATTACTGGTATATCAAAAGGTATTAAAAAGTTATATTGAAACAATTTTGATACGCTTTGTATTAATTTAATAAAATTAGAAAAACTGTGTAATTGAATCCCAGACTTCATTATTCAACAAAATTAATTATTTAACAAAATTTTTAATTAATAATTCTTTACAATAATTCAAATACTTTCACTAATAATGACATTTTTCTGTTTTCATGGAAATTCAATTTTTTAAAAAAATGTTTAATAAAATTCTAAGCAAGAATTCAATTATTTTCATGAATAATAAAACTCGTCGAAGAATTTCAATTATTTTTAATACTATTTTAAATTAATTAATCGAAAAATTCAATTATTTAAAATAAAATTTTCCTAATATTTATTATATTTCGAAAAAATTAATAATTTAAAACAATGTTTATAAAATTTCTTATGAAGAATTGAATTATTATTTTCAAAAATAACAAAATTTTTCACAAAAATTCAATTCTTTTTAAACATTTTAATAAAATTTTTCGCAAGAATTCAATTATTTTCTAAAATTTTAATAAATCCTTGGAAACAATTCAATTTTATTTATAAATAGTAAAATTCATTAGAAAAATTCAATTATTTTCAAAAAAATTTCACGAAAGAATTCAATTTTTTTCTTAATTCGTTATAAAAAAATGTCAATAGAATTCAATTATTTTCTAAAATTTTAACAAATTTAAAAAAAAATCAATTATATTTATAAATAGTAAAATTCATTTCAAAAATTTAATTAGTTTAAAAAATTTCAATAAAATTTTTAGCAATTTATTTTTAATACAATTTTTACAGGAACTGCTCGAAAAATATAATTATTCTTAAAAATTTAATTTCAATTCCTCGAAAAAATCAATTATTTAAAAAAAGGTTTATTTTAAAATTCTTTGGAAGAATTTAATTATTTACAAAAATATTAGAATTTTTTTACAGGAATTCAATTATTTTCGAATATTTTATTAATAAAATTTTGCGAAAGAAATCATTTGTTTTAAATACAATTTGAGTTAAATTTTTTTTGAAATAATTTAATAATTTCTTTTAGATTTTAATAAAATTCTTTCCAAGAATTTAATTATTTACATTAATAATTCTTCGAAAGAATTCAATTATTAAAGATAAATACCAAAATTATTCCCGAAAATTTAATTATTTTGAGGCATTTTAAAAAAAATTCTTTGCAAAATTCAATTATTTTCATAAATAACAATTATCATCACAATTTAATTATTTTTTTTAAAAGTAATAAATTTCTACTTGTAAATTCAATTATTTTAAAAAATTCTTATAACATCGTTCGTAAGAATTCAATTATTTTCATAAATTATAAACTGCTTTTTAGGATTCAATTCTTTTTAAAAACATTTAAGAAAATACCACACAGACATTTATTTATTCTCAAAAATTTTAATAGAATTCTTTGTAAAATTTAATTAGTTTTAAAAACTTTTCACAATTCAATGATTTACAATATCTATTATTTTCAAAAAATTTCCAAATAGAATTAAATTATTTAAAAATGTTTTTTAAAAATCTTTCTAAGGATTCAATTCTTTTCATGATAAATAAAAAAAATTTCTCAGGAATTCATTTATTTAAATTAGAATTTTTGTCAGTTTTGTGAAGTGTCTAAAACCCATTTTTTTGGTCGTCAAATTTAATTTTTCGATAGCTACTTTTTTACTACTTTTTGCTAATTTTTAAAATTAATTATCTAGTGCGAAGTCTGTAATCCAAACAAAAATTCGGACGATTTTGTTTGACTTTGAATATTATAGAATTTATTTTCTTTATATTTATAAATATATATTTAGTTAGTGGAAAGAAATTCTGTTTAACGAATATGGCCTTTTTACTATACGAATTCTTAGATAAATTATTGTTTATTTTGATACTGATTGAAAGTACAAAAAGTTCATAAAACTTTGATTTAATCTTTCTTTAATAATTGACGAGAAGAAATTGTAGTCAGCCAAAGTATTTTGTAACTTTTTTTGATTGAAAACTTTCTTTACTATAGTTGATAAAGAAAGGCACATTCTGTCTGACTAGAACTGTCTTTTACTACTATTTTTAATTATAAGTAGGAAAAATTAAAATAAAATTTTTCTTCACTAAAAATTTACTTTCACTAGGAAGCAGGGCTCGAACCAGCGAAAGTATTTAAAAATACGGACTTTACGGACCAAAAATAAAAAATTACGGACCATTTAAGGACCAATTGCTAACAAAAATATAACCAGCCCGAGTCAAATCAATTCAATTATTATTTTCAACAATATTTTTAACTAAAATTCTTCTTAAAATCGATTATATTTAATAATAATTTTCGAAAAAAATTTCTTTGACAATTTTGCAAATTCATTTTGTTTACAATATTCAATTTTATGAAATTTCAATTATTCGTAAAATCTTCAATTAAATATATATTTGAAAATAAAAACTTCAAATATTATAAAAAAAATCCACAATAATTAAACTTTCTCAAAAAAATTAATTCCACAGAATTGTTAGTTAAAAATATGAAAAATTCAAATTTTCAAAGATTTTAATCTGAAACCTTTTCGAAATTCAATTATTTCTAAAAAAAATTCAAGCTCTAATGCTTTTAATATTCAATTATTATCTAAAATTTCAAAAAAAAATTAATTTTCAAATCAATTTTTATGAGACAATTCTACTAGAATTCAATTATTTCAATGCAAAAAGAACAAATTATTGAATAATTTGCATATATTTTAAAATTGAATTCTCATAAAGAATTATATTATTTATGAAAATAATTGAATGATTGCGAAGAAATTTATAAAAAAAAATTGTAAATAATGAAATTCCTGTGAAATTAGTATTATTTTTTGAAAATAATTAAAGGTTTGTGTAGAATTTTATAAAATTATTTTTTAAATAATTGAATTTTTTTGGAAAATTTTATTAGAATAGTAGATGACTATTAAAAATCATTGAATTGAGGGAAATTTTTAAAAATAATTGAAATTTTGCTAAGAATTTCATTAAAATTTTTGAAAATAATTGAATTTCGTAGAAGAATTGAATTATTTTTAAAAATAATTGAAATTTTGACAAGAATTTCATTAAAATTTTTGAAACCAATAATTGAATAATTTCTTAGAAGAACTTTATTATTTTTAAAAGATAATAATTGAAATTTTGACAAGAATTTTATTAAAAAAAAAATTAATTCCACAGAATTGTTAGTTACCCAATGGGAAGTAAACGATTGGTTAAATAATGGGCCATGCTTGGCGAACTCCGTTCCATTATTGGAACATTAATGGCAACCATCATTGGACCACCAATGGTTTAAACTTGGGATGATCACGCTACTGCCAATGATCGGTAGCCAAGCATCGGGCCAATATTAGTTGCCAAGGAATTGCCAAGGAAACAAAATCGATTTTCAAAAGCTTGATTTTTTATTGGCAGCCAACAAAAAACCAAGGTTTTGAAAATTGATTTTTCTTAATTATTAATTAAAATTTATTTTTAAAAAATATATTTTTCAAAAATTTATTTTTTAAAAATATATATTTTTTTAAATTAATAGAACATATTAATTTAATTTGTCACCTCTGGTAAAACAAAGATGAAAGACTGATAAATTCCCTCACTTTATATTTTACAGTGGAGGGATAACTGTGAATGTCTTTGCGAGAGAGGAGCAGGTACTTATATAGAGCCAGTGAAACAGGTCACAAGCGAGAAGAAATCACTAGCATGCACTCTGGCGGCGCTTGTCGGAACTGTTTTCTGGCGCGCATGCATATCCTGACGTTATCGACACAGCGCTTGGCAACCAACGTTGCGCCACTTCCGACAAGCGCCGCCAGAGTGCATGCTAGTGATTTGTTCTCGCTTGTGACCTTTCTCACTGGCTCTATATAAGTACCTGCTTCTCTCTCGCAAAGACATTCACAGTCATCCCTCCACTGTAAAATATAAAGTGAGGGAATTTATCAGTCTTTCATCTTTGTTTTACCAGAGGTGACAAATTAAATTAATATGTTCTATTAATTTAAAAAAATATATATTTTTAAAAAATATATTTTTTTTAAATAAATTTTTGAAAAATATATTTTTTAAAAATAAATTTTAATTAATAATTTAAAAAAATCAATTTTCAAAACCTTGGTTTTTTGTTGGCTGCCAATAAAAAATCAAGCTTTTAAAAATCGATTTTGTTTCCTTGGCAATTCCTTGGCAACTAATATTGGCCCGATGCTTGGCTACCGATCATTGGCAGTAGCGTGATCATCCCAAGTTTAAACCATTGGTGGTCCAATGATGGTTGCCAATTGTTTTGCCAAGAAAAAACCATTGGGTACCAAGCATGGCCCATTATTGAACCAATCGTTAACATTGGCAACTTCCCGTTGGGTAAAAATATGAGAAATTCAAATTTTCCAAGATTTTAATTTGAAAACTTTTTAAAATTCAATTTTTTCTAAAAATTCATGCTCCAATGCTGTTAATATTCATTAGCTAAAACTTCAAAAAAAAATTAATTTTCAAATCAGTTTTGATTAGAAAATTCTACGAGAATTCAATTATTTGAATACAAAAGATAAAGAATTTATTGAATATTTGATTACTTCTTAAAATTAATTCTCATAAAGAATTTGATCAACAAATTTTTAAATAATTGAATTCTTTTGATGAATGTTAATAGAATTTTTATGAATAATTACATTTTTCGAGGAATTCGAATAAAATTGTATTTAAAAATAATCAAAATTCTGTCATAAATTTTATTATTTAAAAAAATAATTGAATTTCTCAAAAGAATTTTATTATTTACGAAAATAATTGAATCCCTGTAATAATTTTATTATTTATGAAAATAATTGAATTAGGTATGGCTAAGAAATTTATATAAAATTTGTAAATAATTGAATTTCTGTGAAATTTTTATTATTTTTGTGAAAATAATTAATGGTTTGTGTAGAATATTATTAAATTTGTTTTTTGAATAATTGAATTCTTTTGGAAAATTTTATTAGAATAGTAGATATCTATTAAAAATCGTTGAATTGAGGAAAATTTGTTGAAAATAATTTAAATTTTAACAGGAATTTTATTAAAATCTTTGAAAATAATTGAATTTCGGAGAGGAATTGAATTATTTCTAAAGATAATTGAAATTTTGACTAGAATTTTAAAAAGTTTTTTGAACATAATTGAATTTTTGCGAAGAATTTTATTACTTTTAAAAATAATTGAATTTCTACAATCATTTGTAATTTCTCTAAAAGGACTTCAAGTAAAGTTACGGACTTTTACGGGATTTACGGACCTAGTTCGATATTTGAAAAGTTTACCATATTTTTTTTTATTTTTTTATTTTTAAAAATTTTTTTTCTATATATAAAAATGATAGAAAATAATGAATGAAATTGATACCTAAAATTTGGATCTAAAATTTGTGTTATTAGATTTGACTTTGGTATCAATTCGTTGCAATTCGATAGTTTTAAGTAAAAATTGATAAAGTCATGTATAGTTTTTAACTTTTTAATAATTGATGAAATGAATAAAATTTTGTAATGTAATTGTTGATAATTTTTTGTTCCGCAGGCAGTGTCAGTTTTAGTGAGTGCCTACACATTGGTGGCCATAAGTATAGATCGTTATATTGCGATTATGTGGCCATTGAGGCCACGAATGTCGAAAACACATGCTAAGCTACTTATCCTTGCAGTGTGGTTGCTTGCCCTAATTGTTTCTTTTCCAATCGCTGTTGTTTCTAAGCTGGATCAACCGGCTGATCGATATGTTGCATGTGATCGATACATGTGTGAGGAAATGTGGCCCTCGCCACAACAAAGGTCAGAATATACACAAATTCATCCATTATTTCTTACTAATCACTATATATATATATTACTATTAAAAATCAATTAATTCATAAATTAGAAATATTTGCTCAAAAACGAAAAAAAAAAATCTTAACTTAATATTAATATTGCTGTCCAAAGTAAAAACCTAGTAAGTCGCTTTGTAAGCGACTTTCAAACTTATAGCAAATGCGATTATATTAATTAATTAATAATTAATAGTCAATAATAAAATTAAAAAAAAAGAAGTTTCTTTAAAAATAAAGGAAAAAAATGTTTATAACTTTTATTTATCAATTACAAATTTTCGCATTGAAAATGAAATTGAAACTTTTTAAAATATTTAGAAAATAAAGAAAAAAAATTTTACTCAATACAAATATTCTGTTACATTTATTTAGGAATTTCTTTAATTGTAAAATTATTCAAAAACATCAATAATTTCTTTTTTAAATAAATATTTAATTATTATTATTTTTTCACAGGAATTAAGACATTCAAAAATTCCAAATTCAAACCTTTTTGAAATTAAACAACTTATAAAAGTATTTTGCTATAAAACATGAAGATATTGATTGCTCCGAGTCGAAAGACTCGGAGTGATCGATTTCTTTATGTTTTATAATAATTTATAATAATTAAAAATTTATGAAAATAATTGAATTATTGCGAAGAAATTTATAAAAAAATTGTAAATAATTGAATTCCTGTGGAATTTTTAATATTTTTGACAATAATTAAATGTTTGTGTACGATTTTATTAAATTTTTTTTAAAATAATAGATATTGAAAATAATTGAAATTAGGACAAGAATTTTATTACTTTTGAAAATAATTGAATTTCTGCAATAAAATTTTTGCAATTTCTCCAAAATTGAATTATTTTAGTGTTTTCAACAAAAATTTGAATTAAAATTTTTAAATTCTATTATTTTTAAAATTGATAATTTTATTTAAAAAATGAAGTAAAAAATTAGAATTGTTGCTAGTATTATAATAATCGACATAATCTGTTTGTTTCTTGAAAAAATGCAATTAAAATTTTTTTTAAATAATTGTATTTTCAAAAATAATTTTAAAAAATTGTTGAAAAATTAAAAAATTTTGTCAAATTTCAGTGAAATAAATTTTATATTATAATGAATTTTATTTGTTTACTTTTCAAAATTATTTTGAAATATAATCGTATTTTTGAAAAATTCTCATTGAAAATTTGGAAAATAATTGAACTTTAAAAAAATTTAGATGTAAACTTGTTCCCAGGATTGTTCCACTCGTACCCGAAAGTTCAATTATTTTATAAAAAATATCTTGCGTTCAAGTTGTTGTTAGAAATATATTTGTAAATTTCTATAGGAAGAGTTGTTCAGAAAATTAAATTTCAAAAAAAAACTGTTAGAAAAATCATATTTTTTAAAAAATGAAGAATTTTCATTAAATTTCGAAAATAAAATATTGTAAAATAAAAAGGGGAATGAAAATTTCACGCGCGTATAGTTTTGCTAGTTTTTAATAATTTTTGAAAAAGTTCTTTGAGAATTCAATTATTAAACATTATGTATATTAAAAAATGAAAACTTCAAATCATTTTCGAAAAAATTCAATTAAACTTTTTCAAAAAAATTAATTCTAGAGAAATTGTCAATTAAATGTATAAAAATTTTCAAATTTTCAAAAGATTTTAATTTATAACCTTTTCAAAATTCAATTATTTCTACAAATTTACGCTATAATGCCTTTTATATTCAATTATTATCTAAAATTTAAACTAAAATTTATTTTTAAATCAATTTTTATTAGAATATTTTATGAGAATTCAATTATTTAAATATAAAAATAATTAATTTATTGAATGTTTCTTAAAATTTAATTCATATAAAGAATTTTATCAACAAATTTTTAAATAATTGAATTCTTTTGACAAATTTTATTAAAAATTTAATAATATATATAGTAGATATTAAAAATCATTGAATTGAGGAAAATTTTGGAAAATAATTGAAATTTTGCCAAAGAATTATATTAAAATTTTTGAAAATAATTAAATTTCGGAGAAGAATTTGATTATATTTATAAAGATAAGGGATTTTGAAGAGAATATTTTTTAAATTTTGAACATAATTGATTTTGTGAGAAGAATTTTATTACTTTTGAAAGTATAATTGAATTTCTGCAATTATTATTGTAACTTCCCTATAATTAAATTTTTTTTAATGTTTCTAACTAAAATTTCTTCTATAAATCCATTATTTTTAATAATTAATTAATTATATATATTAAACAATTTAACTAATTTCAGAAAAATTTGAATTATTTAAATTTTTGAAAAATCTGAGTTTATTAAAATTTCTAACTGAATTCATTAAAAATTGAAATTTTATAAAATTTTAAATTGAAACCTTTTGAAGTTCATTTATTTGTGAAAGAATTAAGTTATTTGATAAGAAATTATTGTCAGGAATAGAAAAATTTGAAGGTTTCATATTAGAATTCGTGGTAAATTCATGGTTTATGAAGCAAACAAAAAATACACCTAGAATTTTGTTATGAATTCTAAAAATTTAATTATTTCCAGTACTTTTAATAATAAAAACCCATGACTTTTGCCTGAATTCCCTGTCTCGGAATATATGATTATTATAGTTAGAATAGTATTAAAACTATATTCCAATTCATATTTTATTTTTATCAAAAAAAATTTAAATTAGAATTTTCTATTTTAAAAAAAGTAAGTAAGAAGTTAGCGAATTTTTTCAGGTTGATAAATATTTTTCGAAATTAATATAAATTACTATTAACAATTTAATTACACTATTTTTTTAGTTATGGCAATTAACAGTAATAAATTTAAAGATCTTAATGTTAATTTTAAAATTCCCACAAAGCACAGTATTTTTCTGCAAGTTTGCTGCAAGTTTTCCATGCAAACTTGCGAAATTTGCATGGAAAACTTGCAGCAAACTTGCAGAAAATATCTGTGCTTTGTGGGTTAAAAAATTGAAATGAAATGATTGTGATGTTAATTTTATTAATTTGAAAATAAAAAAAATAAATAAAAAATTTGAAACTAAAAAATATTTTTTTAAATTATGAATATTTTTTTTTTTGTCAATTTAGGTATTATTATTCAATTTCTTTACTGGTCCTGCAATATCTGGTGCCTCTTTTAGTAATGATGTTTACGTATACCAGTATCGCGATAATGGTGTGGGGTAAACGACCTCCAGGTGAGGCGGAAAACACTAGAGATCAAAGGATGGCTAAATCAAAGAGGAAGGTGAGAAAAATCTGTAAATTTTGTTAATAATAAATACTCTATTAAATAATGTTTACTTAATTTACGTTTTATTAGCAATTTATATGCTAATCTTTCTTATTTAATCAACAATATAATTCTCCCCCAAAATTTTCAATCTCACTCTTATTTTCATTTTTTTCAAATTGTAAATATTTATCCACTTTTGACTACTAAAAATATATTTTTTCAAAAATACAAATAATTATTATAATTACATTAGTTAAATAATCTTTAACGTCCGAGATCTTTTATAAAATAATAGGCGAATAAAACGAAAACATTCGGACAATGTTGGAGTAAATAAATATTTATATTCATTGTCCGAATGTTTTCGTCTTATTTGCCTTTTATTATAATTACAAATAATTATTAATAAATGGATAATTAATAAATATAATAAGTATAAATAAAATAAATATTTTTTTAATGCCAATTACTAAACTATTATATCATATATAATTAATATAAAATTATAAATATAATACAATTAATATTAATTAATAATAATCTAGCTTGATTATAACTAGTGTGAAATTTCGACGGTCGTTGGCAGTTTAAAAAACTTTACTTATGCAAAAAAAATATTTTTAAACTTATAATCAATAATATTTTAATTACAATTTTTGTAAAGAACCTACACGGTAAAAAACAACTAAAAATTTTGCTAATAAAGTGAAATTTGTAGCTATTCCAGATAAAAATTTTTTCCATGTAATTTCTTTAGTATTTCTAAATTAAATTATTCAAAAATTCAATATTTTTGTCTGAATTAATATTTAAATCCTACTTTCATTATTATTTTTCTTTCCTCACAGGTATTAATTTATTAAAATTTCAAATTATTTAGAAATTCTCAATATTTTTGTCTGAATTAATATTTAAATTCTACTTTCATTGTTATTTATTTTTTTCCACAGGTATTAAAATTTCAAATTATTTAAAAAAAAACTAGTCAAAAAAACGATATATAAAAAAAATTTGCGAATAGAGATGAAATAGAATAGAGATGACAATAATTCCATATAAACTCAAGAACTTCTCTCTCGACCCTTTAATTCAAATTTTTTGAGAATAACTCCCTCTCGCTCTTTCAGTATAGTTGCGACATTGGTTATCCTCAAGAATTGAGGTCGAGAATATTTTTTTTTTTTTTTTGCAGGAATAAAGAATATATTATAATAATTTTTTTATCAATATTTTTCTATTATATGTATATTGTAGAGTCTTATTGTAAATTATCTTTGTTTATCGTTTTCTTTTCTATACCTACATCATTAAAAAAAATTTTTATTTTTTCTTGCATGTGAATTGAAACAAAAATGGTAGAGAAAAAATGAAAAAAAAAATTGTTTCTGTAAAATTGTAAATTTTCTGCTATTTTCATAATTGAAATATAAAGTGAATTCTTTTTTCTTTCTTGCATAAAATGCAGTCTTTCATTTTTCTCTAGGGAAATAATTTTTTTTAATTTGTTTATAACACAATATTCAACTGTGTATAAGAATAAAGATAAATGACTTAAGCTTGCTTTTTTCAATGTTCTGAAAAATAGTCTTTTTCACATTTCATGACGTAATGATAACTGAAAGTTCTCTTTTTTTATTATTGTTTTTATTATTATTATTATTATTATTATTTTTATTTTTATTAGTAATGAAGATATTAATAATGATAATAATTAAGATTGTTAATATTTATATTGCTTATTGTTATTATTATTATTTTTAACGAATATATTTGTTAATTTCATTTTTTGTCTGACTATAATTGACTTGAACTACAGAAAAATGATACTGTTAAATTTTTTCTAATTCAAATTTATTTGATAAAATTGAAAATAATTTAATTTTTGTTATGACAATAATTGGTCTTTTACTACTGAATCAAAAATTTACAGTTGTATTTTCTCATACTACTTACTTCTTTTACAAATATGTAAAATTATAAATAAATTTAATTTTATGTCTGACTAGAATTGACTTTAACTACTGAAAACCTTTTTCTGTTAAATTTTTTTAATAGGAATTAAGGTTATTTTATTCAGTGGTCACGTGACTCATAGTAAAGTATATGGGGCACGTGACCACTGAATAACATGCCCTTAATCTGATAATTAAAAATAATTTCATTTTTATTGAGTAAAAAAAAAATAAATAAGTAAATTTTTGGTCTGACTATAATTGACTTCTACTACTGAAAAAACGTTAAAATTTTTCTTGTACCAATTTATTTGATAATAGTGGATAATAATATTAATTGATAGTAATTAATTTTTATTTAATAAATAAACAAATAAATAAGTAAATTCTTTGTTATGAAAATTCATCTGATAATAATTACTTAATAATTATTAATTTGTATTAAATAAATAAATACCTAAATTTTTTGCCTGTCTGAAATATTAATTTATCTGATAATAATTAGTTGATAATAATTTTAATATATAATAATTAATTTGTAGTGAATAAATAAATAATTTTTTGGTCTGAAGATAATTAAAAATTAAAAAATATTGTTTGAGAAATTGAAAATAAGTATGCATTGATATTTTTTCATGTTTTATAATAAAATAATATTAGAAATTAAAAAATTTAAAAATTTAAAAAAAAATATGATAAATAAATTTAAAATAGGTATACCCATTTTGTTTATTTTTCTCTTTTTTCTAAAACAAACTTCGTTTGACTGATCTAAATTATGCTTCTCGTTTTTATTTATAAAAAATAGAAAATTGTTAATTTTTATAAAAAATTATGATTAAGAAATAGGAAATATATATCCATTTTATGCATAATTTTTATTTCTTAATAACAATATTGTTTACTAACTCATTTTTTTCTTTTGGGAAGAAAAACATTTTAATTTCTTAATATTTTTTCTTTTCTTTCGTTGCTTAATATTTTTGTAGAAAATTCTCAATTTTCATGAGGAAATAATTTGCATCAATTCTATTTCTTAATTTCAATTGTTTTAATAAAATTCAAAGTTTTTTTTTAAAGATAAAGGGAAAAAATGTTTATGAATTCTATTTGTCAATTGCAAATTTTAATTGAAAATGAAATTAAAAATTTTTTAATTTTTAGAAAATATAGGAAAAGATTCTACTCAAAAAAATGTTCTGTTGCATTTATTTACGAATTTCTTTAATTGTGAAACTAATCGAAAAACACCAATAACTTCTTTTTTAAATAAATATTTAATTATTATTGTTTTTCAACAGGAATTAATAAATTCAAAAATAAAACTAATATAAATAAAAACTATAAATAATCTATAAATCTATAAATAAAACTAATAAAAAATTTTTATAAAACATGAAGAAATCGATCGATTTCTTCATGTTTTCTAATTATTAAAAATTTATGAAAATAATTAAATTATTGCGAAGAAATTTATAAAAAATTGTAACTAATTGAATTACTGTGGAATCTTTATTATTCATGAAAATAATTAAATGTTTATGTAGAATTTTATTTAATTCTTTTTAAATAATTGAATTTTTTTCGTAAAATTTTATTAAAATAGTAGGATATATTGAAAATAATTAAAATTAGGACAAGAATTTTATTGTCAAGTTTGAAAATAATTGAATTTTGGGGAAAAATTTTGTTATTTATTACAAAGATAATTGGGATTTTGACGAGAATTTTTTTTTAATTTTGAACATAATTGAATTTTATGTGAAAAATTTTATAACTTTTGAAAATAATTGAATTTTTGCAATTATTTGTAATTTTCTTCAAAATTCAATTTGTTTTAGTGTTTTGAACAAAAATTTTAATTACAAATTTTTAAATTCTATTATTTTTAAAATTTCTAATTTTACTTAAAAAATGGAGTAAAAAGTTTGCCGCGCAAACGAATTTCTTCGTCTGACCAGAATTTTCTTTATCTACTGAAATAAAAAATCTAATATTTTTTCTGTATTCATTAATTTCTTTCTATTTTTAATTAATTTCAAATTTTCATTTTTTCCTGTCCGACTTCGATATTGTCTTTTACTACTTAAAACATACAAAGGAACTGAAAATGAAATGCGCATTTTGTAAAATATTATTTCTAAAATAAAATTAATTAAGAAACTTTAATTGAATACTGAAAACTGTATAATATGCGTTTTAATCGCTACGAAGTAACGAATTCCAGAGATTTATAAATATATAAATGCATTAAAACTTCTGTACTTGTGCGATAACTCAAAATGGAAAATGTTTTCAAATGGCATATTATCCTTCTACTTCGTGAGTTAACAAACAAAAATCAAACACTTATATCCAGTGTGTTTTCTCATTTTATTTCCCGAGAGAATTTTATTCATCAAAAAATAATTTCTCATATTTGAGAACAATCATTTTATTATCATTATTATTATTTGCCATGAATATACAGTAAGAAAAGCTATCCGTCAGTCATAGGAAAGTATGGGAATCGCATAAGTCTGTCTCACTCCCACTCATGGGATATGACTGACGTGCTAGGTTTTCGTACTGTATATATAAGCGACTATTCAAGTAACGTTTTAATTTGAAAAATTTTTTCCACTATTTATATATAACTTTCAAGTTTTTCAAAATTACATTTTTCGTTACGATTTCATTTTTTTAATTCACTTTTAAAATATACGATTGCCCACAAATAATATGGGAATTTACTGCTATTTTTCAAATAGCACACACACACACACACACACACATACATTATGTGCGGTTGGTGAAGAAAAAGTACTTAAACATCTTTGTTTTTTTTTTTATTAGTTCTCAAACAATTTTCCAAGAGAAAAAAATTTATTATCTCTTTTACATTAGAAAATAAAAAAAATTCTCCTTTAATCTCATTCTCTTCGATTTGAGACGTTTAATTACAATGCTTTTAAACACTTTAATTTAATTTAATACCTAATAATCGTTATTTTAATTTTTTTTAGACTAAAACAATGAGTTGAGTTAATTCGTAAAATTTATCAATAATAAATGGTAGAATTTAAGAAAGAAAAAATTAAATGAAAAATAATATTTAACGCAAAGGAAAAAAGTAGAAACTTTTTAGTAGTACAAGTCAATTGTAGTCAGAGCAGAAATTTATTTATGTATTTAGTTGCAAATTAAATTATCAGATATAAATTCGTAAAACAAAAAGTTTAACATTAACGGTTTTTACTAATAATTAATATTATTATATCAATAATAATTGTTATCAGATAATTTCGTATAACAGGGAATTTAGCATTATCAGTTTTCCAGTAGTACAAGTCAATTACAGTCAGACAAAAAATTTACTCATTTATTTATTTGTATTTTTATTCTATACTTCTATACAAATAAATTATTATTTATTATTATTATTATTATCAGATAAATTTTTATAACTAAAAATTTAGCATTACAGATTTTTTCAGTAGTACAAGTCAATTATAGTCAGACAAAAAATTTAATTATTTATTAATTAAATTATTAATTAATATTATTATTATATATTATATAAATTATATATTATTATAAATTTACCATCAGATAAATTTGTATAACAATGAATTTAACTTTAAAGTTTTCAGTAGTACAAGTCAATTATAGTCAGACCGAAAATGTTCTTATTTATTTGTTTATTCATTTAATACAAATATTATTATTAATATTAATATTATTATCAACTAATTGTTATCAGATAAATTCGTATAATAAAAAATTTAACATTAACGATTTTTCAATAGTACATAAGTCAATTATATAGTCAAACCACAAATTTACTTATTTTTTTATTTTTTATTTACACAAAAAAATTAAATTATTTTAAATTATCAGATTAATTGCCATTAGAAAAAATTTACCTTGAAAAGGTTTTCAGTAGTAAAAGACCACTTTAGTCGGACTTTTTCGATATTTCTCCTATTGCAGTAGTAAGTAAACAATTATAGCCAGACACGAGAAGTCTAATTTTAATTTTAAAGTTTAAATTTAAATTTTCAATTCACTTCGAAGTATGGAAACTATTTTTAATTGATAAATTACTAAATTTTTCACGATATAATTATAAATCGACGATTTCATTATAATCTTCGCTAATTGATCTTACGTAACATTTAATTAACGCCCCCTCCCTCCCTCCTCTCACCCTCTGACCTTATCAAAAAATTCACCAGCAAATCAGTAATTCCAACTACTTCCATGTAATATTTAAACAGGAATTTATTTATAGCCTTTTTTTATAACAATATTTAAATTTTTATTTTATAAATTTTAACGTAATTGGTTTTTTCCCTTACTTTTTAAAATTCAGAAAATAATTTAATCGATTATAAATTAATTACTAAGTGCAATGTAATGAATTAAAAATTTTTTAATATAATCAAATTTAAAAAAAAAATTTTTTAATCAATTTCAAATATTAAATTAATTAACTATTACAATTAATATTATTATTTTTAAATTATGTAATTAGAAATAATTATTATTTATTACACGCATGCAAAAAATATATTATTATTAAAATAAAACTACAGAAAAAAATTATTATCATTGCTATAAATCGTCAAAATTTTTTATTAATTATTATATAGGAGTTAAATAAGTTAATTTAAATAGAGAAAAAGGTAAAATTAATAAATTAAATTTTTTTTTTTGAAACTTGAAGAAAATTCACAACTGAGAGAAATTTTTCTTTTGCAGATGGTGAAAATGATGATGACTGTCGTGACAGTCTTTACAATTTGCTGGTTGCCCTTCAATGTTTTGATAGTAAGTCGATATTACAATATTATTTGAAATTTCACAGTTATTGTACAAAGGAAATTAGAATCTGTCTGCAGCATAAGTTTAAATTGTTGAGAAACTCTTAACTTTAAACTAAATTTGAGTGACAGTTGAATGTTATGTTTTGTACTTATGTTTCCCAAAAAGCATTTTGAAATTTGACGTAATTATTACAATGTAATATCTTTCTAAATATTTTCATTTTAACATAAAAAATGTTTAACATTTTTTTACTCCAAAAAGTACTTTTTTAATTTTTATATATTTACTCATTTTTTAAAATTTATTTTATTAATTTTATCCATAACATTATTGATATTTATTTATATTTATTTGTTTATTTATTTATTTATTTATTTATTTACGGGACAAGCCCATTCGTTCAAATAACAAATTTATAAATAATATCTTTATAACTGTTAAATACTTTTAGTACTTTATGTACGAATGGGACTCAATGCCCGTAAATAAATAAATAAAAGTAAAAATAAGAGATAAAAAAAATAACTAAATAGAAAAAAGGTTTTAAATTAAAATAAAAATTCATAAATTGATGAAAATTAAAATATAATTTGAAATTAAAAGGATGAAAGTTTTTTTATAAAAGAAATTTATTAAAACTAGCCTATAAGTCTAAAAAGTTTAGAAAATATTTTACGCATCGAAAAAAAATTCAGTTTAATTGATAATAAAGAAATATCAAATTATTTAATGTGGATAAAAATTTTTCATATAAAAATAAACTGATCGTTAAGGGAAAAAAATTTTTTTGATTACAAGAACTTTTATTAATAAATTCTTTTTTCCTCCCATAAAATTTTAAAAAATCGCAAAACAACCATGAATTTTTAGAGCCAACCTTTTATTCACAAATATAATAAATTTTTTTATTTTAAAATTAATATTTATAATTATTTTTTTATCTCGTAAAATGTCAAAATATGGAGAAATAACCATTTTAGCATAACACTTTTGTTCATAAATAATACATTTTTTTTTAAACAATTATTAATTTAGTAATTTATAATTTATAATTTATGAATATAAAATATATAAATATAAATATATAAATATAAATTTAAATTTATAGTTTTTGAAAAATTACTACTATTATTTATTATTTCTTTTTTCTTCATGATTATTAAACTTATTTTATATTCATACAATCTACATTATGAAAAAGTGATTTTGTTTTTTATTTGTTTTTTAAAACTCTTCTTTTCAATTAACTCGAATTAATTAACAGAAATGGATATGAATTAAATTTTGCAAAAATTGGACTAAGATGACATATATTCTTAAATATTTATCGCACGCATATTAAATATTTAAATATCATTTTGATATGCGCAGTGCAATGGTCTGGTTTAATATGGCTTTTGAATCTGTACTTTTCAAAGTCGTTACTTTTTTTTATTTGAGGATGAAATGTATATTATATATAAGTTCTTTATGCCGCTCGGATGATCAATATATCGATAGAGAATTTTTTTCAAAATTATAAGCACCCTTCTGCACTTCATATAAGAGGCGAATTGTGTACAAGAGTTTACAGTTTAATGAAATACTCGATTTTAAGAGGGAAAAAAATAAAAGTCATTTCAATAAAAGTCTTTAATGAAAATTTTCTCAAGAATAGAAATGTCATTTATATAATATATCGTTGCAAAGATGAAATTAATTATTGTAAATCAATTTTTGATAGTGACCCAATGGGAAATAGTCATTAGTCTACCATTGGTGCATTAATGGCCCAATATTGGGAGCCATTGGTTTTCTCTAGGTTTATTATTGGCTCCCAATAATGGACCACTAATGGTAAAATCGTGGGATGTCCACGCCGATGCCAATAATTGGCAACCATTATTGGCACATTATTGGCTGCCATTAAAAAACCAATAATAAAAAAAAAATTTTATTAAATAATAAATTTATTTATTTAATAATTATTTTATTTATTATTAAAAATATTAATTTTTTTAATTATTTATTTTATAGAAATGGTTATTATTTCCTATCACATTGAAATGTGAATAACCCTTTCGTTCAGAGTCTAAAAATTATTTTTTGTTTGTTTTTATTTTGTATATAATTTGACTCGAAGTGATTGTTAATCTTAATATTTCGTTTAAATGTTTTAAACTATATTTAAAAATATTTTGTCAATTATTTTCAAAAATATTTGTTAACATTTTTTAAATAATTTCTAAAATATTTGTAAAATTTTTTCTAATATTTTTAAAAGAATATTTTTTTGATTCTAAATATTTGTGAATGAAATTTTTATTTATTTCTCCTTCAAATTAAATTTTTATTAACAACAATAATTTTGTCTCAATCTAAAAAACAATTATTAACAGTTTTAAAAGTAAAATTTCAGTTTTTAATTTTTATCGCAATCAGTAATTTATGAAAATATTTTCAATAAAAAATTTAAGTTTAAATGTTTTATTGCAATTAATAATTTTTAATAAAAGAATTTTTTTTTATTTTTTCAGAATCTTTTTAATTTTTTTGAATATTTTTTTATTTTTCAAAAAAACTTTCTATTTTTTCAAATATTTTTTTTTTCACAATTGTTTCAATAAAAATACAAAAATACTTTTTTATATTATATAAACTAAAAAAAATGTTTTTATATAATTGTTGTTATTATAAATACATAAAGTGAAACGGAAGACGCTAACTGGAATAATAACAGCACAGTAGAAAACGGAAACAATAGAAAAAATGTTTATCCACATAATCATGAAGGATGTTATTTAAAAAACAAAATTTCCATGTAAATGACTTAGAAAATTGAAAAAAAAATATTTTTAATTCAGAAAAATAGAGAAATATTATAATTCTGATATTTATAATTATTTCAATGATAATAATTTTATAAAAATTTTATAATTTTATAATTATGATAACTTATAATAGTTTTTTGATTATGATAATTTATAATAATTTTATTATTTATAGAAAGAAAATATATATAATATATGGAACGGAAGTGAAATAAGTCAATATATCGTCAATTAATTTCGATAAATAATTTGTGTCTGATGGGTCATCTATAAATGAAATTTACAAGAGATGCGGAAAAGTTCCCCCCTAAAAGTTTTTCTCGCATCATATTATATCTAGATATGAAAGACATTCCTCACACTCTCTCTAAAAATTTTTTTTCAGGAAATAAACTAGATGACAGTATGAAAAATATGACTAAAAGTCGAATATAAACGAGATATATAAAATATACATAAAATTTTTAATATGTTGAGTGCCTGCATTTTTATCAACAAGTATTTCTTGAATTTTTATTATAAATATTTATTCAAATTCCTTCAAAACAATTCAATTTTATTTATAATTAGTAAAATTATTTGTAAGAATTCAATTTTATTTTTAATAAAATTTTAATAAAATTTCATGAAAAAATTCATTTTTTTAAAATTTTTAATATAATATTTTTCAAAAAAATTTAATGACCCTTATAAAATTTTAATAAAATCGTTCGAAACAATTTAATTATTTTTTAATTTTTAATAAAATTTCTCGAAAGAATACAATTATTTTCTAAAATTTAAATAAATCCTTCAAAATATTTCAATTATTTTTTTAATAGTAAAATTCATCGCAAGAATTTAATTATTTACAATTATTGTCAAAACCTTTAATAGTATCTATTCTTCGAAAGAATATAATTATTTTCTATATTTTAGTAAAATTTCTTGAATAAATTAAATTATTTTTGAAAATTGTAATAGAATTCTGAGAAGAATTTAATTATTTTCAAAAAATTTTATAATAAAATTCAATAATTAAATGTTTTATTTCAATATTATTAACAAACATGATTATTTTAAAAACATGAAAGAAATTGTTCATGAAATTCAATTATTATCAAAATTTTTAATTAAAATTATTAAAGAAACTTCATTATTTAAAAAAAAATTCAAAGAAATTCTTCAAAAAGAATTTAATTAGAATTTTTAAAAATTTTAACAAAATTCTTCCCGAGAATTTAATTATTTTCATACATAATAAAGTTCTTGAAAGGAATTCAATTATTATCAAATTTTTTGATAAAATTCTTTGTAACAATTCGATGATTTTCAATACATTAATTTTAAAATTGAAAATATTTAAAAAGAAAAATTATTGAAAAAGTTAAGAAACAAAAAAGCAAACAACATTTTTATAGTCAGATAAAAAATTACTTTTTTGGAACTAATAAGTTAATAGTAAAAAATTGTAAAAAAAATAGTAATAAATAGTAAAAATAACTAAAAATATAGTTAAAATATTAAAAAATAGTCAAATACTGTAAAAAAAAAGTAAAAATAATTTAAAATAGTTAAAATATTTAAAAATAGTCAAATATAGTAAAAAACAGTAATAAATAGTAAAAATAATTAAAAATAAATTTATCGTTATTTTCTCAGTAGAAAAATTCATTTGTAGTCAGAAAAAAATGTACCTTTTTGAGCTAATACGTTAATAGTAAAAAATTGTAAAAAATAGTAATAAATAGTAAAAATAATTAAAAATAGTTAAAATATTAAAAAATAGTCAAATACAGTAAAAAGAATAGTAAAAATAGTAAAAATAGTTAAAATATTTAAAAATAGTCAAATATAGTAACAAATAGTAAAAGTAATTAAAAATAAATTTATCGTTATTTTCTCAGTAGAAAAATTTATTTATAGTCAGACAAAAAATTACTTTTTTTGAGCTAATACATTAATAGTAAAAAATTGTAAAAAATTGTAAAAAATTGTAATAAATAGTAAAAATAATTAAAAATAGTTAAAATTTTAAAAATAGTAATAAATAATAAAAATAATTAAAAATAAATTTATCGTTACTTTCTCAGTAGTAAAGTTCATTTATAGTCAGACAAAAATTTACTTTTTCGAGCTAATACGTTAATAGTACAAAATTGTAAAAAAATAGTAATAAATAGTAAAGAATAGTAAAAAAATTTGTAAAAATAGTAAAAAAATAGTAAAATAAAAAAAGTAAATTAGTAATTAGTGATAGAATTGCACATATTATTTTTTTTATTTTTAAACTATTATGTTACTCGAAGTAGTAACTGACAATATTATAGTCTGACAAAATATACATTTGAGGAAAATTAATAACAAAATAACTGCTAATGACTGAAAATCAAAAAAAAATCGCCGTAGAAAATTTGCAATAAAAACAGACATTAGCAATTATTTTAATTTCAATGCCTCAGTTTTAGTAGTAAACGACAATCACAGTAAGACAAACAAAATAATTTTTTTTTCTAAAAATTATCAAATTAATAAATTGTTAAAAAAAAAAATTTGTTCACGTCACAAAGAAATTTGATTTTTTTTTGCGCCTAAAATACATTATGACAAACATTTATTGAATGTAATAATATTGAAAAATGTGAAAAAAAAGAAAAATAGTGAATAATGAAATGAACAATGAAAATAAATAAATACCTATGTTTTTGTTATTGCGATAGTTGGCAGTGGAGAGGAACGAATATCTGCCCAGATGGCAAGGTTTTCCATTCCTGTTCACGGCACTTCATTGGCTCGCAATGTCACATTCTTGTTACAATCCTGTAATATATTGTTGGATGAACGCCAGATTTCGAGCAGGTTTTCTGACCGCTCTCAGCAGATTTCCAGGCGCTGGACTTTGCATTCCAGACGCTGAGCAAAGAATGTTTACCAGCACAGCTGGTATTCCATTAACAGGTGAGTCTTTTTTTTTAATTTATTCCTCAAAATTATTATCAATCAAAAATGAAAAAAATTCTAAAATATAGAAAGGGTAAATAAAAAAATTTTTTTACCTTTTCTATATTTTCGAATTTTTAAAATTAAAAAATTAATTAAAGTTAAAACTGAAAAAAATTCTAAAATATAGAAAAAGTAAAAGAAATTTTTTTTTTAACTTTTCCATATTTTAAAATTTTTTTCATTTTTTTTTAAATTCAAAATAATAGTTTCTTTAAAAAAATTTCAACTGAAACAAAAAAATTAAAACACGTTTTGTAACTTAATTGATCATAAAGAGTGTCTCGTGAATATCGAATGATTTCTAAAGTAATTTATAGTCAATATGCCACAAATTTCAGTCGATTTTGTACACACAATATGCAAATATTAATTAAGGTAACATTATTAACATACAGATATTTACAGTGTGGAATAATTTTCATTTTATTCGATGTACAATAAATATCATTGCTTTTTTTATAGAAAAAAAATTTTTTTAAATAAAAATTGTATTAAAAAAAATAAAATTTTCTTTAAAAAAAAAGAAATTTCGATCGTTCTTTATTTTAAATCTTAATTAATTAAAGTATTTGAAAATAAATTCAATTTCATATTCTGTAAAGTTCAATCATTTTCAGAATTAAAAATACTATTTTTTAACTGGAAAATAAAAATAAAAGAAAATAAACATAGAAAATTATTAAGTCTCAGTGTATAATTAAATAAAAAAAAAATACAATACAAAAAATTGGCAAAATATTTAAAAAACGATTGCTTTAAATTTGAATTTGCTTCAAATTAAATTTAAATTTAAATAAAATTGACTAAGAAATAAATTAAAAGTTTAATAAAATTGACAAAGAAATAAATTAAAATTTAAATAAAATTGACTAAGAAATAAATAAAAATTAGAGGAGAATTTTGAAATGCTAAAAATGCCCTCTCACATTTCAGGCGTTGATGGACAATATTATCCGGGTTTAAGAAGAATGAACACATGTACCACCTACGTTAGCATGCGGCGAAAGATAAATGGAAGTGAAACACCTGTCGCTAGAAGCGCCAGTTTTCGCTACAACGATTCCCTACAAACAACCTATCAACAACCTCATCGTCGTTTTTTGAATATGACATCGCAGCCCGAAGAACAAATATAAAATGCAACATAATATTTTGTATCATCATCATCAGCATCATCATCATCATCATTATCATCAACGTCATCTTTACTCTACACTGGAAAAAAAAAATTTATTTCATTCAAATAACCAATTGTCTATTATCAAATAAATATTTACTTAAGTCAAATAATTTTTATTTTAGTCAAGAAATTTGCTTCAAATACTGAAATTATTGGTTCAATGAAATTATTGGTTCAACAAATTATTGCTTCAATGAAATTGTTGATTTAATGAAATTATTAGTTCATTGAAATTATTGTTTCAATAAAATTATTGGTTCAATGAAGTTATTGTTTTAATGAAATTATTAGTTCATTGAAATTATTGTTTCAATAAAATTATTGGTTCAATAAAGTTATTGTTTTAATGAAATTATTAGTTCATTGAAATTATCAAATATAAATTTATTAAATAATTTCATAATCAAAATTTTAAAAATTCACTTATTAAGTATACAAAATTAATTATTACTGTTCATATTTTCAAAAATGTTAATAAAATTTCACGAAAGAATTCAATTATTTTTTTAAATATAGTAAAATCTTTACAAAAATTCAATTATTATTAAAACAATTTTAATTGAATTCCTCAAAAGAATTCAATTTTTTAATAAATTTTTAACACACATTTCGAAAAAAATTCAATTAAATATTTATAAATAGTAAAATTCCTCGCAAGAATTCAATTAATTTTATAAATATAGTAAAATTCTTTGCAGGAATTCAATGATTTTCAAAACAATTTTAATTGAATTCCTCGGATAAATTCAAATAATTTTAAATATAGGTATTTCCATAAATTTCAATTATTTCCTAAAATTTTAATAAATTCTTCGAAATAATTCAACTATTTTTATAAATACTAATATTCTTTGCAGGAATTAAATTATTTTTAATCCAATTTAAATAAAATTAGACGAAAGAATTTAATTATTTTCAAAAATTTCAATAAAATTCAATTTCAACAAGAATTTAAAATTCTCTAAAAATAATTCAATTATTCTCAAAATTTTTTTTAAAAAATTCTACATGTGACGCTCCACGAGAAAAGGGACCTTATTTACTCTTGTCATAAGGTCCCTTTTCTCGTGGAGCGTCACATATATAAATTAAATTGCTCTCAATTCAATTTTTAAATATATTCATCAAAAGAATTGAAAGAATTCAATTATTTTGAATATACTTAATTTTAATAAAATTCTTTAAAGAACTTCAATAATTTTCGAAACCAATCTTTAATTGAATTTTTCGAAAAAGTTTCATTATTTTGAAATATTTCTGTAAAATTCTTCATAACAATTTAATTATTTTTTAAAATTTTAATAAATTCTTCGAAAAATGTCAATTATTTTTTTTATAAATAGTACAATTCTTCGCAATAATTCAATTATTTTTATAAATAGTAAAATCCTTTGCAGAAATTCAATTCTTTTTAAAACAATTTTAATAGAATTCCTCGAAAAGATTAAAATTTTCAAATATTAACATAAAATTCATTTATTTTCTAAAGTTTTAATAAATTCTTCGAAACAATTCAATTATTTTTATAAATAGTAAAATTCTTCGCAAGAATTCAATTATTTTCAATACAATTTTAATAAAATTCATCTTCATAAAATTCAATTGCTTTCAAAATTTTCAATTAAAATTATTAAAGAAACTCCATATTAGTTTAAAAAAAATTCAAAGAAATTCTTCAAAAGAATTTAATTGGGATTTTTAGAAATTTTTATAAAATTCTTCGCGAGAATTCAGTTGTTTTCCTAAATAATAAAACTATTTGAAGAAATTCTATTATTATCAAATTTTTTGATAAAATTCTTTGCAACAATTCGATGACTTTCAATACATTAATTTTAAAAATGAAAATATTTGAAAAGAAAAATTATAAAAAAGTTAAGAAACAAAAAAGCAAACAACAATTAACTTCAAACTGTGAATAGATTACCGGAACATGTACTTTATTATTATTAATTATTATTTCAATTAGTTTCAACAAAATTATTGGTTCAATGAAATTATTAGTTCAATGAAATTATTGATTCAAAGAAAACTAATTCGAGTCAAGTAAAACATTATTTGAAGTAAATATTTATTTCACAGATATCAAATAATTGGTTATTTCAATCAAATAATTATTTGAAAGAAATTTCTTTTCCAGTATACGATACCAAAAATACTCTCAGTAAGTTTATTTTAATTTTTCTTATTATTTTTATTCTCCCAAATTTTGTGCAATATGACAATATTACCTTAATATTTTCTTGCAAATTTCGAAATATTGCAGTGCAATATTCAGGCAATGTATTGTGCTGTTTGGGTGATTATTAAGCTTGTAAATATAAATATGTGATATATAAATATATATTATGAATAATATATTATGTATAACAATAATTGTGAATGAAAATCGTTTAAAAGTGAATGTAATTGAAAGTATATAAAAACTTAGAAGAATATAAATTCTATAAGAATAATAATAGTAATAATAATAATAATAATAATAATAATAATAATAATAAAGGAAAAAGACATTGAACGGTGAATATAGAAAATGAAAATTTTGAAAATTAATAATAAATTATAACTGTTGTGAGTATTCGTATTTTGAAAGTTTGAATGTATTATGTTATATATTTAAGTATATTGTATAAAATTATAAGCGAATTATTATTCGATTAAATGCATTTTATGTAATCATCTGATTTATTTAATTAACTTTTATTCTATTTCTTTATTTATTTATTTATTTTTTTTTATTCTTCTCTTTTTGTATTTTTCTATTTAAACACTTTTTCCTTTTTATATTTTCTCTAATTCTCTAATTAATTTTCTTTCATTTCTTCCAATCTTTTTATTTCGATTTCTCCAGTTTAACCGAATTTTGAACGTTATTAATTTTTTTAATTTTACTGATTTCTTTTTTTTCATTTTATTATTGAAATTATTTTAGTCTAATTATTTTAACCTTTAATTTTGTAATTATGAAAATTAATTTATCAATTTTTATTAATAGGTATCTTTATTAATTTTTTGGAATATCATTATTTTCTTCTTTTTACTTTCATTATTGGAACAATTTTAGATTCATTATTTGACATCTTAAGGGCATTTGAACCATTATGACGTCACGGCTTTAGAACAAATGCTTTGCACAAACTATGACGTCATAATGGTTCAAATGCCCTTAATGTAATCATTTCTAATTATGAAATTTAATTTAACAATTTTTATTGGTTTTTTGTAATATCATTAGTTTCTTTTTTTTACTTATTTCATTATTGGGATAAGATTAGACTAATTATTTTTGAATTTTTTAATTTAATTTTCAATTTTGAAATTAAATTGATTAATTTTTATTAATAATTTTATTAACTTTTTTAATTTTGTTTTTTTCTTATTAATTTCAGTATTGTATCATTTTTAGACTAATTATTTGAATTATAAGAAAATTAAAAGAAAAGATTTTAAGATTTTATATAAATATTATTATAAATTGCATTGTATTTGATATTTTAGAAAATAATTGGTAAATTAATTAATAATATTAATATTAATTAATATTATTAATATTATTAATAACAATATTAATTAATAACATGGTAAATAATTTTGAAAAAATGAAACGTCTTGTAAACTGTATTTTTAAAATAAAAAAAAGCCAATAATGTTATTACTTAAGTAAAAGTGTTATATAAATATTTAAACCTGTTTAATATTAATCACAAAGTTAGAAGCTGACTTTAAAGTATTTTGCTTTTAAAAATCGCTTTCCTGAAAATTAAGATTATCCGCGAAGTTAATTTATAAATTGAACATTTAATAGAGGACTACTTATAAAGTAATTAAGACGTTACGTCATAATTAATATATTTCTATAATCTCTCCATGAACTTAAATTTGAATTTTAAATTAGAAAATACTGAAAGTATACTAATAATCTAATATTAATTGACTTATTATTTATTTGGTATTTTATACTTCCTAAATTACATATTTTAATTTTCAGTATTATTTTTCATTTATTATTTTATTTTTTTATTTTCTATTATTATTATCTAAATATTATTATTAATAATATTATCTAAATTTTCGACTCTTAATTTAATTATACGTTGCACAGAAGAAAAAATAACAAGATTTTTTTCTCAACGATAAATACCATTTTTATTCAGACATTTGATCCGAAAAAAAACATTTGAACAAAAAATAAATTGTAAATCTAAAAAATAAATATTTTTCATAAACGAAAATTACCATTATTTTTCAATCTATCGAAAGTTTATACCTTATACATAGGAAACGGGAAGCACAGCCAATATTATGGCGGTTTAACATTCATTGCACATTAATTCTACTTTCTCTAAAATTTACAATTACAATAAACTGAAAAATTCGCTTCATAATTTAATTAACATAAAAATATAATAATTAACATTATACTCAAAATGTTAATAAATAATTAAAAATAATATTAATTGTTAACTAAAAATAATAATAAAACCACAGTATTTTATATCACATATATAGGAGAAAATTATACATATATATAAATATAAGTACTTTCATATGTTAATTATAAACATATATCGCAGGAAGTTTATCATAACTTTATTAAATATATAGAAAAATATATTTTCAAAATTCTCTTTCAACGTTTTCTCAATGACGACAAAACGCTCTTTGAAAAATTGACACGATTCAAATATTGGTTTTCAATAATATTATCGAGGTAGAATTATTCTTTCACAAAATAAAATATTAAATTATGTCAACTATTTTTTTTCTCCATAAACTATGGGCGTCTAACATCACATATAGTATACTTATAGATTAATTAATAATCTTTTAAAAAAGAAATCCTAAAAGAATATCACACAGAAGATAAAAAAAAAATCACAAAAATAAAAATAGTTCTATACTTTTATAGCTGAATTACAATTTAAGAAATACTCAACTATTTAAAAATCTTTTATAATAAAATGAAAAAAACTAAAAAAAATATCACACAGAAGATAAAAATAATTCTATACTTTTGTAGCTGAATTAAAATTTTTAAAATTTATTCTATTTTAATTCAAAAATCTTTTATAATAAAAATCAGCTGAATTTAAAATTACAAAAAATAGTTTATAGTATAGAATTATTGAAATTAATTAATTGAAATTAAAAAACTAAAATTAAATTTAAAAAAAAGTTGAATAAAAATATAAATAAAATATTTTTAATTACGAAATAAATTTTCTTTTTTATCTACTGGAATAATGCTGCACATAGATTGCTCAATGTTTTCGAATCCCTGTAAGCTATTAAACCGCCTTTGTTACTTATTTCAGAATTTGCATAATTAATATCCACAAGTATTGAATTTGGCTTAGCTTGACAATTTTGAAAATCAATAATACCACCGCCTAGAGAACGTAATATCGCCTGTGGACCACAAGTGTCCCAACGATATGTTGTGCCTTTCGTTAAAATATACGCATCCACTTGTCCAGTAGCAACGCTCAATATTTTATAGCCAGCACCAGCAGCTTCTATTGGTGTGAAACCTTTTTCAATGAGTCTCGTTTTCATTTCATGACTCTCAAAACGACTCAATAAAACTTTACATTTTGAATTTTCCTCGAGATTATTATCTTCATTGTCATCGTCATCATCTTCTTTTTTAATTGAACAATTTTTAATACCATTGTCGAATAATCCCCAATAACAAGATCCCTTCCATCTGGAAAAAAAAAAAAAAATTTGATGATTTTTTATGTGAATTATTCCCTGGAAAAGTTATCTAGGTAATAAATTCTGTTTTGTTGTAATTTACATCCTTTCATGATTTGATTTACGCGTTAACAATAAAATGAACTTGAAATGGTGAATTGAATAAAAATTTACAACTTCTATCTAGAAGAATTTACAATTTCTCTTCTTGAAATTCGAAATACGACACTTTGTTTTTTATTGGCGATTAAAATACTTTTCGAATACTCGCTACTAGTGATTTAAATCGTGGATTTAAATCATCGATTTGAATTTGCAATTTTCTTTCTGTCGAAAAAATATTTTCCTAGTTTTGTCAAATGAACAAAATTTTCTTTATATTTTGTATTATCTTTTACCGAATGATAAATTCTACTACTGATTGATTTTCTATTTTAATACTTTTCTAAATTACTGTACACAAAAGAAATACAATTAAAATTAAATATTTAGTTAAGAATCAATTCTTTAATGTACAAAATAATACTTTTAATAAAAAAAAAATACAAACAGGCTTCGTACTCGTTAATTAATTTTTAAAAATTAGTAAAAATTAGCTATTAAAAAATTGTTTCTTTTTAGATAAATACTTTAATACCTATTTCTTTTTCCACAGTAATTTAAATAATAAATATATTTCAAATGATTTCAATGTAAAGCGTTTTTGAAATTTAATTCTATTTCCAAAAATTACAATTCTTCTGAAATTCATTCAATTTTTTGTTGCAAATTTTTAAATAAAATTATTCAAAACTTTAATCATTTTATTTCAAAATAAAAATTTTAATATTATTACACTTTTACAATAATTAAAGTTTTCAAAGATTTGAATTAAAAAATTTTTTGAAATTCAATTATTTCTAAAAATTTATACTTTAACGCTTCTAATATTCAATTACTATCTAAAAAAATTTTACAGAAATTCAATTTTAAATCAATTCTTATTAAAAAGATCTATGAGAATTCAATTATTGAAATACAAAATTAAATAATTTATTGAATAATTGAATTTTTCTTTTAAAATATTGACTTCTTATAAAGAACTTTATCAAAATTTTTAAGAATAATTGCATTCTTTTGACGAATTTTATAACTTATGAAAATAATTGAATTTTTGCGACGCATTTTATTAAAATTTTTTTTAAATAATTGAATTCTTTCGTAAAACTTTATTAAAATAATCGATTTATTGACAATCACTGAATTGAGGAAAATTTTCAAAAATTGAAATTTTAGCAAGAATTTAATTAAAATTTTTGAAAATAATTGAATTTCAGAGAAGAATTTTATTATTTTTAAAAATAATTGAAATATTCAAGAGAATTTTGATAAAAAAAATTGAATTTCGGAGAATTTTATTATTTTTAAAAATAATTGAAATTTTGATGGGAATTTAAAAAAATTTTTGAAAATTATTAAATTTCTTGCGAAGAATTTTATTACTTTGAAAATAATTGAATTTTGCAAAGAATTTTATTAAAATATCTGTAATTAATTGAATTTCGGCGAAGAATTTTGCTATTTATAAAGATAATTGAAATTTTGACGAGAATTTTTAAAAATAATTGAATTTCGAAGAATTTTATTATTTTTAAAGATAATTGAAATTTTGACGAAAATTTAAAACTTTTTTTAAAATAATTGAATTTTGGAGAAGGATTTACTATTTTTTAAGATAATTGAAATTTTCACGAGAATTTTTAAAAAACTTGGAAAATAATTGAATTTTTGCGACGAATTTTATTAACATTTTTTTTTTTTTTAAATAATTGAATTCTTTTGGGATATTTTATTATAATATTAAATATTGAAAATAATTGAATTTCGACAAATTTTTGAAATTAATAAAATTTTTACGAAGAATTTTATTAAAATTATTTCGAAAAAAATTGAATTTCAGTTACATTTTTGTTACAAAAATTTGAAAATAATTAAATTCTTTTAAAAAATTTCATTAAACATGTATTGAAAATAATTGTTAAATTGTCATAAACAAATTATATGAACATTTTTTTAAATAACTGAATTCTTTTGAATTGAATTTCAATGAAATTTTTAAGAATAATTGCATTTTTCGAGAAATTATTATTACCTAGTTATGCAAAATAATTGAATTTTTTAAAACGAATTTTCTTAAAATTTTAAAAAAATAATTAAATTCCTGCGAAGAATTCTCATATTTGAAAAAATAATAATTGAATTCTTACGAAGAATTTTGTAAAAATCTTTTTAAATAATTGATTTTTTTCGAAAAATTTCATTCGAAAATTGTGTTTTAAATAATTGTATTCTTGAAAAGAATTTTCTTATTTATGAAAATAATTGAATTCTTACGAAAAATTTTCTAAAAATCTTTTTAAATAATTGACTTTTTTCGAAAAATTTGATTCGAAAATTGTGTTTTAAATAATTGAATTCCTCAGAAGAATTTTCTTATTTATAGAAATAATTGAATTCTTACGAAAAATTTTCTAAAAAACTTTTTAAATAATTGACTTTTTCGAAAAATTTGATTCGAAAATTGTGTTTTAAATAATTGAATTCATAAGAATAATTTTCTTATTTATAAAAATAATTGAATTCTTACGAAAAATTTTTTAAAAATCTTTTTAAATAATTGACTTTTTTAAAAAAAATTTCATTCGAAGATTGTGTTTTAAATAATTGAATTCCTACGAAGAATTTTGTAAAAATATTTTTAAATAATTGATTTTTTTGCAATATACGAAAGTAATGGTAAATTACTAAATTATAAATGAAACGTCAATACTCACAGTAAATCTCGCTTTTCATAGAATGGTTGATTGACAACACCCATAACGGGTAAACCTGTGCTTTGTAAATAAGCTCCAATCAAAACGGTAACGCAGTGTAAACCAGTTAAATGCAAACCTGACTCTTGATCTATAGATTCATTTCCATTAATGTAATCAGCAGTGTTGTCTGAAATGATGGCAAATATTAAATTAAACAGATCCTTTTTTTAAACAATTTTTTACAAAATTAAAATTCCTACAAAACTAAAAAAATGTCTCTTTCAAAATTCTAAAGAAAATATAGATAAAATGTTCCTTTTTTCTTTTTACCAATTGGATCCACCCATATGCTGAGATCGTCGATAGCAATTTCAAAATCAGTTGGTACATCGATTATATTAATAGGTACATCAGTTAAAACAACATCACGATGAACTTCTGTCGATAATAAATGAGCCGTTCTATCATCGTTATCTAATACTTTTGCTAATAATTCCGTTGTTTCTGCTAAAGTAGGACAAACTTCAACTGTTATTGTTTCGCCCAAAGTATTGCTGAATGTATTATTCTCCTCGCCTTTTATCATCTTTGCAAGTTCTGGAAACTAATTTTCACTGTACAGGTTTTCAATTAAAAAAACTAAATATTGCAACACATTTTTTTTTAAATAAATAAACCAACTATATTTTTTAAAATACTGTCTAAAAATGCAAAATAGTAGATAGAATAAAAGTAGATACTAAATTTCCAAAAAAATGTTTTCTCTTGTCAAAAAAAAATTACATACCTCAATGCCAATATCATGTCTTATTGTTTCCTGAATGAGAACATCGGCAAGTGTTTTAAAATCTTGAAAAAAACGAGGATTCTTTTCCTGACTTGTTTTCTCTTGAATTAATAATTCAAAAAGTGATTCATTCTGTCTACATGCTCGGGCAATATTCGCCGCTTTCTCCGATACTTTTAATAATGATCTTAACAATCTGCTACCATTCTTCATAATTATAATTTTTTTTTAACTGCGATTATAATCACTCGCGAGATAATATTATAGTCGAAATTATTCCTTTTTCTTCACAATATTCTATAGATTTAACAACGAAGCCCTAGGAACGATATATTGCACAACAAAATTTATCTCTCGGTATTGATTTTTCTCCTTGGGGTTTTATGCAGAATTCACATTTGCGCTTTTTATTGTAGACGACTTGACCTATCTAATAATAGTTTAATCGCGTTAAATTATTTAAAGCAATTATTATTTATTTACATTCACTCTATTATACTCAGTTCCAGGATAATAATACTGACAGCTGACAGCCGCTGTTTATAGTGTTTTTCCCCGAATTTAAGCCCTAATTCACATTTTCACAATGCTTGAATTTCTAAATTCAAAGAAAATAGAAAGAGAAATAAGATTAAAATAGAAAGAGACGGAAAAAGATAGATTATTAAGAAAATATGATAATTGTTTAGCGACTTCTGTTATTTAATTAAAATAATTATAATTAACTATCAAGGCAAAAAAACAAACGAAACAAACATTTCATATAATTTTTGAGGTTAGCTTGTGAACACGACTTTAGGTTTATCTATTTTTTTCTTTTTCTATTTTTCTTAATCTAACTAAAATTCTAACCTAGAATCGAAGATTAAATAATTAATTAATACTAATTAGCAATTAGTAATAGAATAATTAATTTTCTTTCGTACTCGTGAGATTTGTCAAATAATTTCCCGCTTTTTTTTCAAAAGAAACCTGGATTTACACGTAAGCAACGTAAATCCGCACGTAAAAATCGTTAGGACCGTAAGGACGTAATAAAACATCGACATCTTTAAAATTTATCATGACGTCACAATTTTTTTAATAAAAAATTTTAATTCGTTGATTCTCATACCCTGTGGAGCTGATTGGCTGGTTTGGAAAGAATCGAAAGAATTTACAATACTAACCTAACTTTAGGGCAATTATGTTGCTGTCAAAATGTCGAGATGAAAATATCAACTGTCATTACAGTACTTGCAAATACTTTTTATGGCCCTGGTACTTATTATCAATTACTGGAAAGCTAATTGTTTAGCTTTTATAATAATCACAAATGATACAGTAGTGTTTTAAAAGTTTAGTTTGCAAAATAAAACATTATTAATTGTTTGTAATTGAAAGAGCATCGTACAATTCGTATACATGAACACGGACATGACAAAGTAGTTGAATAGTCTTTGCGATTATGACTTTATTTTATTGAAGAAAAAAAATTTATTATCAAGTGCAAAAAATAATTTTTTTTGAAATGGAAGTTGTTGATACTCGCAAAACAACCGCAAACAAAACGCAACAAGGTAATTTAAAGTTGTTTGCCTGTCCTATATGTGTCGAACGTTTTACAAGCGAAAAACAATATTATGGTCACCTGAGGATTCATACGGAGGAAGTTTTATTGTCTTGTGATCAATGTCCAGAATCTTCAATTAAATTTGATTCTCTGGGTAAATTGCAAATGCACGAAAATTTATGTCATAATATTGTCAGGTAAATATTGAAATAATATTAAATAATTATATACTTGAATTTAGATTATAACAAATTGTTCTTAATGGCATTGTTTTCATTAGACCTTTTAAATGTCATGAATGTGGATTATTGTTCGATCGAGCCTCTCAATTAGAATATCATCAACGAAGTGTTCATCTTGGTGAAAAATCTCATATATGTCAAATATGCGAGAAAGGATTTTTTCGTAAGACTGATTTACGAACTCATTTAAATATACACCTTGGTACGAATGTTAGTATGTGTGAAATTTGCGGAAGAAAATTTAACCATGTGTCGAATTTAATTAGACACAGCAGGACTCATGCTGGTAAAAACATTTAGATATTATTTTTTTTCAAGTTCGTTTATCACAGTAATAATTAAATGTGTTTTTTTTAGGCATTAAACCATATCCTTGCACTGTTTGTGGTAAGCGATTCACTCAAATAAGTTCTTTGGCGAGACACAAAAGAATTCATGAACGTGTACCAAAAGGAAAAAGTGTTAATTCACAAAAAGTTATTAACAGCAATGATTATAATATAAATCATCACGAAGTCGAAGTAAACGAGGTAATTAAAAAATTTTTAAACTATTAATCAATAATTATTAATTAAGAATTGAATTTTTAGATATTTATATTTTCATTTAAATTTACAATAATCGAAATATTTTAGATTACTAAAGACGTTGGAACTAGCGAACGAAAAGTGATAAAACGTCGTCACTATTGTAAAATTTGCGGAGAAAGTTTTCAGTTTGCGGTTCTTTTGAGAAAACACGAGAAGGAACATCTCAATAGCGCCAATATTTTTGAATGCAAAAATTGTCACAAGGTAATATTTACTTTGAAAATTATTAATTATTTATCAAGTTAATTACTTATCAACTTTTCTATTATTTTCTTTTGTAGAAATTTCAAAATCCGGAGGACATCAAAGAGCATAGTTGTAGACAGGAGGCTTTTACTTGGACACCTGAGGACAATACTTCTACATCTGCGAATATATCGAAAAAAATTATTTTTGAAGAAAAAAATGATTCTCAATACATTGATAATGTAGATATCCAGTGTCATTCAATATTCTCCAAAGATTTAATACCGGAAGTTAACGCAAATGAACAGAATGCAGAAACTGTTCTTTATTTTAAAGCAAAACAAGTAAGACTATTTTTAAGTATTATTATTTTTAATTATCTTCTATATTAGTAATCGTTGTATTCTGGTAATCTGTTTGCAGTTTGAAGTTAGTTGTTTGCTTTATTGTTTCCTAACTTTTTTAAAATAATTTTTATATTCAAATATTTTTAATTTAAAAATTAATATATTAAGAATCATTGAATTCTTGCAAAGAATGTTGTCCAAAAATTGGAGAATAATTGAATTCCTTCGCAGAATTTTATTATTTATGAAAATAATCGAATTCTCGCGAAAAATTTTAAAAAATCGTAATTTTAAATTTTTTTGAAGAATTTCTTTGAATTTTTTTAAAAATAATGGAGTTTCTTTAATAATTTTAATTTTAAATTTTAAAAGTAATTAAATTTTATGAAGAATTTCTTTCAAGTTTTTAAAATAATCGTGTTTCCTAATAATTGAAATTAAACATTTAATTATTTAATTTTATTAAAATTTTTAGAATATAATTAAGTTCTTCTCAGAATTTTATTACAATTTTCTAAAATAATTTAATTCATTCAAGGAATTTTATTAGCTTTTGTAAATAATTGAATTCTTTTGAAGACTTTTCATTATGCATTTTTGAAAATAATGTAGTATTTTGAATAATTTTAATTGAAAATTTTAAAAATAATTGAAATTCTGTAAAGAATTCAATCATATATGAAAAAAATTGAATTCTCGACAAGAATTTGTTTCAAATTTTTGAAAATAATTGAAATTCTCTGAAGAATTTTATTATTAATGAAAATAATTGAAATCTTTAAAAGAATTTTACTTTTTATGAAGATAATTGAATTTTTAGGAAGAATTTTATTAAAATTTTTGAAAATAATTGAAATTGTTTGGAAATTTTTATTATTTATGAAAATAATTGAATTATTGCGAAGAATTTTATTAAAATGTTTAAAAAGAATTGAATTTCTGCGAAGAATTTATTAAAATTTTAGAAAATAATTGAATTCTATTGAAATTTTTTATAACGAATTAAGAAAAAATTGAATTCTTTCGTGAAATTTTTTTAAAAATAATTAAATTTTTGCAATGAATTTTACTATTTATAAATAAAATTGAATTGTTTTGAAGGATTTATTAAAATTTTAGAAAATAATTGAATTCTTTCGAAAAATATTATTAAAAATTAAAGAAAATTAAATTCTTTCGTGAAATTTTTTTGAAAGTAATTGAATTTTTGCAAAGATTTCATAACGAATTAAGAAAAAAATTGAATCTTATTCTTTATAAAAACAATAATTGAATTTTTGCAAAGGAATTTTATTACTATTTTTAAATATAATTGAATGTCTGCGTAGAATATTTTATTATTTGTGAAAATAATTCAATTTTTTCCAAGAATTATTTTAAATCTTTGATATAATTAATTTACGCAAAGAATGTTATTATTTCTTAAAATATTTAAATTCTTACAAAGAATTTTATTCTTTATCAAGATATTTGAATTCTTGCGGAGAATTTTATTAAAATTTTTGAAAATGATTGAAATATTCCGACGAATTTTATTGTTTAAGAAAATAATTTAAATCTTCAAAAGAATTTTATTTTTTATGAAGATAATTGAATTTTTAGGAAGAATTTTATTAAAATTTTTGAAAATAATTTAAATTCTTTGCAAAATTTGATTATTTACGGAAATAATTGAAATCTTGTAAAGATTTTTATTCAAATTTTTGAAAAATAATATAATTGTTTCGATGAAAATATAAATTCTTTGGAGGAATTTAATTAAGATTGTATTGAAAATAATTGAATTTTTAGGAAGAATTTTATTAAAATTTTAGAAAATGATTGAATTCTTTTGAAAAATTTTATAACGAATTAAGAAAAAAAATTGAATTCTTTCGTGAAATTTTATTGATAATAATTGAATTTTTGCAAAATATTTTACTTTTTATTAAAATAATTGAATTCTTCCAAAGAATGTTATTATTTATGAAAATAATTGAATTTTTTCAAAGAATTATATTAAAATTTAATTGAAAATGTAAACAATAAAATTAAATAATAATAATTAGAATTATAAAAATAATTATTAATAATAATAATTTTTTTTTTAATTCATAATTTTTTTTGTATTTTCAGATGACAAATATTAATCTGGATGAATTTGAAGAAGCATCTTCTCACTTCTTTAGAGATAATGTCATGGAGTTGGCTAATATTTCCGATTTACTTGGTATTTGCAACAATGAAAATGACGATTTAGAAAAGGATGTCGATACTCTAAACACTTACACCGGGGTAAATGATATATTACCCGATGTTCCGAGACTTTTAGAAACTGAAATTTCACCGGAAGATCAAATTGACATGAGAAATTATGTCTCAAGAAAGCAATTATCCAAAGAAAATATAAAATATAGACAAATTGAGGAAAATAAATTTACCTTTAAGCCCGACAATAATTTCAAAGATAATTTATTAGAATTTGAGGAAAATAATACAATTCAATATTTTTTAAATACAGAATCACAAGATTCGACCACTGATCTTGAATTGGAGTCCGTTGATCCTAAGGAAATTCTAACAGAAAATGAACCAACACTTCGTCTCGTGCAAATTGAAACTGGGGAACAATTCTATGAATTGGTAATGGATAATATCACCGATAAGACACAATTCCAAGATCTCGGGACATTGGAAAATGTTGAAGAGACAACGGCAAACGAGTCTGTGGAAAATTTACAAAATTTCGAATTTTTCCGAACAGAAACACAAACAAATTTTGAAGTTTACACCGAGGGGGGTGTATTCGAGGATTTTGAGAGAAGAAATTACGAAACGTGCGCCAAAGAATTCTTGGAATTAGTACAACCCGACAAGCAAAAGGAAGGAGAAATATGTCACGCTGAGAATGGTGATCAATTTTTGGAATTAATCGAGGATCAACATTTTTCGGAAATTAAAGATAAAGTCACTGACACTTTAAGAGAAGTGTCGACTTCATCTTCATTTGTCGAAGAATTTGAGAATTACCCAATTTCTCAAGCAACAGTTTCAGAGATAAAAACTACAAATAAAAATGACAGCTCACCGAAGGAAAAAAATAAAGAATTTCATTGTTATGTGTGTCAAAAAACTTTATCTTCTAAATACAATTTTACACAGCACATGGGAATTCATTACGTAAATCATCAACGTTTTCACTGCAAAGAATGTGACATATCCTTCGCATGGAAATCAACTTTAAATAAACACAATGAAAGTACTCATAGACCAGAAGGACGTCAATCATATGTCTGTAATATATGTCCAAAAGTTTATAACAATCTTTCACAAGTTAATGTGAGTAATAATAGCCATTTTTGAAACATTTGGTTATTAAATTCTTTATAAACACTTTAATTTTGTACACAGGAACACATCAAACGAGATCATTTGAAGGAAAGGAAACACGTTTGTCCTCTATGTGGAAAATCATTTTTTAAGAAGTTTGATTTGAAATCACACTTCCGAACGCATACTAATGAAAAACCCTATCAATGTTCATTTTGTGAGAAGAGATTTCATTATCAGAGTCATGTTATACGTCATGAGCGTATTCACTCGGGAGAAAAGCCTTATATTTGCGACGTATGCCAAAGAAGTTTTTGTCAACGTAGTTCATTGAAAGCCCATAAAGCAAAACATCGTCTCAATAAACAAGATGCGAAGAAACAACAAAAAGACAAAAACGAACTAGAATAATTTTTTTATACTTAAGTTTCTATTATATTATTATTAAAAAATGGGTGATAAGGGAATAGTTATTGTAAAATATAGAGTATTTTTGATCAGATCAAAATTCTTAAAGAATAAAAATATATTTTCATTTTTTATTGTTTCGTTTTATTAAAAACTAGCAAATGTTTTGCGCACTAGCGCGCGGAACGTGATATTCAATTTATTATTATTCTGCAAATTACAAAATTTTTTATTTTCAAATAAATGAATTTTTGAATAATTTCAGATTCAAAACTTTAAAAAATTCACTTATTAAGTACATAATTAATTATTATTGTTTATATTTTCAAAAATTTTAATATAATTCAATTCAATTATTTTCATAAATAATAACATTGTTTGGAAGAATTCAATTATTTTTATAAATAGTAAAATATTTTGCAAAAATTCAATTATTATCAATAAAATTTCATGAAAGAATTCAATTTTTTTCTTAATTCGTTATAAAATTTTTCAAAATAATTCAATTATTTTCTAAAATTTTAATAAAATTCTTCATAAACATTCAATTATCTTTATAAAAAGTAAAATTCTTTTGAAGATTTCAATTATTTTCTTAAATAATAAAATTCCTCGGAATATTTCAATCATTTTCAAAAATTTTAATAAAATTTTCCGCAAGAATTCAAATATCTTCATAAAGAATAAAATTCTTTGTAAGAATTCAAATATTTTAATAAATAATAACATTCTTTGCGAAAATTAATTATATCAAAGATTTAAAATAATTCTTGGAAAAAAATTGAATTATTTTCACAAATAATAAAATTCTACGCAGACATTCAATTATATTTGAAAATGTTAATAAAATTTCTTTGCATAAATTCAATTCTTGTTTTTATAAAAAATAAAATTCAATTTTTTTTTCTTAATTCGTTATAAAATCTTTTAAAGAATTAAATTTTCTTTAATTTTTAATAATATTTTTCGAAAGAATTCAATTATTTTCTAAAGTTTTAATAAATTCTTCAAAACAATTCAATTTTATTTATAAATAGTAAAAATCATTAAAAAATTCAATTATTTTCAGAAAAATTCAAGGAAAGAATTCAATTTTTATCTTAATTCGTTATAAAAAATTTGAATAGAATTCAATTATTTTCTAAAATTTTAATAAATTCTTCAAAAAAATTCAATTACATATATTTACAAATAGTAAAATTCATTGCAAAGATTCAATTATTTTTAATACAATCTTAATAACATTTCATGAATGAATTCAATTTTTTTTAAATTTTTAATAATTTTTTTGAAAAAATTCAATTGTTTTCTAAAATTTTAATATATTCTTGAAAAAAATTTAATTATATTTATAAAGAGTAAAATTCATTGCAAAAATTCAATTATGTTCAAAAAGAATTTCACGAAAGAATTCAATTTTTTTCTTAATTCGTTATAAAAAATTTCAATAATTCAATTATTTTCTGAAATTTTAATAAATTCTTCCAAAAAATTCAATTATGTTCAAAAAAATTTCACAAAAGAATTCAATAAATTTAAATGTTTTATTTCAATTATTAACAAACATGATTATTTTAAAAACTTAAAAGAAATTGTTCATAAAATTCAATTATTTAAAAAAATTTTATTGTAAATTATTAATGAAACTCCATTATTGAAAAAAAAATTCAAAGAACTTCTTCAAAAAAAATTTAATTAGAATTTTCAAAAATTTTAACAAAATTCTTCGTGAGAATTCAATTATTTTTCGAAATTTAATAAAATTCTTCGAAAGAATTCTATTATTATCAAATTTTTTGATAAAATTCTTTGCAAAATTCAATGATTTTTAAAACGTTAATTTTAAAATTGAAAATATTCAAGAAATATATTATATATATATTATTATTATAAAAAAAAAATTTATTTATTTATTTTTTAATTTTTTTTATTATTATTATATATTATATATTATATTATATATATTTTCAAGAAGAAAAAATATTTAAAAAGTTATAAACAAAAAAACTGTTTGAAATATCGCGCTTTGAATTTAAAGGGCGGGAATAAACGAATCAAAAGAGTCGGTATAGAAGAAATTAAGCTCTTTCTCCTAGAACGGAATTTGTCAGAGCCAATCAAATTTACATGCGACCGTGACAGTTCCGAGATCCGACATCCGAGATCCGAGTAGTCTCTCATTCGGATATACGATATAGTATATTTATAAGCACCTTAACGTACACTTGTGTTGTTTTTAAAAAAAGTAATTTTCTATCTGACATTAACGTGCAAAATATTAATCAACATTAAATTGTTGTTATTCTTTTTGACAATTGTAAGTGAAAACATATTTGGTAATTTTACTTTATGTTTAAAGAAAACTCTCTCGAACGTGAATTCACTCAACGGTCTTAAGTCTAACGGTTAAAATTTTCAAACATGGCTTTGTGTTTACAAAGTTTAAAAGTCTCGTTCGAAACCTACCTATTGTATTATTTTCGATATTCTCTATTTTGAAAACAGATTTTTATTTACAGATTTTAAGAAAGTTTTATTCAGACCAAATTCAGACGTGTTCCAAAAATGGGAGGCTATATTAGTAAATTATTTTACCACGAAGAACATGATAAAACTTATGAATACAATACATCGTCTTTAGTTTTGGAAAATCGTGACACTTGCACTCCACAACCACAAAAGAAGAAGTCTCTCATTGACCCCAGATCGGCGACTCTAGGCATAACTAGAACTCCAATAGAGGTAAATTAAAAATTTCTATTTTCTATTATAACTAAATTTAACTTTTTAACAAATCAAATGAGTTTATCGCTATTTTTTTCTTTAGATATTAAATACACCACAGAAAGAGTCTTCTAATGTGATTAGTTCTGTGCCGAAATATTTAAAACGCAAACCCTACTTAGAAACGAATTTCGATGTAACGCCACCGTCGAGGACTCTAGACAGATGTTTAGATCCTCGATCACCAAGTGTAGATGTACCACGGACTCCAATAACTGTAAGTTTAATATTCTGGGTTTACCACAGGTCAGGGATTTTTATTAAAAGTACTGGTAAAAATTTTTAGAATTCATATAAGAAATTCTGAATTTTTGTGTCTTTTTTGTTTGCCTTATAAACTGAAATTACCACGAATTCAAATACAAAACCTTCAATTTTTTCCATTTTTGACAATAATGAATTTTTAAATAACTTAATTCTTGAAGAACTAACGTAAAATTATTATTTATAATTTATTTAATGAATAATTTTACTTCAATATTTTAAAAGTAATTGCATTTTATAAGAGTTGCATTTCAATTTTTCATTCATAAGTAGATGAACTTCAAAAGCTTTTAATTTGAAATTTTAGAAAATTTCAATTTTCAATAAATTTAATTAGAAAGAACTTACATAGATTTTTGCAAAAAATTTTAATAATTCAAATTCTTCTGAAATGAGTTAAATTTTTTAATATATATTTAATTAATTTTTTGAAATAATAGATTTATAGAAGAATTTTAGTTAAAAACACTAAAATAAATTATATTTTGGAAAAGTTACAAATGATTGCGGAAATTTAATTATTTTCAAAAGTAATAAAATTCTTCTCACAAAATCAATTTTGTTCAAAGATTTTTTTTTTGAATTCTCATCAAAATTTCAATTGTCCTTAAAAATAATATAATCCTTCTCCAAAATTCAATTATTTTCAAAAAATTTTTTAATTCTTGTCAAAATTCCAATTATCTTTAAAAATAATAAAATTCTTCTTCAAAATTCAATTATTTTTAAAAATTCTCGTCAAAATTTCAAATATCTTTATAAATAGCAAAATTCTTATCAGAAATTCAATTAATTACAGGAATTTTAAAAAAATTCTTTGCGAAATTTAATTATTTTCAAAGTAATACAATTCTTCTGCAAAATTCAATTATTTTCAAAATTTTTTAAAAATTCTCGTCAAAATTTCAATTATCTTTTTAAAATAATAAAATTCTCAGACATTCAATTATTCTATAAAAATTCAATTTAAAGCTAATAAAATTCTTCTGCGAAAGTTATTTTTGAAAATTCTCGTCAAAATTTCAATTGTCTTTATAAATAGCAAAATTCTTCTTTGAAATTCAATTAATTACAGAAATTTTAATTAAACTCTTTGCGAAATTCAATTATTTTCAAATTAATAAAATTCTTCTGCGAAATTCAGTTATTTTCAAAAATTTTAATAAAATTTTACTCAAACATTAATTTTATTATTTTCATAAATCAACAAATTTTTTACAGGGATTCAATTACCTATTTACAAATTTTTTTTTATAAATTTCGCAATAATTTAATTATTTTCATAAATAATAAAATTTTTTACAGGAATTCAATTATTTTCATAAATAAAATTTAATTTTCACAGGAATTCAATTATGTAAAAGAATTTTTTTAAATATCTTTGCAAAAATTCATTTATTTTCATTTTTAATAAAATTTTTTGAAATTATTTTCAAAATTTTTAATAAAATTCTATGTCGGAATTAAATTATTTTCAATAAAATTTTAATAAAATTCTTCGAAAAAATTTATATGAATTCAATTATTCTTATGGATAATAAAATTCTTCGTGAAAATTCAATTATTTTCATAAATAATAAAGTTCATCATAGGATGTCAATTATTTTTTAATTCAATTTAAAATAAATTTCTCGAAAAATGCAATTATTCTAAAAAATTGTATTAATATTCTTCGAAGGAAATCAATTATTTAAAAATTTGTTGATAAAATTCTTTATGAGAATTCAATTTTAAGAAATATTCAATTATTCAATAAATTAATTTGTGTAATTAAATAATTGAATTCTCGTGAAATTTTCTACTAAAAATTAATTTAAAAATGAATTTTACTTAAAATTTTGAATAATAATTGAATATTAAAAGCATTATAGCGTTAATTTTTAGAAATAATTGATTTTTGAAAAAGATTCATATTATAACCTTTGCAAATCTAAATTTTTCATACTTTTAACTAATACCATAATTCTGAAGAATTATTTCTTTTGAAATAAGTTTAATAGAATTTTTTTTTAAATTATTTGAAGTTTTTATTTTCTAAGATATATTTAATTGAATAATTTCTGAATAATCGAAATTTCGTTATATTTCGTAAAATTGAATTGTAAACAAATGGATTTGAAAATTTTCAAAGAACTTTTTTTGAAAAATTATTAAAAATAATTGATTTAAAGAAGAATTTTAGTTAAAAATTCTAAAAAATAATAATTGAATTGAAATGATGAAAATAATTTTGTAAAAGTTACAGCAACAATATTTTTATAATATAAAATAATGATTTTATCACTCGGTCATCTGTAATTATTATAAAACATGAAGAAATCGATGACTCCGAGTCGAAGACAAGGAGTTATCGATTTTTTTATGTTTTATTATATTCTTTTAAATAAATAGATAAATTCCTTTCCTTTAATTTAATATTCTTTTAAGTTATATTGAATTTCCAAAAGTTTGAATTTGAAATTTTTGAAATCCTTAATTCCTTATGTCGCAACCCTATATATTTTTATTTCTTGTATTTATTTATTTATTATTTTGTCTATTTATTTTAGTTTATATTTTTGTTATTTTATATTTTCGTTTTCTGTATTTTGATTAAATTTACAGGTTGAAACATTCCCCGATAACGACACTCCAAAACACGCTAATCCAACGAAATACAATAAAACCAATTTACTTAGTGAAATGCATCAGAAAATGTTAGGACTCGATCCCAGATCACCGGCAGTGGACTTTGATAGAACGCCTATTCTAAAACCAAAAACTCTCGAAATGGAAAAACTCTGTTCCCAGGAAAATTTGAATACAAACGAAAATGAAATTAAACTGCAACCCTCAAGATTATCATACTGTGAGACTGTAAATTCGTCCGATATTATCGAAATTAATGCCCTACCAGATGTTACTTTGAATAATTCTCAAAAATCAGCAAATGAAATTGCCGAGACAAGTTGTACGTCCAATAGTGGTGCTTTATCGAACAACAGTATTGTTACTGTTTTAAGAAAGAGAATCGAATCTTCATTGGAAGATTCAAGCTCGTCATCAGACTGCGCTCTTGATTTGAAAAAAATTGAAAATTTCGAAGACAAATTAATAGCTAATAATTCTGACAATTTAATTAACAATGTATTAGACATTGCGGAGAAAATTTACGAGAATAAAACGAATGAGGTGGAGAATAAAATTAAAATTTGGAGAGATAATCAGAGTCCAGTAGCAGAGGAAGATTCGGAATATGACAGTGAAAGTGAATCGGATCATTTAGAGAATAAAAGTCCTAAAAATGATCTTGTCATTGAATATGATGACGATGTTAGTGTGGTAGGAACTTTAAAGAGAACTGAGTACAACAGAAGGAAGAGTATCTCAGTGGAGAAGAAGAAGAGGAATTTCAGAAAAGAAGTCGAAACTAAGAAACCTTTCAGTCCCGCTAAGAAACAAATCAGTGAAATCAAAAAACCCGAAGTACTGAATGTAAGTTTTAATTTTAATAATTACTTTTATATTTTAATAATTGCTTTCTATATTTATAAATTATTATTTTTTTTCACAGAATCGTACACCGTTAAGAAACAGATCAAACACGAACAGCCAACAACAACAAGGATTTGATTTAAAATCGCCACATTTGCTCCGTAAAGTTCTTCTCCCTTCTGCAAAATTCCAGGAAAATACTCCACCAAGAACCAAAAAATCAGCATTGAAATCTAAATTCAACAATACTCAGTGGGATGGAGACTCGACAATTATTATTTAAATTATAACTTAATTTTCTATAAGTAATTAATTTTTAACAGAAAAATACTTGCATTTTTACCTATCTGACCGAAGAAATGCAATTTTCAAATTATGTTTTGCAAAATAGAAAAGAAACTAGAATTTTTTAGAAATTTATAAACTTTTTACTTAGCGAATATTTATAAATATACATTTTACGCATTTTTTTGCATTGCTTGTCGTATTTGATTTTTGGCAAGTTCAATCGATGATTTAAGATTCTCACTAGGTCGTATTAATTGCGTCACGCTGAAAATAGAAATTTTGAATTTAATACGATGTAATATTTGTTCTTTTTTACGACAAAAATAAAAATAGACTGATTTTTAACCTTGGATTTTGAATTACAATTCGTTTTGTTTCCTCCTTCTTGGGTAGGATTTTTATTTTAATTCCGCTATCGACCTTTTTTGCGTTACTAAAAACATTTTTTTCAGGCTCCTTTTTTGCTATATTTCTAGTGTCTAATAATTGATATCGAAATTTTTTCACTCTGGGAGTTTCTTTCATTGATTGTCCTTTGTAATTTTTCCGTTTTAGAATAGAATGTTTTATGATTGTTTCAAATGGTTGATAGGGTGCTTGCAATAATTCTGGTGATGGTTTAATTACGTTGTATGATTTGTTCTCAGACGGAATTGTTGGAAATTCTTTAGATGAATGTGGTTCTGGTATCGAATTGTTTGAAATTTCTTGAGGATATTGCAGTTCAAGACGTTCTTGCGTCAAAGGCAAGGCGGGATTCTTTTTCTTTCTGTGATATTGTTCTCTAAAAAAAGAAAAGTTAAAATTAGTGAAAGTTTAAAAAGTATAAAGTTAAATTATTAAAAGTTTAAAAAGTATAAAGTTTAAATATTAAGTTTCTTACTGTGGGACAAATTCGTCAATTTCTGGATTCGTTGGATCTTCCTTGTGTCTTTTAATTCTAACCGTGACATCCTTGTGTCGCTGAATTAGTTTTGCTCTCGTCTCCGATATACTTTCAAGTTCGGGTGCGTAAAATACGTGTAGAAGACCGCCATAAAAATTTTTACAGTCGTTGAAACGTTTCGCTATTCTATCAATTTTTGATAAACAATTCATTACTATTTTTCATGATAAAAATAAATTTAAGTTTTTGCAGGCCTTGGATCGACTTTAACGAGCAAAAAATGTCGCTTTAGTCGATTAAAAATAGAAAAAAGTCGAAAAAGTCGTTTATTTAATTTAGACTTATCACAAAAATTTTATTTTGTATTTTCCTGATTCTTCACTGATTTCTAAATTCAATTAATCAAAACTTGTATAATTTTGATAAATAAATATTTAAATACCTCTTATCTATTTTTTCAAAGAAAATAAAATTTTAAAAATTTCAACTTTTGAAATTTGATCATTTTTAAAAATTAAAACTACATATAACCCTTCGAAAAATTCAATTATTTTCTACAATTCTTTACTAAACTTCATCTCTAAATCAATTATCTATATTAATTTTTAATAATTTTCCGAAAGTTCTTCGAGATTTCAATTATTTAAATACAAAAATTCAATTTTTATAATAATTGAAACCATCCGTTTTTCTTTTTAAAGATATTAAGGTGGAATATTTTCAAAAATTTTAATAAAGAAATTTGTAAAATTAACTTTTTAAAAATATTTCTAAATAATTTTTAAGAGACAATAGTTTTACAATTATCTACATACAATTAAAAAATGTCCAAAAAATTCAAATTTGGTAAAATCATTTAAAAAATAATTTAAATTTAGTAAAATCGTTGAAAAATAATTGAAAATTTGATAAAATCTTTTAAAAATATTTTTTTTTTTAAATAATCAAATTTTTGAAGAATTTTAATTATAATTGTTTTTTATAAATATTGTAATGTAATTTGTCGGAAATAATTGAAGAATTTCTGTATAATTAAAAAAAAATAATTTTTTGAAGAATTTTAATTTAAACAATTTTGAATATGATTATTTTCTCCAAAATGCTAAGAATAATTAATTCTAAAAAATTTTAATGTTATTATTTTGTGTATGTATTTGAATTTTCGAAAATATGGAAAATAATTGAATTTTAAAAAATTAGAACAAAATAATTCAGAGAATTACTTTTTTCAAAACTATTTTAACATTATTTTTATAACCTAATTTTCATTTCTATTGAATTAACACTTGAAGATTATTCATTAAAATTTTTGAGAATTCAGTTATTTCAAAAATTTTTAATTAAATATCTTTAAAAGTTAATTTTCAAAAATTGTAATAAAATACTTGAAAAAATGATTTGTTTTCAATTAAATTTTACAAAATTCCAATGTATTCAAAATCTTTTTAATTCTATATTTCAAAAATTTAATTAGAAAAATTATTGAAAAATAAATTTCCAAAGATTTGTCTATAGTTATGCTTTTCACACTATTAAAATCCAAATAAGTTGCATTTTTATACTAAAAATATTGTCGCAAAATTTGGAAGAAAAGTAAAAAAAAGTCGTAATTTTTTAATGTAAGTCGATAAAAGTCGCATTATTTGAAAATACTCGAAAAAAGTCATAATGTCCGTGGCCTGTTTTTTTAATAATGAAATTGTAGTTTGAAAATACAATTATACAAACCTGGCACTTTGTATTCGGGCATAATGCACGTGAAATGTTTCGGTGAACTCCTCCGATGGATATTCAGGAATTAAGCAAAACTTCTTAATTTCTCCATAGGGAAAGAAAAGTTTCTTCACCTCCTTATTTAGATCTAATTTTGGTACTCCACAAACAACTATATGAGGTGATTCACTATTGATTGTGTAAACCTATTGCAGAGAGCTAAAGTGTCAAGGAAATCTCGTAACATAACAAAACTCAAATTCAAAAATTAATTTACGAAGAATTTTGCAAAATTATCAAAAAAAAATATATATCAACTTTCAAATAAACATAAAAATAAAAAAGAATATCCTTGTCATGTTAATAAGAAATATTAAATAATATTTAAGAATTAAATTATATTAAATAATATTTAACAATTAAATTAATTTTAGGGCAGGATACGTATTCTCCACTCTACCTTTACAGCTGTCAATTTTTTCCCTTGTCTGTAAGGAGCTCTTGTTGTACATAATTCTTTTTGCTCATGATGAGGAAGTTTCTCGATTTGTTTCTTTTCTGTCATTTTTAAATAAGTATCGCTGAAAAGCTGAAAAACTACGTAAAACCTGCAAAATAAAACGAATTTAAAATCTTTAAAATTATATAGTCAATGTTGAGGTTAACCTACAAAAACACAAAAATGTTCATTATAAATTTAATTACCCATAGTTACTCAGAGAAGAAAATTTCCAAATATTTAATTGTATCGAATTATTTTTTAATTACTTACAAAAATATTAAAGGTATTGAAGGTACATTTAATAACTAAAGCAATTTTTTCTTCTGAATTTTCTCATTTCTGATAGACTTTTGGGGAGAAATGAATAAAAATTCCCAAACAATAATTATGCATACCTTTATAAATTATATTGTAATTGTTTTCTATTCCAAATGTAAACCTTTTTGTAATTATATACAATTTTTACATTTACACGATTTACACCATTTACACAAATTTAAATTAATGACAATAGGCATTGAAAAACACTTAAAAAGTAAATTTGTTAATTGTTTACTGACAGATGGCGCTTACTGTCTATTCCAGTAGTTTAGAAAAAACCTTTAATTTTAACAATAATATTAAAAATATTTAATAGTTCCCCTATTAAATAAGAAATTCGGAGAAATAAATACAAAATTACATTAAAATCCCTATTTTTTGAATAATAAACATTAAAAAACTGATTTCCACTGAAAACGGAAGTGGTGGAACACGCCGGAAACCATACTACTCGTCTGTAATGGCGGCGATCACATCATTCGTGAATCGTGAAAGTTTTGCATATTACGTTTGTCAATTGATCGATGGTGAAAACGCGACGGAATTATTTCACTTTAACATTTTGCACACTAATGAAAAACTGTTGATCCAAAATGATCAATAGTTTTTGATTTATTTTTTGGTGCTAAAACCAGATCACTTTGGAAAAGTTTATAACACGCCAAGGGAGTGTATTTCCACAGTAAGTATACATATAATACAATAACTACATATTATAATAATGCTTATTATTTTCAGTTCTACTCCAAGTTCGTTTTTTTAAGCAAAATAATTAAATTTCTATAGAATTCCTGCTTGAAATAGAAAATTCTTTTACAAGTCGTAGTGTTAAAAGAAAATATTTCTTTTTGTAATCAGTTAATAATTTTGTCAGCAAATAGTTTAAATTTGGATAAGATAAATATTGCTTAAGGATAGTTAAAGTATTTTTCTAAATTCAAAACTTTGTGATTGAAAAATTAATAAATTACTTTTATTTTCAGCGATCCAGATTAACTCTTATAACAATGGGAGAATTTTCACTTTTAATTTAGACTTTCAGGAAAATGCAGGTACAACGAGAGCTGCATTTCTCAAAGAAATTTTAATTTAATTTTTTGGTTACTATTTTGTGAAATAACCAAAATACAAAAAAAATGGCAACAAACGCTCAGTTTCTAACCCCCCCACCCCCGATTAATCTTCCCAATATGTCAGTTCCTCCACCTTCGACACCAAATTTATCCGCACCGCCACCAACACTAACGACAATCAACACTTCGGCAAATTATCAACATCGTTACAACAATCATCGAGAAGCAAATAGGGGCTTCTTTAAACCCTTCAGACCCTATCATGCACCCAAAGTAATATCCGGTGGTCAGGATGCATTACAAGACGAATTCGATGGCAAGAGACTTCGTAAATCTGTTATGAGAAAAACGGTCGATTACAATTCGGCGATTATCAAATGTCTTGAGGTAATTATTTTGAAAAGTGTAAATTTTTGGATTTTTTTTTTTTTTTGAAATAAAATGGAAATAATTTATTTTTTCCGTAGAATCGAGTTTGGCAGAGGGATTATCGGGATAGACGGGCAGTTCAACCGGATGTTATTTATTATCCGGATTTGCTTCCACCTCCGAGTTATGTTGATAATCCTATTAATGCGGTTACAACGAGATTCGTGAAAACGGCGACGAATAAAATGCGTTGTCCTATTTTCTGTATGGCTTGGACACCGGAGGGAAGACGTCTCGTCACTGGTGCTTCCAGTGGTGAATTCACTTTATGGAACGGTCTCACTTTTAATTTTGAAACTATTCTACAGGTATGATATCGAAATAATGATATCAGGCATCACAGAGTTCCCTTTTTTCGAATTCGGCACTTTTTTTACCTTTTTTTTATGATTTGTCACATTTTTCCTTTTTTCACAGATTTTCCTCTTTTTTTTATTTTTTGGTGATTTGTCCCTTTTTTCAATTTTGGCGCTTTTTTTTATCTTTTTTGTTGATTTGTCACCTTCTTCACTTTTTTTTGTCGATTTCTCCCCTTTCTCACCTTTTTCTAAACAAAAATAAAGAAATTTTTCTTCTTTTTTTTATACGCAAATAATTTTATAAATATTAAGGTGGTTCATCTAATAGAATGCAGACTACTAGGAAAATTATTAATTAACTTTCAAATAATTAAAATAATTATTATTAATAGTATTTTCTTGAAAAACGAAAAATATCATTTTTCGAGAAAAAAATTGATAATCAAAATATTTATCTATTTTTATACAATTTACACATTTTTTCATTTTTTTCAAAATAACCCATATTATATTCAAATAGAATAATTTTTCATTTCAAAAAAATGTTATAAAAGCGATCTTGTATAGAATTTTTGAAAAAAATTTATTTATTTGAATAATAAATTTTGTCTTTGTTTAAACAAACAAACATATTTTTAAAATTTTGATTTTATAAATAAATCTTTAGAACTGAATAAATATTTTGATATTAAATTTTTAAATAATTGAAAACAAATAAACATATTTTAAAAATTTTTTAAATTCAAAATTAAGCATTTTCTAAAGAAAATAAACTTTAAAATCTTAAAAATCTTAAAATAAACCTTAAAAAATTGTTGTATTTTTTTCCAAATGATGATCAACAAGTTTTTAAACGTTGAATAGAACGAAATAATTTTTTCTAAAAGCATTTTCATAAATTACTGTTTGCAATAAAAATTAAAAGTACATATTTTAAATTCAGAAACTTCAGTATTAATTTTCTTTTTAGTGATGCAAAATTATTACAATAAAAATTTGATTTTAAGAAGAAATAAATGAATTTCGTTCATTTAAACGTTCAAAACTTTAGGATCATTTCAAGTGAGAGTTTTTCTCTTTTTTACATTATTCTGGTTAATTAATTTATAATTTCAGTTCAGAAATGATTTTCTAAAAATATCTCTCGTCAATGGGCGAAAGCTGAAAATAATTAAAAACTTTTTCAATTTAAAAAATTGATATATCATGGATTTTTAGAAATACATAAAAATATAAATCGCATCATTTTTAAAAAAAATTCTATAATAAATTTGAATTTTACATTCAGTGAAACCAGTTGGAATGCAACTCGATTTCTTAAATTTTATTACAGTAAACAATCCTCAAAAAAAGTGTTGTATAATTTAATATGGTAATAATTTCTATTCTAGAATTAAGTGAAAATAATTCTTGTTCAACATTTTTGAATAGAAAAAAATTTTTTTAGAGTTGCATTCCGACAGGTTCGATTCTATAAAGAAATAAATTTTTATTTTCAATATTTTTTCTGGAAAATTGATATTTATTTTTTCAGAAAATTTTATTAATAATAAAATTTCAATTTTTTAAATATTGATTATTTTTTTAAAACTGCATTTCTTAGCAAAAAGTAATAATAATAATAATAAATTTTAAATACAAAAGTTCAAAGTATTAATACATTGTTAATACTAACACATTTTAGTTTAAAATAAATTTTAAACTATGTAAAAATGGGGGACTAACTCTGTTTCATATAAAATTCAAAACATTTTAATTTGTTCTTTGGTTTATTTCCTGAAAAAGGGAATTTTCACCTTTTTTCGAGAATAAAAAGTACTGTGATGCCTGCTGATATTTTTAATCATTAATTTAATGACACTCGACAATTTTCTCCCTAAATGATTATTATCGAGAGAGAAAATTGTCGATTTAGACATTTTTTGTGTTTTCAAATTTAAATTTTGTCACTCGGCAAAATTTTGCCGAGTGACAAAATTTAAATTTGAAAACACAAAAAATGTATAAATTAGGGATAATTCCTAGAAAAAGTATTTTTAGTCAGGAATTATTAAATTCGGAATGTGTAAAATATTTTACTATTTTTATATTTAAAATTTTTTGATGCTATGAAATTATTTGTTTTTTTTTGGACAAGCAAAAAATTTGTAATTTATTTTGTTTAGGCTCACGACAGCCCAGTGAGGACGATGGTATGGTCACATAACGAGAGCTGGATGGTGACGGGAGATCATGCAGGCTATGTCAAGTACTGGCAGAGTAACATGAACAACGTCAAGATGTTTCAGGCTCACAAAGAAGCGATTAGAGGACTCAGGTATAGCATCAACCACACTAGTCCTTACGTCTCTTGCGGCACTTTAAACGACAATACGTCCATTCTTATTGTAGCTAAGTTATATAACGCGACTTTCATTCTCTTCTGTTTTTGGGTTTTCTCTATTCAATTCGCGGTAGTTTCAATTTTCGTCTGGGTACATAGGTGAAAGACTCTTATCATTCTCCAAGAAAAAGCATGCATTGAATTTTTATATATATTCTGAGAAGGTATTATTTTTACAGTAAAGAAGGTTTTTTTTTAATTTCAACTCTCGTTCATTTCAATGAACAACGAATTTGAATGAACAAATTCGAATTTACTTCTTGACGTAAAACAAAATTCTAATCATTCTGTGATTGAAGACTTGAACTCATTTTTCTAATTCGCCAAGTTGAAAGGGTAAACATGGTCATTGCATAAATTTTGTGAATGATAGAAAAAAGAAAATTTGCACAAAAATAAATAAATATTTCTTTATTTGCGTCTGATTTTTAATTTAGAGCAGTGTGTACGGTGAATTTTCCAATTAGTCCTTAGACCCAAGAAAAAAAAAAACTTGTAATTATAATAAATACAGCAACACACCCAAATCGTGATTTCCCAAATGAATAAATAATAAAAATGAAATCCTGTCTCCTTTCACCCAGTTGACAAATAAAAAAAATAAAAATACATTTTCAATACATTTTCAATGTGATGATTCAAATTTGGATGAATAAATAAAGGATTTTTTTTATTTCACTCACTGCATAGTGAGCAGATGTACACCTTTAATAATAATTGTGCAATAAAATGCTAAATTTGCAAAAAAAAGAAATAAAGTTGGAGCATCATCCGGTGGTCATGTGGCATCAAAAAATTACATATAAATTGAATGCATGACTCTCGCTGATGTAAAAATTGATATTCGCTAAAATAAAATTTTTTTGTTTGAGTGCCAGATATGACTATCGGAGATGATTTTTGTTTATTTACATTTTAGACGCTCCTCTTTTTTCGGTTTTACTCCTTAGTATATTTTGTTTTTAGAAGAGAAAAAAATTTCACGAGATTTTTTTTATTCATTCAAGCATAATTTGCTTCTTGAAAGGAAATCTCTAAAAAAAATCTAAAATGCATGTGAGACTTTCTGCTTCTCGAAGAATTTTCCATTTCGAATTTTTTAGCATGCAAATATATATTTGTTTAAAACTGTTTTTGCATTGAAGAAATTAAATATGAAAATTTTATCCCCTTCGGAAGTTAAAATTCCCCTTTTGCATATAATTATAAAATTCTGTTAAGTGTATAAAAATTTTCGTGAAAATTGGATTTTTTTTCATCAACTTTTGGATAATTAACGATTCTTCACCATTTAAAAATCATGGAAATTATTGAAATTCATGAATTATTGGTAAAATACTGAATAGCAATGATCGAAATAAAGAGATTTTGAAAAATAAATAAATGGCGTATGAAATATATTTAATATTTGTGCACTGTTGACATTTTTTTGAACTGAAAAGAGAAAATATTAGTGAAGGCTTTTTAACTAAATTTTCTGTGATGATTATTTAACAGTGCTCTCTAGCTTATAACTTGTTTTTTTGACCGGGTAGTTTCAGTCCGACGGATCACAAGTTGGCTACATGCAGTGACGACGGAACAGTCAGAATCTGGGATTTTCTACGCTGCCACGAAGAACGAATTCTCAGGGGTATACATTATTTTTTTCTCCTTAATAGAATTTATTGAAGTCGCGATTTTATTTTCAAATCCGTTTTTGAATTATTGAAAAGAAATTCCTGACACAATTTATTTATTTTTTTTTTTATGAATATTTTTCCAGAAAAGAGATTCAAAAACGTAGTGTAAACTTGTGTTCGTTTAGATATTTTGTATGAAAAAATGATAAAGGTTTTTTTATTTCGAGAAATTAGAAATTCGTTTAGAAAAAATGAAAATAGAACATATATATGTAAAAATGTAGATATTGTTGTTAAATGAAATATTTGTGCAGGTCATGGAGCGGATGTAAAATGCGTCCACTGGCATCCGCAAAAAAGTCTCGTCGTCTCTGGGAGTAAGGACAATCAGCAACCGGTGAAATTGTGGGATCCAAAGACGGGACAATCGTTGGCCACGTTACACGCTCACAAATCGACTGTGATGGATGTTAAATGGAATGAAAATGGAAATTGGTTAGTAACGGCTTCTCGGGATCATTTATTAAAATTATTTGACATCAGAAATTTGAATCAAGAAGTTCAAACATTTCGTGGCCACAAGAAAGAAGCTTCAAGTGTTGCTTGGCATCCAAGTCATGAAGGCCTTTTCTGCAGTGGCGGAAGTGATGGTGCAATTCTATTTTGGCACGTTGGGTAAGAGAAATTTATTTTCTGGACTATGAAAAAATTTCAATCGAATTGTTGTCTATTTTTTATTTCAAAAATAATTCTATAATTTAAGATCCAGTACTTCAATAATTTAATATGCAGTAATTAAATAATTTAATATTCACAGGGTTGCCACAATTCAGGAAAATCAGGGATTTCAGGGAAAAGTCAGAGAAAGTAGAATTGGTCAGGAAAATCAGGGAAAAGTCAGGAAATTTTATTTTTTAAAAAAAGCTGGAAAATATTTAGAATTCATAAAATAATTCTGAATTCCAATGTTTAGAAAATTTTGAAAATTACTAAAAAGAATTTATTATTTTTAAATTTCTTTTTGTTTGTTTTACAAACTTTGAATTTATAAAAAGGAAATTAAAATTTTTTTATTTCTGACAATATTTGAACCTTACAGAATATGAAATTGAATTTATTAAAAAACAATTGAATTCTTGAAGAACTATTTTAAAATTGTTATCTACTTATAAATTATTTAAAGAATAATTTCACGTAAATTAATTCACATAATTTCCAAAATAATTGAATTTTACAGAGTTGCATTTTCAATTTTCACAAATAATTAAATTTTAAAAGTTTTCAAATGTAAATTTTCGAAATTTCCAAAAATAATTGAATTCTATAAGGTTTCAAATTGAAATTTTAGAGAATTTCAAAAATAATTGAATTTTATAATATTTGCATTTACAATTTTCGTAAATAATTGAAAATTTCAAACGGTTTCGAATTGAAATTCTAGAAAATTTGAATTTTGAATGAATTTAATTGGAAATTTTGTAAAAAAAATTTTTTTTAATTTTAATTCAAATTCTTTTGAAATTAGTAGAATTTTTTAATATATACTTAATTATTAAAACTAATTGTTGTAGAAACGAATTCTCTAAATATTATTAAAAATAATTAATTTAGAGATGAATTTTTTGATAATTGTTAAAAAAAATTGATTTAGAGAAGAAGTTTAGTTAAAAACTATAAAAAATAATGGAATTTTGGAGAAGTTTCAAATAATAGCACTTTTTAGAAATAATTGAATTTTGAAAACGTTTCAAATTAAAATCTCCATTTTTAATACTTTTAATTAACAATTCTGTATAACTAATTTTTTTGGAAAATTTTAATCCAATTTTTTTGTAAATTATTTGAATTTTTTATTTATTTATTAATATATAGTTAATTTAATTCTTTGAATAATTGGATTCTCAAACAACTCGTCAAAAATTATTAATAATTAGAGAATTTTGTGAATTTAGAGAATATAAAAATTTTTTATTTAATTAGAGAATTAATTTAATTTAATTTAAATTTTCTAAATTTTTAGAGATAAATAAATAATGAAAAGCATTGCAGATTTTCAAAATTTGTTGATAAAATTCTTCACCAGAATTGAATTTTACGAAACATTCAATTATTCAATAGATTATTTATTATTGTATTTAAATAATTGAATTCTCGTAGAATATATCTAATAAAAAATTGATTTAAAAATGAATTTTAATTAAAAATTCTAGAAAATAATAATTTTTTTAAGTTATTGAATTTCAAAAGGTTCGAATTTGAAATTTTTGAAAATCTTAATTCCTATGGAAAAATAATTATGATTAAATATTTATTTAAAAAAAAAGTTATTAGTGTTTTCGAATAATTTTAAAATTAAAGTTTTAGAATATTTTTTTTGAGTATCTAGTGATTTTTAGAGCGAATCAGAATATTTTTTAGAGTCAAGGAAAAAGTAAAAATTTTATCTGGGAATCGGGAAAAAGTCTGGGAAAAAGCAAAATAAAATTTTTGTGGCAACCCTGATTAAATAATTCAAATAATTCAATAATTTAAACTGAATTTAATTTCAGAGCTGACAAGGAAGTTGGAGCAATTGAACAAGCACACGACAGTATTGTTTGGACACTTGCCTGGCATCCACTCGGACATATTCTCTGCTCAGGAAGTAATGATCACACGTCGAAATTCTGGACCAGAAACAGGCCCGGCGATCTTATGAGAGATAAATATAATTTAAATACTCTACCTGCTGGTGCAGTTGGTATTGATGATCACGAAATAGGTAAAAAAAAAACGAAGCATAAAACAAAATAAACATTTTTCAATTTTCTTTTTTTTTACATTAATTTTCATTTTTAGCTGATGAATATTCCGTAATACCGGGAATGGGACCAGAGGACAGAATTAACGCAGAAGGGGAAGCAGAGGACAAAAATGGTGGTATACCCGGTCTCGATTTGGATCACGCAATAGACGAAGGAAAGAAGTTCACTAATAAAAAAGTTCCTTACAGTAAACCAATTCCAAGAAACTTCCAAGCTCAATGGAATGAGATGGAAGGCGAAGATCAGGAGCAGGTTGAAGCTCTTAACGCTTTTGTTAATCAATTAATTGAAACAACGCCTGGAGCATTGCCATTGAATGAGGTTCAACCTAATGCCATTATACTTTATGGAAAAATGATTTCTGTCGAAAGTGGGTATTTTTAAAATTTTTTATTTCACTCTATTTAATTACAGGGTTGACACGCAACCTGGAAACCTGGAAATGTCAGGGAATTTTTATCGAAATCCTCTAAAATTGTTGTTTTCTAAAGTTATTGTGTTTATTCTTGAAATCTAATTTCAAAATTAATTCAATTTTAAAAGAATTGTGCTTATAGTTTTCATAAGTAGATGAACTTCAAAAGATTTTAATTTAAAATTTTGTAAAATTTTAATTTTAAATGAATTTAATTAAAAATTTTAAAAAACTTAGATTAAAAAAAAATTTTTTAAACTAAAGTTCTTCTGAAATTAGTTAAATTTTTTAATATATATTTCATTGATTATTAAAAATAATGGATTTATAGAAGAATTTTAGTTAAAAACACTAAAACAAATTAAATTTTCAAGCAATTAAAAATTATTGCAGAAATTTAATTATTTTCAAAAGTAGTAAAATTCTTCTCAGAAATTCAATTATTATCAAAAATTTTTATAAAATTCTTGGCAAAATTTTAATTATTTTCAAAAACTATATCCTCAATTCATTGATTTTTAATATCTACTATTTTACTGAAAATTCCTAAAAGAATTCAATTATTTAAAAAAAATTTTAATAAAATTCTACGCAAACATTTCATTTATTTTATAAATAATGAAAATTTCACAGCAATTCTTTTTTTTTCAAAATTATTTTCATAAATAATAACATTTTTTACAGGGATACAATTATTTTCATAAATAATGAAACTCAATGCTGAATTTCAATTATTTTTAATACAATTTTAATGGAATTCCTCGAAAAATGTAATTATTCTTAAAAATGTTATGAAAATTTATCAAAGAAATTCAATTATTTTAAAAACTTTTGCTACAATTTATTTTCTAGAATTTAAGTATTATTTTCAATACATTTTTAATTAAATTTCTTTAAAGAATTAAATTATTTTCAAAAATTTTAATGAAATTCTTTGAGTAACAATTCAATATTTTTCAAAATAATTTTAATAAAATTTTTCGCAGAAATTCAATTATGTTTAAAAATTTACAAAAATTCCTGTCAAAATTTCAATTATCTTTATAAATAATAAAATTTTCCTGCAAAATTCAATTATTTTTAAAAATTTCAATAAAATTCTTGGCAGAATTTTAATTATTTTCAAAAGTATTAAAATTTTTCAGAAGAATTCAATTATTTTCAAAAATATTTGAATTTTTCACAAGAATTCAATTATTTTCAACAATATTTGAATTCTTCACAATAATTCAATTATTTCCAAATATTTTAATAAAATTGTTCAAAAGAAATCAATTATTTTAAATACAATTTTAATTAAACTTTTAATTTTAATTATCAAAATTTTTCCAAGAATTAAATTATTTACATAATTCTTCGGAAGAATTCAATTATGTCGATAAATAACAAAATTATTCCCAAAAATTCAATTATTTAATAAAATATTTATTTTTGTAGTTAGATAATAATTGAATTCTCGTATAGAATTTTTTTAATAAATATTTATTAAAAAATGAATTTCATGAATTAAAATCTTTGAAAATTCGAACTTTTCATAATTTTGAATTAAGAATTCTGTAGAATTAATTTTTCTCAAAAAGTTTAATGGAATTTTTTTTTTTTTTTTAATTATTTGAATTTTTAATTTCTAATATTATTTAATTGAAGAATTTCCGAATAATCGAAATTTCGTAAAATGAAATTGTAAACAATTTGAAAATTCACAGAGAACTTTTTCAAAAATTATTTTTAAAAAATTGACTGAATGAAGAATTTTAGTTGAAATTTCTAGAAATGAATAATCGTAATGATGAAAATAATTTTTGAAGAAGTTACAAAGTAACAAAGTAGCAAGTTTTTTTGAATATCTTAATTTTTTATAAAAAAAATAATGATTAAATATTTATTTAAAAATGAAGTTATTGACGTTTTCGAATAATTTTCGTGTTAAAAACCTAGAATTCCGTTTTTTAACTTGGAAAAGTCAGGGAATTTGAAAAGAGAAAAAGCGTGGCAACCCTGAATTAGAATCTATTTATTTAATGCAATCATTTGTGCTACAAGTGTTAATTTTTTTACAGCTGGTAGCAAACTTGCGGAAGCGATATCCAAAGGTACGGACGCAATAAACAAGTTGGTGGTTTCTGGGGAAATTGAGGAATTAAAAGAAATAATGAATCAACAAGAGAATACGGAGGAAGACGAGGACTATCTTAACGACGAAGGGGAGATTGATTTTTCAAAAACACCAGATGTCGAACTTCCGCCACCCCTGCCAAGTTCTAAATTTGCACAGAATCCAGAATTATTGAAAGCTCTGAATCGTGGAGGAAAGAGAAAGTTCGATCAATTGATTGGATGGAGTGACGCTGGTGCAAGTGACAGAACGTCGAAAGTTCATCAACCAGTTTTCGGTGGTTCGATGAATGATGATTCTCAATCGAGTGAAAATTACTTGAAAGACGGATACAATGAGGAGGAGGAAGACGACGAGGAGGATTACAGGAGATTTATGGACGACGATGACTATAGATTTAATTCATCAGGACTCGGTAGATCTGATCTTGATGTGAGAAATAAATTTATGGATAAAGATTTCAGATTGGGAATGAACAGGCATTTCATGGACGATAGGGATTCGTTTGGTGAGAGGGATTCGTTTAGTGAACGGGATAGAGATGGGAATAGAGATTCGGACAGGGAGAGTAGATCTCGTTGGGAAAGTGATAAGGAAATTGGGGAGAGTAGCAAGTTTGGGAGTATGTTCGAAAAACCGCCGAACATGTCAACGATGCCTCCTCACTTGGGCAGTATGTCCAATCATCATAATATGCAGAACATCAATCCGAATATGCCGCCCCCAATGTCGAATATGGGACCGCATTCTAATATGCCGCCACATTCGAATAAGAGTATGGGAATGGATGGACCACTGCCGCCTCACATGATGCATCCACCGCCTCCTTTTGGACCCAACGGACCACCGCCGCCACCCTTTGGACCCAACTTCCGACCGAATGGTCCGAATTTCGGTCCGAACTTTCGTCCAATGGGTCCTTTCGGTAGTCAGGGCCCACCGTTCAATAGTTTTGGTCCACCCAATTTTCGAGGTCTTAATGGCCCTCCAAACTTTGAGCGACCTGGATACGGACCAAATTTCAGAGGCCCACCGCCAAGGCCCGGCGGTCCGAATTTTAATCCAGGTTTCGGAAGTTTTGGTCCGAATAAAAACGGTCCAAACATGGGCATAAGAGGACCGAACGACAGTGGAATGGGTATTAGAAACAACTTTAACGGTCGGGGCCGAGGTCGCGATGGTGATGGGTCTAGAGGAATGGGAAGGGATAATTACTGAAAAAAATAAACATTAAAAAAATGTGTACAAAGATTATCGTTTTAGTGTAAGTTTGTAAAATTTGTGTCATCTTCAAATAGAGGAAACTAACAATCAAATTATCATTTGAAGATGTAAGACTGTAATTCGTTGATAGATTTTTTTTAATGTTACAAGAAGTCATTTGAAGTCATTTCTTGGTCAAAATGCCGAAAATAAGAGAAAGAAAGAAAGGTAAAATTACGAATTCAAAAGTAAAACGTGAAAGCTGTAATATATTATTACTATTACTAATTTAAATATTAAATGTCCAGCTCCAAAATGAGAAGAGCCTTTCTCACAAAGTTGCCTTTGAGAAAGAATTTGAACTTAATTGTATTTCTGAGATAAGGCACTAAAAAAAAAAATATAGAAAGGAACTGTGGGTCATCATGTCAGGCACAAATTCTTGTGTTTGAGTCAAAAAGCAGTTTACTTATTCATTATTAAGAAAAAATAAATTTAATTAAATGCAAGCAACAAAAATTTCCTCCTAACCACTTGTGTCCTAATTTTTAACAGCGGGAAATATTTTTAAATAATTAGGACTTTTTTTTCAAAACCGTCATGATCGATAAATTGAATAAAAATTTATTTATTCTATTGGCCAATGGCAACATTGAAAAAAAGACGTAAATCGTAATATTTACATGAGAGAGAAAAGGATAGGTTTATCTTTTGTCCTCAACATTACGTTTACAATTTTCCTTATTATTAGCTATAGTTTTTGAAAATTGAAACTAGGAAATAAATCACTTATTGCTTCCTCTCAAAGGAAGCTTTATATACTGATGTCGATTTTCGACTTTCTTAGAATCAATTATTTTTACAAATTTTAAAGTGTAGAATATATATTTCGTCCAGAAGAACAAATGTCCGGATGTAATTCTTGTGGACAAATTTTCTCTTACACGTTTTGACGGATTTTGATAAAATTTTTTACGTGTATTACGGTCACAAATATCTAAAATCAGACAAAAGGATTTTCAAAAATAACTCAAAAAAATTATTTTAAGCAATTTTTTATTTTTTAAAAAAATTAATTTTTGTATTTTTTGAAATAACTTTTTTCATTAATTCTTATGAAAATTGTATTCCTGGCATGAATACGAATCGATTCATGTATGTGTAAAGTATAGTATATTTTATCAATATTTATAAAATTAATCGATATTTTTATTTTCCACAAAAAATTGAAATTTTATCTTAACACTTTAAAATATTTATTCTATAATAAAAAATTAGGCAGTTTATTATATATTATATTGAGGAAGCTAAATGGTCATAAAATGAATAACTTGTTTTTAGTTTGAGTTGACTTACTTTTACTTGAGCTTTTAAATTGTTTCAAAATGAAAATATTTTAAAAATCTTTCGCAAAACTTTTCTTTGACTTCTTCTTGTCCAGAAATTGTATTTCTGGTTCGTTATTTGGTCTGCAGATGGCCAAGAACGTAAATTCCAATTAAAAATTTCGTTAAAGTTTGCTAATCTACGTTTTTTTATATAGTTTTGAATAACGCGTTTTAACTCGTTTTCTTTGTGAATGTGTTTGTGAAAATTGCTTTAATTTTCTCATAGTTTATTTATGCAAAATTGAACAAAAACCGAACTAGAATAGTATAGAAGTTAAAAATGGACTTCCTGGAGTATGCTGATATTACGTCGGAGGTTAATGGAGCAATGGTAAATAGTATTTTTTAAAACAATTTTTCACGTTTCGAATTTCGATATTAGCCGCAATCATAACCTATAAATTTTCCTTTTTTCAAACAATAATTTATAATGAAAACAATGGTTTTGTATTCAAAAAGAAATATTTTGAAAAAAAAGTAGTTAAACTATTTTTATTTACATTATGTTTTTAATTAATCTTTAATCTGTCGAATCTGTTGTTGACAATAAATTTTGGTCAAATATAAGCCTGGCGTCCAAAATGTTAAAATGCCGCCAAATTTTTTGATTATTTTATTCTGTATTTTAATTAATTTTCGTCCAGTTCCTTGTAAGTTTTTGTTTAAAAAAATGCTTTTTAGTTGTAAAATTATTTCTTGATTTTATCATTTGTTAGTCTTTATTTTATTTACATCGTTTTTTGGTGTGTAATTAATTAAATTTTCAATTTAATTTTAATTATTTTATGGTTTTTTTTTGCAGACTCCTGGAAAATTAAAATTAACAGATCAGCATCTGATTTTTAAGAATCAGAAGACTGGGAAAGTTGAACAAATACCTTCCGGTGATATGGACATGGTCAGTTACTTAAAATTTGTAAATACTTGGGGTCTGCGAATTTTCTTGAAAAATGGAACTCTTTACAGATTTAGAGGTTTTAAGGAAGGCGTAAGTTTCTTGTTTTCTTTACATTCTTTTTGGAGTTTTTCAAAAGATATTGTTTAAAATTAATCTGATATTTCAGGATCAAGAAAAAATGGCAAAATTCTTTAAGAGCAATTACAATAAAGATATGCTTGAAAAGCAGCTCAGTTTAAAAGGATGGAATTGGGGAACAGCTAGATTTGAAGGATCAGTATTAAGTTTCGATGTTGGTCAACACACGGCTTTTGAAATTCCCTTATGCAACGTTTCCCAGTGTACGACTGGCAAAAATGAAGTTACTCTAGAATTCCATCAGGTGATTAAAACTTTATTTATTCTAAATCCACCGAAGAAAAATAATCCACCCGTTTATTTTATTTTTATAATTATTAATCGCTTGACAAGATCTTTCGACTTTGATGTATAATTAATAAAATAAAAATAAATATTTAGATATACCTAATAATGAAATTATAAATAAAATTTTATAATATAATTAATAAAATGAAAATAAATATTTCCATTTTACAGAATGATGACGCTCCGGTAAATTTAATGGAAATGAGATATTATATTCCAACTAGTGACAGTGTTGAGGCAGATCCTGTCGATGCTTTCCATCAACAAGTCATGGATAAAGCTTCAGTCATCAGTGTCAGTGGCGATGCGATTGCCATATTTAGAGAAATTCAATGTCTCACTCCTAGGTAACTTTACTAGAATTCATAATTGATTAATTTAATAATAATTTAGAAGAAAAAATATCAAACGTTCTGAACTTCGTCACAATTATTTAGAACAGATATTGAATTGTGATTTTTTTACAGGGGTCGCTATGACATTAAAATTTTCCAATCTTTCTTTCAACTTCACGGAAAGACTTTTGATTACAAAATACCAATGTCTACGGTACTCAGATTATTCCTCCTTCCACACAAGGACAGCAGGCAAATGTTCTTCGTGGTAAGTTTCCTTTTTTTTGAGCCGTTTGAAAATTTTTCCCACTTGTATTAAAATTTAAATAAAAATATTACAGGTGAGTTTAGATCCACCGATTAAACAAGGACAAACTCGTTACCATTATTTAGTTCTCTTATTTAATCAAGACGAAGAAACATCGATAGATTTACCATTCTCCGAGTAAGAAGTTTTTCTTATATTTTTATCGATAAATTATATCTGGAATTTTTTTAAAAATTTATTTTAAAAATTTAAAATTTTTTAAATATTAAATAAACTATTTAAAATTGTCAATTTCAGGGAGGAATTAAAAGAAAAGTACGAAGACAAACTAACAAAGGAATTAAGTGGACCAACATATGAAATTCTTGGGAGAGTGATGAAAGTTATTATTAATAGAAAGCTCACAGGTCCTGGAAATTTCAAAGGGTAAGAGTACAAAAAATTGATTTAATTAATTAAATTTAACAGGGTTCGAACTAGGTCCGTAAATCCCGTAAAGGTCCGTAAATTTGCTTCAAGTCCGTAAAAGTCAGTTTTTGTGAAAAATGGTCCATAAAGTTCGTAATTTGATTGAAAAAAGAAGAAAAGTTAGTGAATAGTTCGAAATAATTTAAAGAATTTTCCAGAAAAATTCAATTATTTTCAAAAGTAATAAAATTCTTCGCAGAAATTCAATTATTTTCTAAAATTTTAATCAAATTTTTGGCAAAATTTCAATTATTTTCAAAAGTTTTCTCAAATTCATGATTTTCAATATCTACTATTTTAATAAAATTTTCCAAAAGAATTTCATAATAAAAAAAATTTGAATAAAATTCTACGCAAACATTCAACTATTTTCATTAATAATAAAAATTTTTTCAGAAATTCAATTATTTACAAATTTTTTATAAATTTCTTCGCAATAATTCAATTATTTTCATAAATAATAAAATTTTTACAGGACTTTAATTAATTTCGTAAATAATAAAATTCTTTTCGGAATTCAATTATTTTCATAAATAATAAAACTCATTGCAGAATTTCAATTATTTTTAATGCAATTTTAATCGAATGACTCGAAAATGTAATTATTCTTAAAAATTTTATTAAAATTCGTCCAAAGAATTTGATTATTTAAAAATTTGTTGATAAAGTTTTTTATAACAATTTAATTTGAAGATACATTAAATTAATAAATTATTTATTTTTCTATTTAAATAAATGAATTCTCGTAGAATTTACTAATAAAAATTGTTTTAAAAATGAATTTCAGTTAAAATTTTAGATTATTAAGGTCTACAAATAAAAAATTTTAGATTATAATTAAATATTAAAAGGATTATAGCGTGAATTTTTTGAAATAATTGAATTTTGAAAAGGTTTCAAAATAAAATCATTGAAATTCTGAATTTTTCATATTTTTAACAAACAATTCTGTAGAAAATTCTTTTGAAAAAGTTTAATTAAATTTTTTTAAAAATTATTTCAAGTTTTTATTTTCTAATATATATTTAATTGAAGAATTTATGAATAATTGAAATTTTGTAAAATTGAATTGTAAACAAATGAATTTGAAAATTATCAACGAACTTTCTTAAAAATTATTAAAAATTTTGGATTTATAGAAGAATTTTAGTTAAAAATACTAAAAAAAAATTTTTATTTTGGAGAAGTTACAAATTATTGCTGAAATTTAATTATGCTGAAAAATATAAAATTCTGTTTACGAATTCAATTATTTTCATAAATAATAAAACTCATCGCAGAATTTCAATTATTTTTAATACAATTTTAATTGAATTCTTCAAAAATTTTAATAAAATTTAATTATGTTCAAAAATATATAATTGTTTTTTGGAATTCAATTATTTTTAATACAATTTTAATTAAATTTCTCTAAAAATGTAATTATTCTTAAAAATTTTATTAAAATTCGTCCAAAGAATTTAATTATTTAAAAATTTGTTGATAAAATTCTTTATGAGAATTCAATTTTAAGAAACATTCAATTATTCAATAAATTATTTATTTTTGTATTTAAATAATTGAATTCTAGTAGAAGTTTCTAATAAAAATTTATTTAAAGATGAATCTTAATTAAAATTTTAGATAATAATTATAAATATTAAAAGTAATATAGCTTGAATTTTTAGAAATAATTGAATTTTGAAATTAATTTTTTTTTAAAAGTTCAATATTGATTTTCTTTTATATTATTTGAAGTTTTTATTTTTTAATATGCATTTAATTGAAGAATTTATGAATAATTGAAATTTCGTGAAATTGAATATTGTAAATAAATGGATTTGAAAATTGCCAAAGAACTTTTTCGAAAATTATTAAAAGTAATTGATCTAAAGTAGAATTTTATTTAAAAATTTTTGAAAATAATAATTCAATTGAAATGATGAAAATAATTTTGAAAAAGTTACAATAACAATATTCTTATAATACAAAATAATGATTTTATCACTGGGCCATCTTTAATTATTGTATTATGAAAAAATTTAATTTATAATTAAGTAAAATGTTCTTTTATTTAACTCGGACTGGTTACATTTTTGTCAGTAATTGATCCGTAATTTTTCATTTTTGGTCCGTAAAGTTCGTATTTTTAAATACTTTTACTGGTTCGAGCTCTGATTTAATTATAATAAAAGTGGAAAAAAAACTTAGAATAGTTTTGTTTTATTCGGTTTTTTATTTCAGACATTCAGGTACTCCGGCAATCGGCTGTTCCTTCAAGGCAGCAGCTGGATATTTATATCCTCTCGAAAGGGGATTTATGTATGTACATAAGCCACCTATTCACATTCGTTTCGATGAAATTTCTTCGGTAAACTTTGCTCGAGGTGGCGGATCGACAAGATCTTTCGACTTTGAAATAGAATTAACGAGTGGAATCAATCACACGTTTAGCAGCATTGAAAAAGGAGAGTACGGAAAGCTGTTTGATTTTATTACTTCTAAGAAACTTCGAGTGAAGAATAGAGGAAAGGGGGTATGTAATTTTCGCCTATAATTAATCTGAATTGTTCGATTTTTGATTTTATTTAATTGGTCGATTTTATTTAATTCCTCAATTTTATTCAATTCGTCGGTTTTATTTACTTTAATTAATAATACAATTATTATTAATATTAAATTTTAATTACTTGGTCGATTTTATTTCATTGTTCTGATTTTGTTTCAGGATAAAGTCAACTACGACGATGACTTTGGTGGCAGTGATCAAGAAGCTGAACCAGACGCATATTTGGCTCGAGTTAAGGCCGAAGCACAAGAAAGAGACGATGATAATCAAGATTCAGACAGTGAATCGACAGACGAAGATTTCAATCCAAATCAAGCCGAAAGTGATGTGGCGGAGGAGTATGACAGCAATCCTGCTACCACGGACAGCGATGAAGGATCTGATGCTTCTGGAGATAGTGGCAAGGAAAAGAAAAAGAAGAAGGAGAAAAAGTCGAAATCCGCAAAAACAATTGTAAGTATATTACTAAAATTAAATATAATATTTAATTAGATTAACACATTTAATTAACTCATTAACTCATATTCTTAATTAAGAAATAGACAGTAATTTTTGCAAATAGGGGGAAATAAAATAGCAAATGAATTTTCTTATTAAATGAATTTATTTTCCAAATAGTCCGAGAAGCCGAGAAAAGCACGAAAGCCGAAAAAGGAGAAAGATTCCAATAAACCAAAAAGACCAGCCACTGCTTTCATGATGTGGTTGAATGCTACTAGAGAAAAAATAAAGTCTGATAATCCTGGAATCAGTGTTACTGAAATTGCGAAGAAAGGCGGTGAAATGTGGAAGGAGCTGAAAGATAAATCGGTAAAGTCTTTGTGTACTTACATTTTTTTGTACTCTTCTTTGGAAGAAAAAGATTTTTTTTTATTTTGTATAATTTATTGCTTCTTTTATATAATATTCTTCTTGTATATATAATATATTTATTTTTAATTATAAATTATTAACAGGAATGGGAAGAGAAGGCAAACAAGGCCAAAAAGGAATACGCTGAAGCTATGAAAGATTATGTTCCAGCTGAAGGGGACAGTACATCTAAAACTAAAAAAGAAAAAAATCCCAAGAAGGATAAAGACGATAAAAAGAAGAAAGATACCAAGAAAGACTCATCTCCTTCTAAAGCCGCTTCTGGTTCATTTAAGAGCAAGGAATACATCAGCGACGATGAAAGTAGCAGCGATGAAGATAAGAAGAAGGTACTTATACTTTGAAACTAGTTTCCAATAGAATAAATTTTATAATTATTAAATTAACTATTTTAACCAAGTTTACAATTATTATAATTAATAATATAATAAATAAATAACCACTTGCTATTGAATTTTCAGGCCAAGTCTTCTGATAAGAGAAAACATTCCGATAGCGAAGAAGAGAAGAAGCCGAAAAAGAAAGTAAGTACACTATTATAAATGTACATTCTATTTCTAATTATTAAAATTTGCTTTTTTGTTACGTAAGAATTTTGGGAATAATTGAATTTCAACGAAGATCTTTAGTAAAATTATAAAATCCTAATTCAATTCTTTTTATGAATTTCTTTGAATTTTTTTAAAATAATAGTTTCATTGATAATTTTAATTGGAAATTTTTAAAGTAATTAAATTTTATGAAGAATTTTTATTAAACTTTTAAAGTAATTGTGTTTCTTAATAATTGAAATTAAACATTTAATTATTGAATTTTATTAAAATTTTCAAAAAATAATTAAATTCTTCTGAGAATGTTATTACAATTTTTTAAAATAATTTAATTCATTCAAAAATGTTATTAAAATATAAAAAATAATTAATTTGATTACTAAATTTTATTAAAATTGTATTGAAAATAATTAAATTTCTTAGAAGAATTTTATTCCTAATAAAAATAATTGAATATTGTTTCAAAGGATTTATTAAAATTTTCAAAAAATAATTGGATTCTTTCGAAACCTTTTTTTAAAAATTAAAAAAAATTGAATTGCTTCGAAGAATTTATTAAAATTTTAGGAAATACCTACCTATTTGAATTTTTTTGAAAAATATTGAAAATTAAAAAAAAAATGAATTCTTTCATCAAATTTGATTAAAATTGTATTTAAAATATTATATTATAATATATATTATATTATAATTTTAGAAAATAATTGAATTCTATCGTGAAATTTTATTCAAAACAATTAAATTGTTTTGAAGGGTTTATAAAAATTTTAGAAAATAATTGAATTCTTTCGTGAAATTTTATCAAAATTTTGTTAAATATAATTGAATTTTTGCAAAAAATTTTACTATTTATAAAAATAATTGAATTGTTTTGAAGGATTTATTATAATTTTAGAAAATAATTGAATTCTTATTTGTAAATTTTAAAAGCGAATTAAAAAAAATGAATTCTTTTGGAAATTTTAAAAGTGAATTAAGAAAAAAATTGAATTCTTTCGTGAAATTTTATTGAAAATAATGAATCTTTGCGAAGATTTTACTATTAAAATAATTTGAATTGATTCGAAGAATTTATTAATTTTTGCAAAAAATTTTACTATTTATAAAAATAATTGAATTCTTTCGAAGATTGTTATTATTTATGAAAATAAATGAATTCTTGAGAAGAAATTAAATTTTTTGAAGATATAAACAATAATAATTAATTGTGTACTTAATGAATGAATTTTTTAAATTCTGATTATGAAATTATTCAAAAATTTTGTATTTAAAAAAAAAATTTTGTTATTCTCATAATAATAATAATAAATTGAACATCACGTTCGTAAGATTTGCTAGTTAAATATTAAAATTAAATAAAAAGTAGTAAGTAGTAAAATTAAATATTAATTTAAATACTTAATATTAAATTTTTTAATATTAAAATTACGGTTTAATTATTAACCGGTAATAATAATTAATATTTTTATTCCAGCCGGAAAAGAAGAGTAAAAAGGAAGAATCTGAAGACGAGGCTAGCTTAGATGAACCTGAAGAAAGTACTCCACCAACTAGTGACGACGATTCCAAGGGAAGCGATTAAATCACCTTCTTTATTCACAATTTTCACAAATACACGTTCAACATTCACAAAAATAGTAGTTTCATAATTATGTAATTAAGTATCGTTTTGTATTTAAAAAGAAGCCCTTTAAGAATAAGTCAGGGAATAGAAAAATGTGTCCCTTTTTTATTGTCATTAAATATTATATAGAATATTTTATTAATTTTTTTTTAAACAAACATTTTCAGACTGGATATTTTAATAAATAATATAATAATTAAGAAAAAATTCTTTTTTTAATTCTCCCGCGAAAAATTTGAATCTTCCTTAAGGTGTCTTCATATTGTTGGTCTCTTATTTTCAGCCAATCGCAAGCCTTCTTTATACAAGAATGTTAATGTCGGTTCATAATTGGTAAACGAACCACGTTGTTTTTAAATGTTTTTAAGGTTATGTTAGATGTCAATTCGTCAATTGAAACTTTATAAACGAAAGTAATCGAAATCTTTTAAAGAGGTATTTGAAATATAAAACTATATATAATGGGTAAAAAGAATAAGGGAACAAATCTGGGTCGATCTTTGATAAAAGATCGTTTCGCACCTGCGAAAAGAAGAGATGTTGACTCATTTGTAAGTAAATCTAGATTTTTTTACAAAAGTTGTTATTTCACATTCTTTGTATGTTTTGCTTGATAGGAGGACAACTCTTAGTTAAAAATAAAGTATTATAAATTTAGTTTCCAAAAAATAATTTTTTTATGTTTTATAAAAAAGATTGATTTAAAATTTCAATTAAAATTTATTATATGTAAATTTAGTTGCACACTGCGGATATAAATGACGGATACGATTGGGGCCGGCTAAATCTTCAATCAGTAACCGAAGAAAGTTCATTTCAAGAGTTTCTCTCAACAGCCGAGCTTGCGGGAACCGAATTTCAAGCTGAGAAACTAAACATTAAATTTGTAAATCCAAAAAGTGGGATTGGACTTCTCTCCAAGGAGGAGAAAACAAAGGTCTTGGAGTCACACAAGAAGAATCGAACTTTATTGAAAATTCCAAGAAGACCAAAGTGGGATAAATCGACAACAGCTCAGGAATTACAAGAGAAGGAGAAAGAAGAATTTCTCGAATGGAGACGTGGTTTGGTTAGTCTACAGGAAAACGAAGAATTAATACTCACACCGTATGAGAAAAATCTTGAATTCTGGAGACAACTTTGGCGCGTTATCGAGAGAAGTGATGTTGTCGTTCAAATAGTCGATGCCCGGAATCCTCTTCTCTTTCGATGTGAAGATCTTGAGAAATATGTGCACGAAGTTGATGCCGAGAAGAAGAATATTATTTTAATTAACAAAGCTGATTTTCTCACTGAGGAACAACGGCAAATTTGGGCGGATTATTTTTTTCAATGTGGTATTCAAGTGGCTTTTTTCTCAGCTACGCTTGCAGCGGAAAAATTGTCAATTAAAGAGGAAGAGGAAGAAGAAGAAGAAGATGATGAAGACCTTGATGATGATGATGAGAGTGGAAGCGAAGAAGGAAACGAAACAGAAGTTGAATCCGAATACTTGTCAGATTTCGCCTCAGAATCAAATTACGAAAGTGCTGATGATGGTTTAAAAGCAGAAATTTCCGAACAAACAGAAGCGACAACTTCACAATCTCCAGAAATTAATCTTGAAAAAGATGAGAATTTTCAAAATTCGGCCGCATTGTTAAACAGAGACGAACTCGTGGATTTTTTCAAAACAATATACAAAGGAAAACAACATACGGAAGGTGTGACGACAATCGGTTTAGTTGGTTATCCAAATGTTGGCAAAAGTTCAACAATCAATGCTCTGCTAATGAATAAAAAAGTGTCCGTTTCAGCAACTCCGGGTAAAACGAAACATTATCAGACACTTTTCTTGGATAAAGATTTACTGCTCTGCGATTGTCCCGGACTTGTGATGCCCAGTTTTGTTTGCACTAAAGCGGAGATGATTTTAAATGGTATTTTGCCAATAGACCAAATGAGAGATCACGTACCTTCTGTCACTTTATTGGGAACTTTAATTCCAAGACATATTATTGAGGACACTTATGGAATTATGATTCCTTTGCCTATTGAGGGGGAAGATTCCGATCGATCACCAACTTCGGAGGAAATTCTTAATTCTTATGGTTGTAAGTATTATTCTTATTTTTAATTCTAAAAAATAATTCTGTGCATTATCAGGGTTGCCACGCTTTTGCTCTTTTCAAATTCCCTGACTTTTCCAGGTTTTCCAGGTTAAAAAACAATTTAAAAACGGAATTCCAGGTTTTTAAAACGAAAATTATTCGAAAACATCAAAAACTTCATTTTTAAATAAATATTTTTTTTTTATAGAAATTAAGATTTTAAAAAATGTTCAATTCAATAACATATAAGAATAATTATTATAAAACATGAAGATATTACTGTAACTTCTTCAAAAATTATTTTCATCATTACGATTATTCATTTCTAGAATTTTCAACTAAAATTCTTCTTTAAGTCAATTTTTATTTTAATAATTTTTGAAAAAATTCTTTGTAAATTTTCAAATTCTTTTGTTTACAATTTAATTTTACGAAATTTCGAATATTCTGACATTCTTCAATTAAAAATATCCATTAAACTTTTTGATAAAAATTAGTCCCACAGAATTCTTAAATAAAAGTATGAAAAGTTCAAATTTTCAAAGATTTTAATTTTTGAAATTCATTTTTAAATCAATATTTATTAGAAAATTCTATGAGAATTCAATTATTTAACTACAAAAAATAAATAAATTTTATTAAACAATTGAATGTTTCGTAAAATGAAATTTTCATAAAGAATTTTATCAATAAATTTTTAAATAATTGAATTCTCTTGACAAATTTCAATAAAAATTTTTAAGAGTAATTTTATTTTTCAAGAAATTTTATGAAAATTGTATTAAAAATAATTGAAATTCTGCCAAGAATTTTATTAAAATTTATTTAAATTATTTAATTTCGGAGAAAAATTTTATTATTTATAAAGATAATTGAAATTTTGACGAGAATTTTTGTAAATTTTTAATCATATTTGGATTTCTGGGAAGAATTTTATTAAAATTATTTTGAAAAAAATTGAATTGTTATGCATAGAATTTCATTAAAAATTTTTGAAAATAATTTAATTCTTTAAAGAAATTTAATTAAAAATATATTGAAAATAATACTTAAATTCTAATAAGTAAATTGTAACAAAACGTTTTTAAAATAATTGAATTTCTTTGATAAATTTTAATAAAATTTTTAAGAGTAATTTCATTTTTCGAGAAATTTGATAAAAATTGTATTAAAAATAATTAAAATTCTGCCAAGAATTTTAATAAAATTTTTGAAAATAATTGAATTTCTGAGAAAAATTTTATTATTTATTAATATAATTGAAATTTTGTAAATTTTTATTGTAATTGGATTTCTGCAAAGAATTTTATATAAATTATATTGAAAATAATTGAATTTTGGAGAAAAATGTTATTATTTATAAAGATAATTGAAATTTTGACGAGAGTTTTTAAACAGAATTGGATTTCTGCAAAAAATTTTTTTAAAATTATTTGAAAAAATTAATTTGTTACGCAAAGAATTTCATTAAAATTTTTTAAAATAATTTAATTGTTTAAAGAAATTTAATTAAAAGTATATTGAAAATAATACTTAAATTCTAATAAATAAATTGTAACAAAGCAGGTTTTTAAAATAATTAAATTTCTTTGATTGATTTTAATAAAATTTTTAAGAATAATGACATTTTTCGAGGAATTACATTAAAATTGTATTAAAAATAATTGAAATTCAGCATTGAGTTTTATTATTTATGAAAGTATTTGAATTCCTGTATAAAATGTTATTATTTATGAAAATAATTGAATAATAATAATTTATGAAAATAATTTGTAAATAATTTATTGAATTCCTGTGAAATTTTCATTATTTACGAAATTAATGAAATGTTTGCGTAGAATTTTATTACAATTTTTTTTTAACTAATTGAATTCTTTTAGGAATTTTTATTGAAGTAATAGATATTAAAAATCATTGAATTGAGGAAAGTTTTTGAAAATAATTTAAATTTTGTCAAGAATTTTATTAAAATTTTTGAAAATAATTGAATTTCTGAGAAGAATTTTACTATGCTTTTGAAAATAATTGAATTTCTGCACTCATTTGTAATTGCTTCAAAATTTAATTTGTTTTAGTGTTTTTAACTAAAATTCTTCTATAAATCCATTATTTTTAATAACAAATTAAATATATATTTTCAAAAATTTTACTAATTTCAGAAGAATTTTAGTTTAAAAATTTTTTTTATATCTAAGTTTTTTTAAATTTCTAATGAAATACATTTAAATTGGAAATTTTACAAAATTTCAAATCAAAATCTTTTGAAGTTCATCTACTTATAAAAATTGTAAACGCAATTCTTTTAAAATTGTATGAATTTTGAATTATTTAAGTAAAATTATAGATTTCAGTAATAAACACAATAACTTTAGAAAACAACAATTTTCCAGGATTTCGATCAAAATTCCCTGATTTTTCTAGGTTTTTTCAAGGTTTATAAAATTTCCTGATATTTTCAGGTTTCCAGGTTGCGTGGCCACCCTGATTATACTTTCAAAAATATTGTTTACTGATTGTGAGAATTGAAAATTAAAACTATGAAACGCAGGTTTATTATTATTTACTAATTATTTGACTAAAATTTACTAAATTTTACATGTTTTTTTTAGACAATCGTGGTTTTATGACACAAAATGGCCAACCAGATAATCCACGATCGGCACGCTACGTCCTCAAAGATTTTGTAAACGGAAAACTATTATACTGTGTTACTCCTCCGACTCAAACTCAAGACGAATTTCACCAATTTCCAGAGAGAAAACGAACATTTCCCACAAATAAACAATTGCCACAAGCGACAATTCGTGCGACAAGAGGAATCAAAACCACCACCGAAGACATAGATAAAGTATTTTTCCAAAATAAAGCACAAGGTGTTCACATTCGAGGAGTACAAAAAATAAGAAACATAAATTTAATCGCAGGTGCATCTTCAATAAGGTAATAATTCTTTTTTTTCTTCAAAATGTATAATCTTCTTTTTATTATGAAATAACGGTCAATTCTGCGCATTTACATCTTTTTTTTTGAAATTTTTATAAACCGTTTGTAGTTGTTTTTTCAATAATATATTTACAAACGTATTTTGCATTTTTCATTTTTCAATATTACACAATTTCATTTAACAATTATTATGAAAATAATTTTGTATTTCAGCGATCTAGGATCTGTTCAAAGTCTGGAGAAACCTTGGAAGAAAATTAATAAACATTCTAATAAGAAGAAACGAGAAAAGGCAAGAAGATTGTACTCACATCTTGATCAACATTAAGGCGACAAAATGTCAACAAAAAAAAAATTTTATTTTTATTTTTAATAGATCGCAGTAATCGGAAAAAAAAGTTAAAAAGTTTTCTACACATAGAATTGTTAAAAGTTTTCGGCAAAGAGATTTTTAATTTTCTTCTTTTTATTATAATTCTTTAAAATGGGATTTTCTCTATACTGCACAACAGTAAAGTTTCTATACATACATATATATAATTATTTATAAATATGTCACAATACCTATATATATGTACATATTGTAATTATTAAAATTTGTATATTACAATTGGATGACATTTTTTTTATTACGGGGTTTCAATATTTACTTTTTTTACGAGAACTCTCATTGAAAAAAAAATCAAGATAGTTAATATTTTGCGCAAAATTACATTTATATCTGAGGTAATATAGTTTTAAACAAAAATCTCCTACTCATCTCTCAATTATTTCACTATTTCTATACAAAATTTGAATATTAAAATTCGAATTTTATTAATTAAAATTAAAATTCCAATAATAATGATTTTCCTAAGAAAATTATATTGTTAATTTTATCCATTTTATCTAAATTTAAAAATTATAAATATAATAATATAAAGAGATGAGTGAGAAAGAAAAATGTATTCCAGTCGTTGACTTATTTTTATATAATTATATACTTAATTAGGAAGCACAGACTAAACTGTAATTTTGAAGTATTATTTTCCATGATTAAAAATCGAGCAACTCTTTTGCTCTAGAATAAAAAAACGAAATTCAATTTCAAGACTAAATTTTTAATAAAAAAGTACGGTGTGCAATATTTTTCGCGCGAATTTCGATTCGAATTCATGAAGAAATTCATCTATATCATTGTCCAAGTCGTCACTGCTCGCCAACTGGAATAGAGAAAATTAATTATTAATTAATTAAATAATTTAGATAGACAAAGTAAAATTTAGGAAATTTGAATACAATACCACAGTAACGAGTTCACAGATGAGAAAAGATCCCACGGTGGCTTCCTCATGATTATCCTGAATATCAATATTAATCAAGTGAACTGGTTGATTATCTTCGGGCGTTCTTGATTCCATGCACTCAATAACTTGATCGTAAACTCTTTCCTCGCAGGTTATAAGAATATCGAATTTATCTTTGGAAGCTTGAAACCTCTCTGGTCTTGGTTTTATCCGACGATTTCTATCTAGCATGTGCAGCAGACCATTTTGTGTATAACTATTTTTTTAATTTGTTAAGGATTTTCGAAAAAAAATTTTCCTGAGAGCATAAAAATATAGAAACATGGAAATTTAACATATATATTTTTGGAAATTGTAAATTAATTTTTGCATCTAGAATATGCATTTAGAAAATATAATTTAAAATTTTCTGATTTACAAAAACTAAAAAAAAAATTTAATTTTCCCCAAAAAATATTCAAAAGATTTATTAATTTATACAGTTTTTTTATCGTTAATTTTTTTAATTGTAATATTATTTATTATTTTGTAATTTTAATTTTGACTATTGAAATACCATTTCAACTTCCTTTAAAAACTTGTAGATAAGAAATTTATCTAAAATACGTAAGTACTTTAAATTAACTACCAATTAATAAAAACAATATTTTCGTTTTTGATATTTGTTAACATATAACCACAATCTCCAATAAATTATACTTAACCGACTGATTGAAAATATTACAAAAATAAAACATTAATATTAATTACTAATTATTAATATTAATAATTAAAATTTTTTTAAAAATGTAAAAAAAATGTTTAAAAAAAAGAAATGTATTAAAATGTATATTTTATTGGTTGTAATAATGAAAAAATAAGAAATTAATAAAATTTATTATTCTCGAAATTTAATTGTGTTCTATTGTAAAAAAACGAATTTTTCTCTTAGAAAACTTTGATAATAAAGTGCTAGAATGTTTAACAAATTTTTTTAAAATAAAAAAAATATTATATATTTTAATATTTAATAAAAGTTTTTTTTAAGTAAAAACAATAAAATACTAAAATAAAATACTGTAACTTTGAAATATTATTACTATAGATAAACAGCTGTATTTCTACATAAAAAATACTAAAAACAGAAAATTTGATTATGTTTCTTTGCCTCTTACAATTTACTTGAAATTTAATTCTGTTAAAAAAAAGAATTGAAAAAAACGAAAAAAAAAATTGGAAAAAAATCTGTCAAATAGATTTGATTTATTTTTTTGTAAAATACAACAAAATACACAAAAATGGCAGAAATATATTTTTCAAAAATTTTGCATTTTACGAATTTTAATTTAATTTATCAGAAAAAAAGGAACAAGCAAACTCAGTGTACCAACAAGAATTTATAATTTAATTCATAAAACCTGTTTTTATATCTACTTCCTGATTAAAATTTTTTAAAGATCGTAGGTCCTAAAAAATTCCTACTTAAAATATTGAAGACAAAATTTCAAATTTAAACGAAATGAAAATTTTAGAATAATTTTAGCAAAATATTCAATTCAGATATTAAAATAATTTAATACCTAATTATATTTATAATTAAATTAAGATAAATTTTATTAAAAAAATGTGGACGAAACAAAATATAATAAATAAAAATTATTAGTTTACTTTTTAGAAAGATTTTATAATCAATAATATTTTAGACTCTATTATTAAATTAAGGTAGTTAAAAAATTAAATTTAGTTTGTTAAAAAAAATCTACGAAACAAAATATAATCAAAAAAATATTAATTTACTCTTTAGAAAGACGACTAGAAACTTGTCATAATTAGAATATTTTCGAAAATATTTATAAGCTGATATTAATTTGTTTTCTTAAGGGGAGGGTAAACCTTTATTTTCAACTATATGAAGAAAATATTTTAAATATTTAATAAAATTATTTTCATAGTAATTTTTTGAGAGGAATTCAATGATCATAAAAAAATTGGTCAGAAAATATTTTGACCCTTTTTGAATTTTTATTTTTTATAAAAATTGATAGATTTTGAAATCCATACGTAATTTTGTAGAAAATATATTTTTGTATCCATAAAAAAATTGCTGAATGAAAAAATTAATATTTACAAAAGTTTTAGCATTTAAAAAAAATATTTTTTAGGTTAAGAATTTAAAAAATATGATTATTATTAAATTTTATTATACGAAAACTCATTTGTTTTTTTCTAACTAATTTTAGAACATAAACTTTTTAAAAAAAAATGTTTTATCAAATAAATTTTTAATAATTTTTTGAAAATTCAAAAAAGGTCAAAATATTTTCTGACCAATTTTTTTACGACCATTGAATTCCTCTCAAAAAATTACTATAAAATAATTCTATTAAATATTTAAAATATTTTCTTCATACAGTTGAAAATATAGGTTTACCCTCCCTTTAAATAAAACAATATCATGCGAGAAAGGTGTAATTTTCATTTTCATTAATAAATTAATTTTTACGAAAAAAAGTTGAAAATAAAAAAAGGAAAAAAAGAACATAGAAATTCTCTAGATTTTGATTTAAACTTTTAGTCAAAATATTGGGAGGAAAAGGATAACGAGAGAGATCAATGAAGCGAATAAGAAAAAAAGGAGGAAAAGAGAGAAAGAGATCAATGAAAAGAATGGGAACAGAAAGAAGGAATTTGGCGATAAATGTAGGTTTTTTTTAGTCTTCAGTCAAATAGGATACTATTGCTTGTCTTTCGTGAGTAAGTCATTGTAAATTTCTTCGTAAGAAGTTCCAAAATCGTAAACATTTGGACGATCCGGAGCATTCCCTGGAAGTTTGACTTTATCTCCAGTTCCAAAAGATTGAACGTTGAAACCTTTTTTACTAAACAAGAAATTTATATGTATTAAAAGAAATATTATTTCAATTATTAAAAAACACTATTATTAAAACTATTTCAATGGAATAAGTTTAGTATTATTAAATTCACCAAGTTTAAATAAGTTCGAAATTTCTATTTTATAATTACCTGAGAAAAGCATGCGCTTCCATACTTCTGTTCATATTACTTGAACAAATAACTGCAATGTTGATTGAATTAGATGCAGGCATTATTTTCAACTTTCTTTTTGGTCAAAAATAATAATAAAAAACTTTCGCGCTTTCAAAATTGAGAAATCTTTATTAATGTTAAAACTATTCTACTCGTCGACCTAAATAATATCGAAGATTTTCTGAAAACTATATGTAATTCATTTACGTTAATTCAACTATGTATGAAAAGAATATCTAGTCACGAACCGTCCTATAAAATTTATATATTCTTTCTCTAATCTTCGAGAGTAACAGGTGAGGGGAAAAAATGTTCTCTCTGCTGCCGTAATCTTTAAAAGGGGAAAAAAATAGATTTCCACACTCTACTACCGTTGCAAATATTTTCTTTAAATGTCAGAGCGGTTAAAATAATTAACGGTGCCCACCACTGTCCAGGATAAGATGCCTGACAGAGACCAACAAAAACCAAACCTGACGAACCTGACCAAACGCAGACAAAAAAATGACCAGGAAGGAACATGGAAATTCAATTTCAATTTCAATGTTCAGCGTTGGCACTTATACTTGCGTTACGCTGCGTATATACGGCCATGACCTGGTGACTAGTGAATACGGCTTAAGCCTGTGAACAGAGTAAAGTTTGGCGGCGCGAACGCCGACCGACCACGGTGTGCACGGCAACACAGTCGGAGAGCAAATAATAGCACTCCGTCTACGTTCCCGTGAACCAATGTAATTCGAGTAGATAATTATGTTTAAATTATAAAATATAAAAGCATGAGATTAAAGGAAGAAAGTAAATAATTATATTTTAATATTAGCGCGTTTTAAGAATCTAAAAACATGAGAGACGACTCTTGGGTTAGGGTTAGAGAGAAATTGTACACTGCAAAATGGAGGGGGACACTTTAAAGCTCTTGAAAGGGCTTTAATTAAGTCTGGACGAAATGTGTCGAATCTGGGACAAGACCAAAGAATGTGATCGAGATCTTCATCAATATTTGGACAGTGTGGGCAATCGCCAGACTGAATGTAATTTTTTCTAGCGAGACTAGCACCAAGGTTATAGTGATTACTTCTTGCACGACATATAGAAGTGATCCAGAGTCTGCGAGCCACGAAGTTCGCAAACCATGGTTTTCTTCTGGGTTGGTAAAAACATTGTGTGTATTTAGCACCTTTATTTTTGCCTACATCCAGAAAGTATGAGTTGCAGCTATCAGATAGCTGTTTTCGAGCAAGACAAAAGAAGTCAGAATAAGATAGAGGTATGTTTAGTTGTTGAGGATTGGTGGATGCGTCTTTCGCCGCCCTGTCCACTTCCTCGTTTCCATCAATACCTGAGTGACCAGGGATCCAAACGAGGGTAGATGGACGATTTAAATTAGAAAGGATTTTTAAGCGGTTTCTGATAGCAAAAATTATATAAGATTTAATTTTGTAGATGTTTTTAGAAGCTAGGTTTTTAAGAACACTAAGAGAATCTGAGAAAATGACCGTATTAGAAAGATTAGAATTTATAATGTAATCTAAAGTAAATAAAATTGCAAAGGCTTCAAGAGAAAAAATTGAAGCATGTTTTGAAATTTTGAATTTAGAGGTTAAATTTAAAGAAGGACAAACAAAGGCGCATCCAGCCAAGTGTTCCTTTTCTGATTTGGAACCGTCAGTAAAAAAGAAAGTGTGATTTGGAAAGTTAATGTTGGATAGATCCTTAAATAATATTGAAGGTTTAGGAGAGTTTTGAAGTGATTTGCCCCAATTAAGAATAATTTGGGGAGTAAATAAATGATCCTCAAAGAGGAATTCGAAGTAAGGGTCAAGGTCCTTGCTTCTGATTAATTCGCTGTAGGTTTTCGATTTTTCGAAGGCAATTAAAAGAGGAAAATTAAATTTGGTATTAGAATCAATAGTGAGTCGAGAGAGTTCTGCAAGCTTAGCTGGAAGAGGATGAGTGGAATTTGAATAAACTCTGTAGAGATATGTTTTAGCAAGGTAATTAAATCTACTTCTTAAAGGGGGTTCACAACATTCTGCAAGCATTACGTTAATTGGGGTGCTCTGTCTGTAGCCTATGGCTAGTCGCAGAGCTTGGTTACGAATCTTTTCTAAACGCGAAAAATTTTTATGAGACTTAAAGTTAGAGCCTTGTGAACCATAATCAATAGGGCTTCTAATTAGTGAGTCAAAAATGCGAAGTAAAAGTTGAGGATCTGCTCCCCACCAAGTACCTCGAAGCACCTTTAGTACATTTAAAATCTTTCTACTTTTATCACACAAATAGTTAAAATGAGTATCAGAGGAGGAAGATTGATGAAAGTGTATGCCGAGATATTTAACTGAAGGACATGGTTTAATAATATGATTATTTAAAGATAATGTAAGGGTTGGATCATTTAGATCAAGTTTTTTATTACTAAAGATAACAAATTTGGTTTTGACTGGACAAACTTCCAGACCTCTCTCAGACAAGTGATCCGAAAGGGAGTTAAGGCTATTTTGAAGGGAGTTAATTACTTGATTTAAATTTGGGGAACGACATGAAACTGATAAGTCATCAGCAAACTCGTAAATTTCACAATCCGCGGGAATAATAGTATTCAGATTCCTAGTGTATATTGCGAAATTAATTGGACTAAGAATGCTACCTTGTGGAAGGCCAACAGTGCTAGTTCTTGGACCAATAACCACGCCATTAATCTTGACATATATGTTTTTACATTTTATTGAATTGTATATAAAGCGAGATATTGATTCCGGAATGCCAATTGATTTAAGATCATTTACTAAAATATTTGGAACTACGCTAGGGAAAGCACCCTTTATGTCTAAAAAGAGAGCACCGACAAATTCGCGTTGAGCTAAGCCTGACCAAATTTCTGTCGAGATTAAGGCAAGATTATCCGTACAAGATTTGCCCTTCCGAAAACCGAATTGGTAAGGACTAAGGATTTTATCGCGTTCTATAAGCCAAGTGAGTCTATTATAAATAAGTTTTTCTGCGACTTTAAAGAGACAAGAGGCCAAAGAAATAGGTCGAAATTTACCAGGTGAAGATGAGGATTTTGGAAGGAAAAAGATAAGAAAATTGTTCCAAGAAGGAGGAAAAGTTCCGCTGGAAATTATTCTATTAAAGATTGATAAGAGGGGTGATAGGGACTCTTCTGGAAAATGTTGAATAATATTAAAATCAATTTTGTCAAGGCCTGGGGAGGATTTAGTTTTACAAGATTTAATTACTATTAATAGTTCTGATAAAGAAAAGGCTGATTCTAGAAATGGGTTATTATCGAAATTATTGGGAAAATTGTCGTGGAATACCGTAGGGGGATAGAGTTCATCCACAAGGGAGTGGAGTTTATCTATCGTTTCTCTATCTGCTGAGCATGAAGCTGTTGCAGGTTGAGTAAATCGGTTTTTAAAAGATTTTATTATGGCCCATATTTTTGTTAAAGGAGTATGTCTGTCCAGGGAATCGCAGAAGTTTTTAAATGATTGACGTCTAGCCTCACTAAGCGTGCGCTTAGCTATGGCTTCCGCTTTTTTATAATTAAGAAAATTTGAGTAATTAGCTAACTTTTTATAATTTTTAAAAGCTACTTTTCTATTATTAATGGCTTCATCGCATTTATTGTCCCACCAAGGTGCAGGAACAAAAGGTTTTCTGGAAGAGGTAGCATTCTTATTCGCGGGAGCGTTTTTCCGTTGAGGACATGCTGTTTTAATTGACAAGTCAACGAGTTCTACAAAATTATTATAATCAGAGATAGGATTATCAGTGTATAAAATATCAGAATTTGACTCCACGGATGAACGCAGTGTGGTGGAGAATAGGGTCCAATTTATATTTCTTAAATTATATTTGTGAGAGGAAAAAGATGCCATTGGTATTGAAATGCCCAATGACGAAAGAATAGGAAGATGATCACTACCCAGCGGATCGTCAAGGACATTCCAAGATGAGGATGTGAAAAGGTTTGAAGAGACGAGAGTAAGATCCAATGCAGAACCGGGATTAGGTGGCCGACCTACCATGGTAGGTGAGCCATCATTTAAGAGGATGAGGTCCATCTCATCCAGTTCTTCACATAAGTTACGCGCATTGGGACAGACATAAGAGCCTCCCCAAAGAGTGCTATGACAATTAAAATCTCCTCCGATAAAAACGGAGTTGAATCCAGAATTTTTGATTGAATTAAAGAAGCGTTTCCAATAATTAAGGGGGGTTTGTCTACCAGGGACTCTATAAACAGAAACTATTAATAATTCACCCAAAGAAGAGTCAATTGAGACAGCGAGTGTTTCAAGTTCGTCTTCCTGAGTAAAAATTGTTGAAATTTTTGAAAATATCAAGCTTTTGCGAATGGCGATAATGAGACCACCACCCTTATTTACTATTCTGTCGCTTCTAATAATATTAAATTGTTTTAAAATTTTTAAATTATGGTTTTTATCGGGTTTTAAAAAGGTTTCGGAAAGAAGGAGGACGTCGAATTTATTAGAGAGACTTTGAATTTCGGGTGCCTTTTTAGAGACACCTCGGCAATTCCATTGCAGGATATTTATTTTAGACAATTGATCCATTAATGTTGTTGTTTACGGAGTTGAACAATAAGAGAATGCTTTCTATAATAGTATTAAGTAGACTTTCGTTGTGTTTTGTTTTTTCTGGTGAAGAACTGGATGAAAGTTGTGTGACATGATCTTTGATCATGGAGATTAGGAATGAAGGGAAGGATTCATGGTTGGAAGTTTGATCAATAGTGTTAGATGTTGAAGGATTAGACATGGAACGAGAAGCAGAGAGGGCAAAACCATTAGGAAGATCGCTACCGTCTCTACCATTGTTCCATTGTGTTGCGTAGAAGGAGTTAGTTCTTTTCCGTGACTGGGGCGTGCCAATTTTTTGGGTGGCAGGTCCAATCATGGGACTTCTCCGTTTTTGAGATGAGAGATTTGTGATGTCTGAAAAAAGTTGAGAAGAGTTTTGATTTGTCGAAGAAGGAGCTGGGATTTCTCCAAGCTGTGGAAAATTTGAGAAGTTGAAAGAGTTCGGGGTTGCACCTGTGTTTCTAGGTCGAAGGATAGCTTTTGCTTCAATGAAGGAGAGTCTGTGTATGGTAGCGTAAGTACGGATTTCCTTTTGAAAGGTGAATTCCGGACAATCCTTGGATGTAGCCAGATGAGGACCAGAGCAGTTTACACATTTTGGTGTCTTTGAAGTGTTTGGACAAGGGTTGGCTGTGTCATGGGTGGTGTTTTCCCCGCAGGACTTGCATCGTGGTTGAGAGCGACAGTGTTTGGCGATGTGACCAAACCTAAAGCATTTCATACATATACGAGGGTTCGGAAAGTAAGGACGAATGGGACTTGACCCTTTGTAGACCGCTACTCTTTGAGGAAGGACCGTACCCTGAAAGGTCAGTAGGACGGTTTTCGACGGAACGAACTTAAACTCCTTGGTTTTTTCGTCGTAAACTTTGCGATTAAAACGCCGCGCTTGGATAATTTTGATTTTATTTACGTGTGGGCCCATAACCTCACCATACTCAATAATTTCCTCAACTGTGATATCCGTGTCGACATCGTTCATAATTCCCTGACAAGAAACGAAACTTGTAGGGATAATGCCTATCAGACCGTGAGATGACAGCTGGGGGTGATTGAGCAGTTGATTCGCCACTTGACCCGATTTTACGGTAACTCTAACTTTACCCCGTCCACTTTGATTAATTTCGACGATTTTGTTTGGGAATAACGGATGAAGGATACGACCGACGGACATAGGGCCGAGGTCCTTTTTAAAATCAGCTGATTTGGGATCTCGTTGGATAAAAATTGCACAGTTGCTTTTTAGAGAATTATCATAGCTGGGTGTCTGATTAGTGTTTGTGTTAGTTTTGTCGGATGTGTCTGAGTTTGTTTGTTTTGTGCGCTGAGTTGGTGAAGGATTTTCCTTAGATGCGTCAGAGTCGTGAGTTTGAGATGGTTTAATAATATGCGAATCATTGTTGCAGTGTTTTTTCGCGGTGAGATTCGATAAATCGTCGCGATTTTCGTTTAAACCCTTTAAAAGAACTAAACTGTTCGCGGCGTTTTCGACATCCATTTGGGTTTGAGGGGAGAGGGGAGGACCATAGTCATCCCCAAAGCCGTCCATCATGTTTGAAGAACCGGAGGAAAACCCTCCGGTTAATATACTTTTATGCCAAGACAGAGCTTTAATGGAAACTACTCGAATTCAAAATGGCCGGTCGGTTGACACGCGGTCCGCGCGGTAGAGAAACGCTGACTTGGTCGTGCTAAGCAGCACGAAAACCTGAAAGCTTTCTCCACACTACACTACATAAATTCGACTACGCTTCGGTAGGAAAATCACGATTCACAAAAGACGGCAATATGCACAAATAGCGTAAACTTTCATTACGAATGTAACACACGATGCGCTCGGTATCACCGCTCGCGAGGAACTCCAGGAACATGGAAAGAAGCGCATATGCGTTATGCGTCTGCGCAGCATTTAGTTGTCAAGTTTATCGTTGGCGGCACTGCAGTAGCCGAAATTAAGCGCGAAATTTGAAATTAATAATTTTCAATTTTTATTTTTTCTCGTAATACATTGAAAAAAGACACTAAACAAAAATCGGTATAAAGTACAAACCAGGTACAAACTAACTTTTTCTATTATAAAACATATTTTTCCAATTTATTTTCTAGAATCATTTTACCTTTTGCTTTACTACTATCTGCTTTATTGTATTCCCCATAAACTAGCTCCCTCTGGAAATATACAGATTCCTACTTTATCAGCAGAAAATAACTTGAAAATGTAATTTCATATCGAAACAAAAGTCCCCAAACGGCAGATTTTTTAAATTTTATTTGTTAAACAAAATAATTGAAAAAAGAATATTTTTTCTTGTAAAAGCGTGTTTTTCTTTAGAACAAAATTATTCCGAAGTGCAAATAATACGAAAATTTTATATGGACTCGTATTCAGTCAGTTGTAAACATTGTTTTTTGCTTTGTTTTTTATAAACTACGTTAATAACCATTTCGCACGCAAGTGTGATATACAAGTAATGAAATATAAAATTACAACTTCAATATAATAAACAATAATTTTATTTAAACTTTTACAAAAATACCCTAAATTAAAAAAGGCAATACGAATATAATTAATAATAAAAATAATAAAAAGTAATAATATTAAAATCACTAAAAATAAATAAATAAATAACAATAATAATAAATAAGTTAATATTTATTGGTTTCGTCAATAATCGAAATAAATAATAAATAAATAATCGAATGTCTTCAAAATATAAATAATTAAAAAATTTTTTTATTTTAAAAATATAAATATTAAAATTGAACAGTGAAAAAAAAGGTATCGACCGTACTGATCAAGTGACATCTGTCGAAATGTCAATTTTATTGGCATTGATTTGCAAAAAATATGCACCAGACAAATTTAAAAATCGCATATATTTAAAATAAAATTAATACAAGTGGAGAGTTTATAATTTCATATCCGCCACGAAATGAAATAGGAAAAAAGTTGTATTTCGTAGGCTTTGCAGTCACGAAACGAAAGTTTCGTAAAGTTTCTTGCGGAAAGTCAATAATATATTAAATAACAAGAATTTTATTTATACTTATATACAAATAATATACTTATTATTAAAAGAACGTTTTCGAAAAATTTTAAAATTGTCGAATCAATAAAATTAACTATATTTTAAACTGCGTATATAAATTTATATGATTATAATTATATTTATTCTTATTATTTATTCAGTATGTGCCGCAATTCACACATTATCACACATTATCAGTAATATTATATTTTTAATATATTTCTATTTTTAACAGTTCAATAATTTATGTTCTAAATAATACAATTATGTAATAAGAGATTTTTACATATACAATTATTCAGTCAAATTTTTTGCTTTTTTGTGTTTTCTTTTTATAATTTAAATATAATAGGTGTTATATTTCGAAAAGTGTTGATATTATTATAAAAGTTATGGCGCAATAATAGGAGGATCACAAAATTACCTAATTATTAATAAGACAGTAGTGTATTTCTCTCCATTGCTAAATCTTTGGTAAATGACAATTTTCTTGATACACCGAGTAAAATTATATGTCTCGCTCCAATGTCCGCACGTTTCATTTCTATAATAATTATTTTAATAAAAAAGGCGCGTAAAACTGCTTTTAATTCTGAAAAAATTTTTAAGTATTAAGTGGGAAAATAAAATAAATAATAATAATAACAATAATAATAACAACAACAATAATAATAATAATAATAATAATAATAAAAAAATGTAACACGCTCCAAAGAAGGGTCCCTGAGAAGCAAATAATTTTAAGGTTATGTTTGCCTTTCTTTTTTACCTTAATTCCAACTTTCTGTGTTTATAATTTCAAACTAAAGTCAGTGTTTATCAATTATTTAAGATGTAATGAAGACTTAAATATCATTGGTTTATATGGAGGGTAAATTCCTTTTGTGTATTTTCATTCAAAAAATTGCAAACATAACCTCACATTTTTTGCTTCTACGGTTTCTTTCTTCCCTTTCTTCAAAGGTTTCGGAGTGCGTCACAAATAATAATAAAAATAGTACATAAAAGCAATAATAGCAATAATAATAGTAACAGTAATAATAATTACTAATAATAGAGTAATATGAAGTCAGAATTGCTCCATCACCATCTGTTTTTTTTAATCGAAAAATCTACCCTTAAATGTACAAATTCAAAGTTTACTTTAATAAGTAATAAAAAATGTAATAACAGATTGTTTTTTAAAACAGAACAATAAATTTATGTACTTCTCTTACAACTCAAAAACATCCTAATTTTTTGTTTAAATTAAAGAAACTACCCTTAAGAGGATAAACTCAGACTTGACAGGTAAACAATAGAAAAAGATTAAGTTTCTAAACGGAAGCATACGTTTCTGTATTTTTATTTTAACAGCTCAAGAAAGGATCAGAATTGCTTTTCATTTTTTCAATTGCCCTCTAATTTTTTTATATATAAAAAGTACCCTTAAAATGATAAACTCAGAGTTTACTATAGAAAAAAATGAAAAAAATTCATTTTTTAGACAGAAGCATACGTTTCTGTATTTTTGTTCTCACAAATAGAAAGCATAGAGACAGAATTAAATTTTTTTTTAATTTCTGTATGAAAAATCTGAATTTCACCACATTAAGGGTAGTTTTTCAAATTTTAACAAAAACTGATGGTGATGTTTTAATTCTGACGCTGATTTTGAGTTTTTAAAACAAAAATACAGAAATGTGTTCTTCCTTTAAAAATTTAATCGATTTTCTAATTTTTTTCCTGTTAAGGATAGTTTTTTTAAATTTTAACAAAAACAAGGGGTGATAATTTAATTCTGACCTTGTTTTTGAGTTGTTGAAAAAAATATATATAAATTTATTGTTCTGGTTAAAAAAAATCTATTATCCATTTTTTTTTTATTTTAAAGTTTGGATTTGCATATTTAAGGGTAGTTTTTTCGATTTAAAAAAAAGATGGTGATGTTTTTATTCTGACATTGTTTCTGAGTTGTTGAAAGAGAAGTACATAAATTTATTGTTCTGTTTTAAAAAAACTATCTTTTATTATACATATTATACATTTTTTATTATACATTGAACTTTGAATTTGTACATTTAAGGGTAGTTTTTTCGATTTAAAAAAACAGAGGGTGTTAGAGGAATTCTGATTTCATATTCGTTTTCAGCGGGCAAAAATACTATAAGATATGTAGGTCTGGTTCAATAAACAGACCACTTTTATTTTTTTGTGTGCCTGTGTAATAAAAATAAAAATATAGGTAACTTAGAAGCTTAGAATTTAAAAACTATAAAAACATAGTAAAACGTATTTAAATGACAGATTCGTGTGTTCGGTTTATCTTCATCGTATTACAAATATTGACGTTTACATCAAATTCACCAGATGTCGAATAAAGTAAATTTCGACATTGCTTCTTCTTATCGAATTCACTCTAGAATTAACGTCATACGCTATAATGCTACTATAGAATTTAGCTTGTTGATTATAACACACCCATAATGATCAATAGTAAAACCATCCTCAATTCTAAATTCTAATTTCCACAAGTGAGTGTTACGTTTATAAGTGCGATTAAATTATCGGTAGTGTCGTAAATTTTGAAACCGCGATTTTGTCATAATTATAAGAATGTTGTCCTTTTCCCGCATGATTCGGGCGTGCTGTAAATTTCCATTTAATCGCAAGTGATTGCTTCTTTGTGCCCAAAAGATGAAGAAATATGAGTGTATCCCCGCAGGATAGAGGTCAGATATACAGGCTGCAACTCTCCTCTCTGTAAGTTATTTACAATATTTAAATTAAACATTTTTTTGTTAAATAAGTGCAATTTAAAAATTTGTGGAATATTTTGAAGGTAAAAAGAAGGAAAGTAAGATAATAACTTATGCGAACATTTATTTTATGAGAATCTGGTAGAAAAGATGAAAATGTTTTAATATTAAGGACTTAAAATCATATTCTCAGGGCTAAAATTCAGTCAAAAACGTTTCTAGTACAAACGGTTTTAGTCCAAAGTGGATTGAAAGTGAGATTTATGTTTCAGTCTTTCAAAAATTATAAACATAATCTAAGATTTTTTGCTTACCTTTCTTCACTGAAAAAACAAAATATTTGAATCAAACATATCTTCAATTGTTATACAATGACAATTATAAATAAAAACTGATTTTTGTTTTAATTAAACAGAAGTAATTAATTCAATAGAAATTTTTATAATTATGGTAAAAAATAACCTTAAAAGGTTAATATACTCCTTATATTACCTTTCTTCAGTGAGCGCGAAACATATCGAACGATTTTTACAAATATTACGCGATTGAATTGATGATGTAAAACGAAATTCATTAAAGTTTTGGACGTTGCACAATTTCGTCGAACTGTATATTTCTTGGACATGTACGTATGTACGTGTGTTTGATTGTCACCTGCGTACCGTGATCGCGGTCAAGATTAAAAACAACGCAACTGCGACAGCGGAAAAAGGATGTCTAGGACGCGGAGATTATCTGCAGGCGCAGCATGAACGATTACACTTCATAGCTCGTTACTTCTGCACGTCTTACTCTATTAAAGAATGGTATTTTCAACGAGGAAGAAAACATGTTCTATGCGTCTACTGCACCATTGACCGCCAATGAATTATATTTTTTACGTAACATCCATTACTTCCTTTTCGCAATTTTTGCATTGTTCCATTAACGCTTATTACTTATTTTATTTTATTATTATTATCTGCTCTTCTATATTCGATATCAAATTATTTTCTTCTTTCTTCAGTTGACCGTTATCGACATGTCGATAACGGTCAACTGAAGAAAGAAGAAAATAATTAGGATAAAAAATTGAGATAAAAA